CCCCATATCCACCCCACAACCCTGTCTCTTCTGCTCAAACCTCACAGGATTTCCCCTCAAAAGTTGTCGGTCACAACTAGGCCTTGATGAAGTTTCGGCTAAGCCCGGAGTTTTCATCAAAGCCTGGTTCGAGACTCAGGTTTGCATCTCAGACAACAGCAGAAAATAAATCTTATTTCTCTTCCCTGTATGGGCACAGGGTGGAGCTAGAGAACAAGTCTTTCAGGAAATCATTTGTATGGCAGTTGAACACATCACCTGCAAAAGGAAAATGAAAGGAGTAAAAACTGCTATAGCAATAATGCTAAAAAGAGACAGAGAAAGAAACAAGATCCAATAATAAAACTGCTCCTGGGAGGGAAATAGAGGAAACCCTAGAATAACCTAAATAAATGTCATTTTGAAATCTGTGGTTAAAATCAGTGCATTATCTTGATTCAAAATGGCCTCCAATTGCATCTGAAAAGCCTGCTTCTTCATATCAGGAGCCATAATGCAAAAGAGCAGTTCTGCCAATGGAGGAATGTAGGCAAGGGAATTCCTCAAGGATCTTTAGTGGTACCTGTGCTTTTAAACTTGTTCATACACCACATAGAGTTGGGATGAGCAGCGAGGTAGACAAGTTTGCTGGTGATACTAAATTGTTCAAGGACAGCATCTTAAAAAGCAGAAACATCACCTTGCCAATAAAGGTCCATATAGTTAAAGCTATAGTTTTCCCAGTAGTGATGTATGGAAGTGAGAGCTGGACCATAAAGAAGGCTGATCGCCAAAGAATTGATGTTTTTGAATTATGGTGCTGGAGGAGACTCTTGAGAGTCCCATGGACTGCAAGAAGATCAAACCTATCCATTCTGAAGGAAATCAGCCCTGAGTGCTCACTGGAAGGACAGATCCTGAAGCTGAGGCTCCAATACTTTGGCCACCTCATGAGAAGAGAAGACTCCCTGGAAAGAGAAGACTTCCCTGATGTTGGGAAAGTTGAAATGCCAAAAGAATTGTATTTGTATCTGATATCAGCCGTTTCATTTTCAATTCCCTTCCTAATGATTCCTAGTATTAGGAAAGGAATTGAAAAGAAAACGGCTGATATCAGATACACATACAAATCTATGGCAAGTCCACAATTCAAATGCTGAGCACAGCTCTGGTCATCTCACCTCAAGGAGGATATTGTAGAGTTGGAAAAGGTTCAGAAAAGGACAACGAAAATCATCAAGGGGATGGGGCAAGTCCCCATGAAGGAAGGTTACAACATTTTGGGCCTTTTTACTTTAGAGAGAGGGAAAGTAAGAGGCAAACATGATGCACATGTATAAAATAATACACATTACAGAGAAAGGGGATAGATAAAACACAACATAACACAAGAACTCAGAGGCATCCAATGAAACAGAGCGATGGGAGATTCAGGACAGGCAAAAGGAAGTATTTCCTACACGCAGTGCAGTCAAGCTATGGAATTGGCCTCAACAAGAGAAAATGGTGGCCACCAACGTGGATGGCTTTGAAGGAGGATTGGAAAAATTCACAAAGGCTTCTCAAAGTCTACTAATCCTGATTACCATGTTCTACCTCCACTGCCAGAGGCAGTATGTTTCTGAATACCAGTTGCTGGAATCCCCCAAAGGGGAGACTGCTGTTGTGTTTAGGTCCTGCATCCCAAAGGCATTTGGCTGGCCACAGGATGCTGGACAAGATGAGCCACTGGCCTGATCCAGCAGGCTATCCTTAAATAGCTTCAGGCCCGTCTACTTGATGGAACATACTTCCCAATATACACACGCTGGAGCATTAAGATTTGCTTGAGGGCCCTGTCCTGTATCCCACTGGTGGGAGTTGTATGTTATGCAGAGACATGGGAGAGGGCTTTCTCCACTATGGCACCCAAGCCATAGAGCACTCTCCCCTTGGAGGCTTGAGTGGTGCCAACATTGATGGCACTCTGGCCCCAAGTAAAGACTGTTTATTCAAGCATTTGGGGTTGTTGATTGCAACTTAGCATCATCTGCTCACTGCCTGATGATTATTGCTGATTATATTATGAATTGTGGATTTCATTGATGTGTACCTGGTGCCCGAGATATGGGGCAGGTTAGATTTTTATTTTTGTAATTATATTTTATTAAGTTTCAACATTTTTAACATATACAGTCAAAACACAATTTCATCTTTTCTCTTATTTTTATCGACTTCCCACCCCTTTTTTCATGGAGTTGTTGTTCTTCCCGTTCTGTTGCACCCTATCTTCTATCAAATCACAACACAATATTATAATCTAATTACTTCTGTTGCTCATAGCTCAAGTCTTGCTTGCGAGTTCTTCATACTATATTTCTTTAGTCCAAAAATGGCATCCATTCTTCTATAAAACACTCATCATTAGTTTTAATGTTAATTTTGCCAGTTCAGCGTAGTCCATTATCTGACATATCCCTTCTTCTTTGTTTGGAACAACTTCTTCCATTTCTGTGCGTATAGAATCCTAGCTGCTGTTGTTACATATAACTTTAACATTTTTATTATTATTATTATTATTATTATTATTATTAATTTCTGTCCCTATAATCTCTAACGGGTTAGAACTATTTTAATTAACTAGTGAACTATGGTACCCAAGAGTCCTTTTGTAAACTAGGCTTGCCAGCCTCTTGCCCAGAAATGGTGTACATGCTCCTAACCACCAATCAGGACTGCAGACACCATTTTCCCACAAGTCTTGAGGTCTGTGTTCGTCCCCTGCTTGTGATGGGACAGAGTAGTGAGAGTGCCCCCAGCATCATTGAACCCTGCGAATCACTAACTTGCCAGGAATTCTCTCTTTTTTTAAACCATTATCACACCTGAGCAGGACAGCATGTAACATGTAAAGGGCAACTTTGTGCCAATGAAGAAAGAATCGAAAGCTTGCACCCATCTCAACTAACCAACGCCAAAATGCAGTGGTCCTTTGCTGCTGACCTCAACGACATTTCAGATCAATCTTGGTGCTGCTTCTCGCTTACCATCTCATATAGTACAGCCAGCTCTCACTTGACAACATAAAAAGTTCACTTCAAACAAGTCGCTCGACCTTTAGCAGGTGCTCTCCGGGAAAAGGTGCTACCGGGCAGAGTCAGCTGCTGGAATTCACATTTTGGAGCTGCTCTTCCCATTAGATGGGTGTATTGGATGATCAAAGCAAAACTTTGAGGTCACACCTCCATCTGCTATGTCTCATAATAGGATTATTATTTGTGTTGTACCCATGAAATGGAAACCAAATAGCTGTTCAGCCTTCAGAGCAAGCATGCATAGGATCTGGCTGTTAGGAGTAATGTAGAAGCGTTGTCGCCATCTGCAAAACCCGTGTACTCTGGTTTGCACCCTAAAGGTTTTCATTATTATTATTATTATTATTAAGAAAAATTGTATAGTTGGGGTGGGAAAAGATTCCGAGGCACATTAAAACTATGCCTACTCTATTTCAGAGCTGAGAATTGAATTACCCTCATGGAGCGAGAGAAGATGCCGAGAAAGCAGAAGGGCTACAGGTTCAGCGCAGCCCTGTTAATTTGCTTGGCTCAGTGGCTGGGGCCTGTTAAGCCCTTGATAACACAAATGGAATGTGTGTTGTATAACCCCGGACAGCTGGAAGGAGAAAAAGGCCAGTCACAAATTAAATTAAGAGGTGTAAAATGCCGTGAGAAGAAAAACAAATTGAGATGGCGAAAACAGGTGCCAACTGACATTTATTCCATATTCAGTCACACTTTCTTTTCTCACTGTGTGATTAGCAGCTAAGCTGAATTAGGGCAGATTTCATGCTTCCGTGACCTCCATGAGCACCCGTAAAGAAAAGGGAAAAACACCTGCAGGTAGATGTTTTTCCAAAGAGCTAAAACAGTAAAATCCCAAACTACTGTTGAACTGGCTTGGTGAAATGCTACCCGGAGTGAAAGGGCAACACAGCATTCACATGGAGAGATTCAGTCACTGGCTTAAAACACTTACATACTTTAGTAGGAGTTCTTAAAAGATCGTTTTTGGTGTGCACAGAATATAGAGAACTATTTTCTTGCTTCTTTCACTTGCTCTTGAATTACTTCAAGAGAATCATGAGCTCCCAGAAATGGTTTATTTAGGTTCATTGCTGATATGGAGTGTCCAGGTTAACACTGGATGGTACAGAGAGGAAGCTGGTTCTCATATTCAGAAAAGGAAGCACAAAGTTTTTCATAAAATTAAGTTTAATTGTCATGCTGTATAAGACAGGGAACTCTGGATCATTCATATTCACCAGCTTGCATTCATAATAATTTCTTAATGATCACTGATCTCTCACATACGCTATGCTTATGATCCAATGTACTCTGTAATCTAAACACATAGGATAACCATCCTCAAAGTAGGTGCACTGATTTCAGCAAGTCTGCTCTAAGTATAAGTAAAGTTGGATGTCATCCATACTTGTCTCGTCCCCCCCCCCAATGAATTTACTTCTTTCTCAGTACCAATTTTACTAGATACCTGGGTAAGAAAAGAGCTACAATAAACATTTTTCAAGGGCACAAACAAGTGACATTTTAGGAACTTGGTACTGTGGAGTTGGTAAGATTAATGTGAAACAGCTGGAATTTTTTTACATATAAAGTAGAACAATAGTTCTTGCATGCAGGTCCAGCTGTTGTGAAAATAAAACCTAAGGGGGGAAACCCCTATCGGAAATTGTTGCACTAAAGATACACAATACTTTGCGGAAGGTCTGCTATTATGTATAGCTAATGTGGTTGCTTTGCAGGTGTACTGAAGTTTGAGGTTCATTAAGTTTTCTTACGACACATTTATTCTAAATCAATTGCTATTACACTTATACTTAATTCAGTCCAATAACTTTTTTCTTTAATCTCCTTTATTTTGTTCTCCTAAACATGAGATCACCATTGCAAAGATCTCACCGCAGCAAATCTGCTATTTCATATGGGCTATAGTCAAATTAAGCAAATAAGACAAATTCAAAGTTTTCTTGTTAATACTTTTATTAGTGTACTTTTCTGAACTTCTCTATTGGACAAACATAATGCAAACTCCAAATAAAAACTTAGAGTTCTTAGCCGTCAGAAAGAGAGACCATGGCATTCCAAATTTGTTTTCATTCTTCATTAAAGAAAAAGGGGGAGATATTGAAAGAACCATTAGGCACACAGTTGACACATACTGTACAATGATATGCACAAGTCATTTATTTAACAGCTATATTCAGATGTGCTCTTTAGATTTTGCTCCTTGCAATGTAAGAACCATGCTCATTCGAGCACAGAGAAGTAGGGATTTACAAGGAGTGACAAACCAGACTTTTAAAACAAGTCCTTAGATAAGCCAACACAGCAGCAATAACAGAATATACATTGTTGGTTAAGACAGTATACCTTTGATCTCAAAACCTTAAAAACTTTCTCTCTTTTTTTAAACAGTTATTCAAATACACATGCGTTACAGGAAAATATTGCACTAAATTAAAACTGAGGTTGTGGAATTCGTATTTTACTTTTAAAAATTATTACACATTCTGGTAGCATTTAAAATTAATTGTTTAGTCATAGCAAACACCAGAGGCAGAAGCTTGAGGGTGAACCATATGAAATATTCCACCTTACTGTTCATTCTCTCTCAATTAAGGCTAAAATTAAGTGCATTTTGCTGGACAATGGCACATTTATTTTCAGAGGCTGGTCACAGCATTCTCAGACCAGGTCACACCTGGCTAAGTATCTGCTGCATTTACACAATCAATTCTGGGGCGCTTTTAAATAACACAGGGGCTACAGTCGAGATAATGTGAATGGACAACATGGGAACAATGCATAATAACTAATCAGGAAGAGGTGTACAAATTGACTGCTCCTGTCTACAGGCACGCTCTGAAATTAAATATAGATGGAAAAAACCCTTTGTGCAATAATTGCATTCAAAGAAACAACACACCTTTGTTTCATTCACACATTTTCTGGATATGTAATCAATTTTAAAATTCAACAATTGAACATAATTCTGAAGTCTAATGTAGATGGCCCAGGGGTAAGAGATACCACATACTATATTGATTGTTATTCATTTCCACTTTGAAGTGTTGAAAATTAGACTCGAGTCATATATTGAGGCTGTATTACGAGCTGTATTTAGGCCTGCCTTTTCTCCTATTCTCCAGTGTTTCACATGGATTATAGCATTCTACTGTTTTAGAAGTCAAATGGGGCAGGAATAAAGGTCATTAAGAGCTGGCATAGGCCTAAGTTTTCATTGAGTAGTATACCTGTGAAGATCATTCAACTTCAAATTGCAGGTGATGCCTGTACACTGAAAACTAACTTTACAGGGAAGGATTAGCAAGCTTATTTCGTCCCAACATGATGTTCTACCTGCAGAGCTCTTTTTTTAAATTAATCATGCAAGTCCTCCCCTGCAATTTAAAGTAATAGCATCCAGACAGTTCTACTACCTCAATTAGAATTAGGCTACAGACTGAGGAACAAATCTTAAGATATATTTTTTAAGTGTATGTATATATGAGAGAGATTCATGTCAATTGCCACCTATATTTAAAAGCATTGAGGAGGCTACAGAAAGAATACTTCATACATGTTATCTTAAGCTGTTCTGATTCTGGTAAAAGGGAATCACACGTATAGTATGGATCTGTAGAGATGGGGGAGAACAATTGCACTTGAAGACATGCATACTGTAATGAAGATGTAAATATCTTTTTTTCTTTACAGCTTTGCCATTACTGAGTAGGCTTCACAGCAAGAATGGAATCCAAATAAGGATAGTAGGTAGGGGAAGGGCTGTAGACTTCCTTGTTCATGCCTTAAAAACACATGTATTTCTTGGATACCCTCCCAATGAATATTTCTTTTACTCTTTTGAGGTTAAAGCCATTTTCTCCTGATTTTTTTTTCCTACATGGGAGGACCTGTTTTGCAAGATCTTTAGGTACTGCATTTACGCCCAAACCTGAAACACATTTGTTTTTAAGTCAGCCCCGTTGAGTAAAAATAAATGTGTTTAGAATCAGAGCATTAAATGACTACTATTTGGGATATTTTCTTGGGATCTTAAACAAACTATATAGTAAAATATTAAGGGGATTATACCTAATGCTTTGAAATTCCTTGATCATGGGAGGTGCTCATCAAGGAGATTCGAGAAAAGGAGATTCCAAGATAAATTAAGGCTCAGCAAAAGTAGTAAATTATTACTTCATTCTCAGTTAGACATTATGTCTGGAAGTAAAGAGGATAGACAGGGGGCTTTTTGTGTAGAAGAAGTTTATTTATTAAAATTTTACATTATGCAAAAAATAAAAAAGATTGTTATTTAAAAAAATATTGTTGTTGTGTCTCTTATTTTCATATATACACTGTGGTGCATTCAGGAATTTGCAATTGTTTGCATATGACTGTTCAATGAAGTCCAGAAGACTTATGTCAGTAAGAAACCAAGTCATTTCAGCAATTTTCCTCTTGAGGTGAACACACTTAAATAAAGCTAAGGGTGACAATTAATGGCAAAAAGTAAAACCATTCTGATAATTTCTTAATGTTGAGAACGTTGTATTTTAATTTGCTTCTGTTTCCTAGCCCCCAAAACTCCTAATAAATAAATAAATGTGATAATCCCCTTTTTTAAACATCTGTCCTTCCCTTCACTAAGTGCTATTATGAGCCTTTCTTCTTTAAAAATTATATGCAGAATACAAGAACTGTTATTGAAGAGCAAAACAAGACCACTAAGCAGGCTAATTCAAACCAAGATGTTTTTCTTTATGTGTACCCATCCTGACTAAGTAATAAAACCAACGAATATAATTTTCTTAGTTATTTATTATTATCATTCTGGAAAGTGAAGCTAACACGGCTTTCACACATATTACTTCAACCTTTAGTTAGCAAATGTAGTTTGGGAAAATCATAAAATTTCTCAGAACCATCTATTCAAAAGACTTCTTTCATGCTAGCTCAACCACTTCAGAGCCGCTCAGCGAGACCTACAAGGCCTCAACAGTCATAATGCAAATCAAATTGCACCTGATTTTCACATTGCACAATCTCCCAGTTCCGAGCAAAGCAGCCAAGTCCTCCATTGCTATCACCACAGTTGTGCTTTACTTATAACTCAACTGACACAGTCTAGCACTTTTCATTGCTGGCAATCATAGATTCCGTCAAGAGTGGAAGGAACAGACATTCTTACAGAGCGGGCTAATATTCTTCTCAATGTTGCATGAAGATGCACCAAATCATTTAGACACATGAACCCAGTTCATGGTAGTGGTTGCATAAGAGAAGGAGGATGAGAGGAACGATTATCTCTTATGGATGCATTAATAATCTAATATGTGACACTAAAAGACCGGTGCAGAAATAACAGCATGAGAGTTTTAAGCCCCAGAGAACCTGCCCAAGTCCTGGGCAAATGGACACCAACATAAAAATCTAGAGTGTCACCTTTTCTGTAAAGAAGGCGCTTGTGTAGATTGCAGTCTCTGCTTATATCGCTGCATCTGCTTTGAGGGTGAATGCAGTTTTTTGAAGAGTTCAGGGAATTCATTTGCTGGAAATAAAGTTTCCAAGAAGCCCTCCAGAAAGACGTATACCATCCTCTTATTCAGCTGAGTATGCTGAAACATTTCAAAGACTCTGAGAATGCCTTTCCTTGTTGTCTCAGCACCTAGGATATGCTTCAATTCATCTAGACAAATCACAAAATGATGTGACAGTTCAGTAACAATTCAATCTTCATGTTTATTTGCTGTAAAAGTACAAATTCTTAAAATGTTCAAGAAAATAACTATCATTCCCTAAATAGCCCTCGCACTAAATGCAAGGTTGTAAACTTTCTTAGAGATATAGTTTCTCAACGCTGTTCACATGCAGGCAAACAAGACTCTGCTTTTTTAAAACCTATGTGACACATCTAAGGACATTTTCCACTTCGGCTCAAGGATAAATAATTTCACACACCTGGCATCATCCCCAGTAATTTTGTTTTTCCAGCAATTCTCGTTCGCATTCTAATGGCATTGTCTCTGCGGGGAACAGTCTCAGCTAAAATGCCATTGGGCCAAAAGGCATCTCTGCAAACAGACAAGTTTACAAGTTAAAATAAAAACCAGGTTATAGTTCTCCTCTGAAAACTCAAAACACATCTTGCACATGCAAAGCTTAGGTACTATATTAAGACCTCAATATTAAAGTGGCTTCTCTAGATTAGCTGGTGTGTTTCTTCAGATCCTGGTTATACAACAGGGATGATAAACCTGGATCATTGACCACACTGGCTGTGCCTAATGAGAACTGGAGTCCAACAACATTTAGAGAGCCACACTACCCTGGCTGTGCACGATTGATCACAGCCAGTGATAGTTAGCCTAGACAAATGACTGAAGCCCGCCAATACTCACCAGCCCCAGCCAGCAAATCCAATCCACAGAGATGATAAGAACTATGGTCCGACCACATCTGCAAAGCAATAGCTTAGCCACTGTTGCTGTAGACTTTTCAGGTGCTTACTAGCCTGACCAGAGCAGAATTAATTAGGAGGAATAGCACTATGCTGGAGGCCCAGTGCCAACTAGGCTGGATGGGACATGCAAAGACAGCTATAGCTATCTCAACAAATCAAGATATTAAAAGCCACTAGTGCAAAGGAGAGGATGTAGAAAACTCCTAATGAGGTCAGTTTAAACTTTCTTTGGGAAAGAGAAGTTAAACAAACTGCTACAAAACAAAGCTGGAAAACATACAGGATATAGGTATTATTCACTGTATAATGTTGCCTTGATTCCCCCTGTAAGCAGGAAGGCTGATAGTAAGATTGCACATTAATTAGGCAGATTATTATTATTATTTGGTTGGGTCAAATAATGTACATCTATTTTTCAAGTAACTTTACATATTTGCAAAGGAGGCTTTCTACAGAGACCGACTATCTAGAAAAGGTTAATCATCTCTTTAAACCTAGCAGAGAAAGTGGTTCTCGTGAAAAGTAAGAATAGTTGTCAGCTAACATTGTATAGATGTGAACAGTAAATATAGGCAGGAAACATAAATTGCTTTGGGTACAGCATGTGTTAAAAGGACATACCTGAAACGTTTAACTGCATCTGCTACTTGTTCAGGAGATGTCATCCAATCAACATGATCTACTATTTTTCTGAAATTAAGATGGGCATATTGCTTTAATATATTGTATTCTTTAAAATCGAATGCAAGAAATAAAAGGGACAAATCTCATGTCCAACATTCATTGATACAGCAGCACCTGAAAGGGTTGGTAAGACCTGTATCTCTGCAACACTTACAGCTGCCAAATACATTTGTGGGGCTGTAAGGAAAGGAGAGCACACAATTTCTCTAAACAAATTTGCTGCTGTTTTAAATGCTTCTATATCTTCATGCAAAGGTGCCTACAGCAAGCTGAGCTTTAAGGGGCAGACTCCAGAACCTTCATTTCCCCCCTACATATTTCAGAAAAGTAATTATATTTAACATATTACTATCCAAAGAAAAGCTGGATAGTTGCAAAGGATACAGTACCAATTGCAACCTCACAGGAATAGTCCTAAGAGACTGCTAAGGCTGTTTTGTATGACACGGTAAACCAAACTTAGTAAGATTTGTTTTTGGCTCCAGCTCATGGTTGGTGAGGAGAGAGCTTAGCCATGGTCTGGATGACACGCTAAGCCAATCTATGGCTTAGTCTACCACAGGACAGCAATAAAAAGGTCAATGCAGAAGCACAATGACTGCAAGTTCCTCTCTTGACAGATAGCCTGCACTAAGACATAGTTTCACCTACAGTGTCATGCAACCAGGGCTGCGACTAACTCAATGCCAAATATTAAGCTTCACAGCTGAGCAGGAAATTGATCCAAGGTGTTCACCACATAAATGCAGCCTTCAATCCATTACCCTACCTAAGATACATGAGGGTAGGATGGGAAAGGGGAATTATAATTTTACTTAGTAAATATTGGTAATCTCCCACAAAGGGACACTGGACCCAGGTGATATGCTCAAAAGCTGACCATGACTACCTGGGTCCAGTACGCCATCATGCAGAAGCACCCTGCAGGTGAGTCTAATGGATCTGTTTTATAAGACAGCTAGATAAGGAAACAAGACAGACAGCAAACACTGTCTGAAGGAGGAGGAGGAGGAGGAGGAGTGAGAGAACCATTTATTGGGCCCCAACAAAAACTAAATCACATCACATTTTGCCTCCAAAATGAGTGCTTAAAAGACAAAAGTTTTACACATGTAATTTACAGAATAAATAGGTTTTTTATAATTATAAAGAAGGAAGGCAGTACTTATTTATTGTATATCCATGCATTGCTCTAATAAGCTGCTGAAGCAAGTTTTTGATATTTCGTCGTAGCCATTGATTTCTCTCCTTTAGATCAAAGATTTCATCCATGAGTAGCAGCATTATTTTAAGAGGAACATTGTCCTCCACCTATAAAATGGGGTGAAAAGGTTATTACTTTTTGGCAAGTGAATGAATCTTCCTCATTTCAGTAATGCATATCAGAACTCTGAAGAGCTTGCTTTGTTCAAAAGTATGAAACTATTGGAACATTTCAGCTCAAGCAAATACACAAGGTTGGATCGAACACAGTCCTTCTTCAAATGAAAGGAGTCCTGCTCACAAAAATGGTTTGATCCAGCAGGTGCTTCCACAAACAAAAAGGGACAATTTTCATGGAGTCTCCCTGCACCATCTCCTGCACTGTTCTTGAGGGTTCCCAAATCCAATGCACTAGATTTTGGGAGAACAAGAGATCTCAGGATCCCATTGTAACCAATTCATGTTATAATTACATTAAACACGAAAGCAATCTGGTATTTACATACTACAGAGTCTACCCCCATAGATACCCTAGCACTGAACTTTTTGTGACATATTTTTCAAGGTTAATATCAATACTTGGAACAGGACCCCGAGAGAGACTGGAAGCCATCACAGAAGACAAAGTAATGAAATAATGTGTTTATATCTGTCAGTCCTCATCAATAATTTGTCAACAAAGTATGCAAATTTAGCTCATAGGGCTTCATTTCAGATTCCTGTTTCTGAAAGTTATAGCCTAGAAACATTAAGTCATATTTAGCAACACTTTTTTCTATGAAGGACAAACAGAAGAGATGAAAATCGAAAGGTAAAAGATGTTCTATGAACTACTGGCCCCTTGGAATTTTTTACTTTTTTCCAATGAACAGCATGTTACAAACTGAATTTGCATTATCAGTTTCAGAAATCTTTTGCCGCTCAGCATGGGAGGTTGCTGTTTGAAGAGAAACAAGTCTGAAGCGCTACCAAGTGTGTGGAATCAGCTGAATGGCCCGTGGGATGCTGCACAGTGTCTTGGTAGCTCTTAATTTCAAACACTGATACACCCACTGTGTATCTGAATAGTACAAGCTGACTAACACATTCTTCTGTGACATGAAAACACTGAAAGATGCAAATCCAACCACATTTTACATTTTGGAAAAATTTATTTTGCTTGTACATGCGTATGTAGAAACTTTACACTCCATTACTAGCATGATGCACCATAAATCGAAATCAGTAACAGCAACGAAAGAGAACTGAATATAAGCTCTTTCTGTGATGATCAAAACAATGAAAACATAAAACATGTAATGCTCCTAAAGAAGGGGGAGATTTGCTAAAATCATAGCAGCAGACAGCATTCAGATATACAGAGTGGAATGCTTTGATGTGGCCAGAAAAAGATGTGAAGTGTAGAACAGGTGCAGATTTATGACCATGACAAATCTGCATATAATCAGTGGTAATCTTATGGTCCTTCTGTCCTCATTAAAGATAAAAGATTTTTTTGAACTGATCTTCACATATTTAATCAGTGTTTCAACCAAATCAGAAATTCCCTAGTTTATGAGAACATCAGGAACCTAAGCTTTTAATCTTCACCTTCATATTCTTACATACACTCACTTTGGAGCACTTAATAAGAAAGTCAACTACATCTATGACCAAAGAAGTTGTTTAATGTTTTGAGGTCATGAAACTATAACAAACTCTTATGAAAATGTATTAAAGGAAGCTATCCATTTTTTTTTATAGAACTGACACAGAATTTGTTGATCATTTGAATATTGTAGGAGTAGGGGGGAAACACACATACATACATATGTAACACGTTTTATAACGAAGTTTTATCGGGATCCAAAGAACTATTCAAGTAGCTTTGCATGCCTGATGGGATTCAGGGTCATGTTACTTTAACAGGAATCCCCCACATGAAACGGCAATCAGGCTTCAAAACTGAGATTCCCTATTCATTTTAAATAAGGCATGAAGGTTGCTGTCAAAGGGTGGTGGGAATCCCATGAAGCATGCTACCTTTCAACCTGCCTATAGCTGTTCTTTGGACCTCAACTAGAGGACTTTACATATTTAGGCACCACTGATTCATAGTAATACCATGGGTAAACTCTAGTGTACACACATGCACGTGTGTGTGTGTGTGTGTGTGTGTGTGTATCAATCAGGCACATATAGAGACACATGTATACATTTCATTTATAAGCAAAAGTGAGGTTAGTTTAAAAGCAACTATCAAACTCACATTGTCTTCAACTTGTGCTGCAACACGGCAGTGCTTAGGATCAACGTATGTCTTCTGCATTAAAGGAGGATCCTAAATCCCAAAGAGAAATTATTGAAAGCGAGAAATAGTGATGAAAAAAATATCCTTTATAAAGCCAGAGAATTCTGAAACTCAATTCAAAACCAATACTTTTATGAACTTTAGTTCATAAAATACTTTTAACTGCTTGATATAAAATCTGCTAAGGCACAGCACTGCGGAAGTGCTTTAATAAAAATCCAAAACAAGTATTGGAACAAATTAAGCAGCATTAGGAGCATCTAACAGTCACATGACAAAAAGCCTAACTAGCCTGCATTCTCACACTTTTTCTTTGGGATTTGTTTGTATCAATTTATAAAATATAATGGAAAAATAAGACTTGCTTTTGCTTAAATCTCATATAACATAAATAGTTTATGCTTCTAAAATGCCTTATTCCTAAAGGCATAAACTACTGCTTAATCTGCATTTTCAATTTTACTTTAGTCCATTTTTAAAGAAAAGGTTCCAATATTGTTTATTACTACGCAGGTGCATTTTGTCAAAGGTTAGTAAGGCCCTACATTGCTGACCTTAGAACAGGGGTGGGGAAACCTGTGGCCTGTCGGAAATTGGCCAAGCTATCTGAAACTGGTGGGATTTTGAACCCAGCAGCTTCTGGAATGCCCACAGGCTTCCCTGCCCCAGCTCTACAGCAATATTTATGCAATACAACAAAAAGGAGAAAAGGGGAAAGGGAGATAAAATACTCATCTTGCATGGTTTTATTTTAACTTTACACACTTGAAATATTCCGTTTTGGGAAAGATGCATTAATGTGTGACACAGCAGAAGTGTTGGGTTAGCAATGACAAGGCTAAATGGAATAAATATATTTTATTCAAGGGTGGGGAAGGGGACTGATGGAAAGCAAGGTCTGTGGGGGGGAAATGGGAGGAAAAATTGCTTCAGACATTTGTCTCCACTCTCCAGCATCTCTAGTGTACGCACGGAGCTCTTGATGCACACATGATGCTTGATGCAAGCCAGTACATTCCCTAGCATGGAAACAGAGGGTGGCCTCTGCTTAGGCAGAGCATCGTGTGAGCACTGAAGCACTGAAAAGCTCTGGGCTGCAGCCAATAAGTGGGAATGTGGGGAGGAACACTATGTTAAAATAAGCCTAGGTGTTCTGGTAACTTAGTAAGGGTTGCAAAATTGGCAGTATTTGACGAAGGTGCTGGAGCACAGACAGTGTTCTGAAATTAAAAACGGGAGTGTGCATTTTCAGTAGTGGACCACCCTAAATTAACTAACATCAACATCAGGGAGCTCTTCATGTCTTTGAAACAAAACTACCCTATACAGTGATGTAACTGCATATTCTGCAGTGTATTGGTAAGGCAAAAATGATTAAAAGAAATGACAGGGTGCACCATTCGTGAAGAAGATGGCCCATGGTTGCCAAACACTCTGTTTAAGAGAACGTTTGGCAACTTAACAATCAAGCTTCTCAACTGATGGTAGCAGCTGTATTAATCTACGTATCTGAACCCACAGACGTTTCACTCACTCTGCCACATTTTACAGTGCTGGCTTGCAAGTATCACTAAGCCATGGTTTAGCATTACGTGTATAAGGTGAAATGACTCCAAGCAAGATTTGGGCTTGCACAGGGTCCATGTGTCCAGAAGGACTTTGGCAGGATTATGTTCTTATGCACTCCTTCCTAGTTATTTTTTTCATTCTTCCAAATAAAAAGAAAGGCAACACTATTAAACATAACTGTTACCTCACACTTTGCCTAGTTTGATCATGTTTAAATGAGGCGGCTCAAAATGGAACCAAGTCTAATGTGCGTTACTTCAATGCATTCTTACCTTGAAAAATGATTGCTTTATGTCTTGTCCCAATCTTTCTGACATTTTGCCCATGTTGTCTGACATTTTAGTCATCCCCTCTGCGAAGCTGTCAGGGAAGGACTTGACAGCATTTGAAACATTTCTCATAGAGTTACGCAGTGGGTTTACAAATGTGTCCATCTGAAGAGGAAAACATTTACCACGATTGCATAAATCTATGAGGATATGACTCATCCTCCAATAATGTGTGTTGAAAACATCACACTGTTTTGGAGAGCAGTAATACAAAGCCATTACTACGAAAAAAATATTACTGTGTAAATTTCAGGCATCAGTAAGGCTAATTTTGTAAAATACATGCCCTGACTTTGAAAACAATCAAAACTGAGAGAAATGTCAACCACAGACAGCAAGTTTCTTGGGCAAGGGATTTGCTTTTGTAACATTACTATGCAAAGTACCATGTTTACTGGTGCTGAATAATATTAATGGAATGGAAGCAGAAGACATCTCCACCCACACAGGGGGAGGTCTCAGATTTCCCCCTCCAGTTGTATCCCCCCCAACCCAAAGTCCATACTGTTCCAAAAAGTCCCAACACCCTTAAGAGCAGCTTTTTGGGAAGCTGCAACAAAAGAAGATGAGAAAATAAAAGGGAGAGGAGAGAAAGAGCGAGAGAGCGCACACTAAATTAAAGTGTTCATCCATTGAAGTGTACACACCAGCTACTGGGGATAATAGACCCTTGCCCTTGAAGCAGACAAATGTTATCCTGTGTGCATTTATTTGTTATTTTGAAAGAGTAAAGTTGTGTGGAGTTAGTAAAAATATATTAAGAATTTAAATGACGGCTACACATTCCAATTAACAAAGCACTGCTGCTGAAGAAGCCGTATGTGGTCTTCCTCCACCTCTGTAATGCATCAAAGAACTAAAAAGAACTAATCTAAGTTTTAATACTACACATCAGCCAGCCCCATCAGCCTATAATATGGGGGGGCAGGGGGGCAATAATTCTGTGACATCAAAACATAGATTATTTTCTACTATACAGGGAAATAATTTGAAATGGGCACATTGTTTCTGATAGATCATGATGTGTGATTCTATATTACTAGTTTACTTCTATAATGTAATCTATACAGTTGTTCTAAGCATTATTATCCACACTCCTAGAGTATGTTCCCTGCCAAGCTAGAGTCCCTGTTTTGGTCCAATAACAAAAAAAGAATTTATTTTTTTTTAAAAAAAATGAGAACTATGTTATTTGCTGATTTCTGTTGCTTGCATATATCTAAAATCCATTACAACTCAAAATACATATAGTAATGTGCCTCACCCAAGACTTGTAATGCAGTGGGCATGTTTCCAAAGTGGTCATGAGCTGTTTGTAAATCCACTGTTTGGGAGGAGGCAAGGACAAATGCCTGTGTCCAAGAGTTTTTCCAAGTGAGCAAATATAATTGATGGGACACCTAAGAACCTTGAAAAATGTAGCATCAAGCCTATTCACACCTCTAAAGCCAGCCAATTACAGCCTGGCGTGAAATTAGACCTCCCTTTCCAGATGGATGCTCAAGTATTCTCTGGAGCGTTTGGCTGATTGGCCAGGTATGGCTTTTCTTGCAACGAAACTCCACTGACAGCCTCAATTGTTGCAGCTCCCTCTGAAGACTGCTTGGAAACTACAACTGGGGGAAAATAAAACTGCTAGATGGTCAATTGGTTCTAACATGAGAGAACAGAGAACAGTTAAAGAACAGTGTCAAAAGGCAAATGATGAATTGATATTGATTTATATATAATTTTGTCTTTATCTAACATTTTTATACGTAACAGTGTGTTTTTCTTTAGGTTGTTTGTTGTTGCTTCATTTTTTTGCACACCACTTAGAGATATTTTTATATATTAAGCTGTATAGAAATTAAATAACCAATCTATCTATATTGGCTACTTATTTGTTTCTAGGCACAATTTTAAGTGCTGTTTCTGACCGTCAAAGCCCTAAGTAGTCTGGGACTGAAAAGCATGATATCTACCCCAACACCTTTTTCTGAGGACTTGGTCTGAGTGTTTCTGCTTCTTGAGGTGTTGACCAGTGGTTAGAGAGAGGGGCTTTTTATTGCCCCTAATCTGTGGAATGTCCTACGTTTGCTTGCCTGCCAGAAAATGGGTAGGAATGATTTTTCCCCCTTAGTTTTTATTAGAGTTTGATGCTTGCTGTTGCTACCCAACAATATTTGCCTGGTGTGTTTTTTAATCCATTAACATTTTGTTGTGGTTTTGTCAATATGTTGTTGTGTCCCTGTTGTATGTTAGCTATCTTAAGAATCCTTGTGGGATAAATGTATAAAATACATTACTTTCACTCCCTTACCATGTCCATATGGCCCTTGTATAATATCTATAATGGAATTGCAATGAAGGATCATGCAAAATACAGAAACTTCCTTCAGATATAATTATGCATTTGGATTTAAAGCCCACCATCTTTTTAAGGCAGAAGCACAGCGATTCCTGAAGAGACAACATGGTCCTCAGTCTAGCCCTCAAAGGTTTCTGGGCAAAGGCTCTCTCTTTTTGGCCAAACAAGAAAACCACATATTTTTAAGTGGCATGCAAATGAGCTGATAGGAACTGTACAAACCATGGCACAATATGAATATGCACTAATTTAACTGTTCCATTCAAATGAAAAGTTTAAGAACAAGAGGGATTCGGTCTCCAGGGAGTTACAGAAGCTTGAATCATTTTAGACACATGTATTTTAGTTCAACCTCTACTTAAATTTAATTTTTTTAGAATAGCACAGAAAGCTGTGCCTAATTTATAGAAAGGAATTGTGAGGGCAAAAGGACTAAGTAAGCATGTAAAATCTGCAAGTTGATCTACTTCAAGCACAATTACTAAATGATCAACTTTGACAAAGTGCTGCATTTTAAAAATTGGTGCTTAGCTCCTTTTGCTCTTTGATGTGAAACAGCCTCAAAAACCAGTCTTAGAGGGAGACATGCATTCTCTCTTTTGAGCAGGTGGTTGGAGTCATGAAGCATGTGGTGCCTGGAATGGGCAGAGGATTTTAGGGTAAATAAAAGGGAAGGGATATTTACATCTTTCAACACTAGGTGCATCTCAGGCTTGATAGCAAACTTATAAACAATACAGAAACTTTTTGCATTACAACAATTCTCTTATGCAAGTTTGGCTTCTTTGCCGATAAATAAATGCTTCTGTTTCAAAAAACAACAACCCCTTATTTGCATACTGCATTTATACCACGTGTCCATTCATATATAAATCACGTAATACAAGCTAAACAACGAAGGGCATACAATATGAACAACAGATTATGTTGATTGATTGTGCACAATGTTGTAGGACGACAGCCATCACTGAGCCCTGCTAGACAACAGATAATATTCTTACCTTCCGAGCAATCTCTCCCTTTCCTTTACTGTATGCTTTGTTTTCCAAGAAGTCATACAGACAGTGTATTAAAGCTGGATAACATTTCATCACTTCAGGAGTTAACAAAAGCTAAGAAGTAAAGGAGGCAGGTAATTTTGGAAGGTGAGCATTTTGGTTCTGAATGATAAAACACGTTACAGCACAGCAGAAATAAGAAGTTTTAAATGCTTTTGCATAGCTCCTGCTTCCTAAAAGAACTAGTAGTCCTTCTCCTAAGCAGAATTGGCCAGTTCAGTCCCTCCCCCATTCAAAAAACCCCAAACCCTCTCACGATAGAAAGTACCTGTCAAATCTTATCAGTTTTGCCTGACATTTTGTGGGCTTTGTGCCCTCAAAACAAGCTAGTATGTCTGTACATTTATTCCAATTCCATCTAAAAATATAAAGGTTACAGGAGTACCATTACTCTCACATTTTAAAGGCATCTTCCATAAAAGCAACTGAAACTGTACCTAAAAGTAAAATTGGCCCTGACCTCTATGGTGTCATGGGGTCACTGGATTGGGCTGCAACTCCACTTTGACCACGAGGCAGAACTAAAGACTCTTTGGGGAAGTGGGTGGCTCCCAATCAGTTTTATGGGCTCCCAAACAGTGTTATGGACTCGCGAAGCTCAAACACTCATCGGAGTTTCAGGTAGTAAGGAAATAAAAGATGCCCACTTTCCCCTTAAACAACAGGGCATAGAACATGTAAGAAAAGGAAGAGGGACATTGCAGTTCATATTAGGGAGTGGCCCCACAGACCCCATGACGTCACAGAGACCTACACTTCAGGTCAGTACCAATTGTACTATCTTCTACTAGTATCTTTTTGTCTTTTAAAAAAATCTTTCTTTGAAGGATAGTGAATGGAAAGGAAATAAGATAAAAGGTCTCACAAAGTTATGAAGGAACTGTAGAAAGAGGGGAAAATAGCTTGAGGAAACGTAAGAAAAACAGGAGCTAAAGGCGATGTGATGGCTTTTATCAAGCAGCAGCAAAAAAACTGAATGGGAGCCGCCTACTTTCCCAGAATCTTTGCTCTTGCCTCGTGATCACAGTGGATTCAGAGCCCAATCCAGTGACACCATGACGCCAGTAGAAGATCATGACATGTTTCATACCATCCAAAAGAACTACTATGCCTGAAAACACTTTCAGTTGTAACATATCAAGTTATCGTTCAGCCCGGACACTGAGGTCCAGCTCCGAGGGCCTTCTGGCGGTTCCTTCACTGTGAGAAGTGAAGTTACAGAGAACCAGGCAGAGGGCCTTCTTGGTAGTGGCGCCCACCCTGTGGAACACCCTCCTGTCAGATGTAAAGGAAATAAACAACCACCTGACTTTTAGAAAACATCTGAAGGCAGCCCTGAACTTTGCTGCAAATTTTCAAGAGATCAGATTAGGAAAAAAATTATTAAGGCACACATAATGAAAAATTTGAATATAAAAACATACCTGCAAATATGCATTTAAATCATTCTTCCTTTTTTCTAAGAAGTCTCTGTCCATGTTGTTGAATGTTTTTTTACCAGGAAGCTTTAACATACTTCCTAGATTTTCAAACTAGAAAAGAACCCATAATTTTTTATTTTAAATATATATCTAACCTCTACATCCAAACTGAATTACTATGCATTCATTTCATAAATACATTTCGGGTCCATTTCACATGCAACACTTCCAATCTATTTACTTTGTTTAAGAAATCAGGAGGAAGCTCCCTCACTCACCCCCAGAACTAACTGTGATGGGAAACATCTGGAATGTTATATCTGCACCAATGCTATGAATGTTTAATATTAACTGGACAACTGAACAACTTGTTTTAGACTGTACCACTTCGGGCTAACAATGTGGGTTAATGCAACTGAATGCTCAACCATGCAGAATAAAGGACCATTAGTCTTATCCATTTATCTGTGTACAGAAGATACCCTTTACATACAGGAAATGAAAATGTCAAGGATAGATTTAGCTTAGGTTTCTCCCTGACACATTCTTTTTCCATATGTGTGTGAGCATACAAGATACTTCTTTGCACAGTAATGTGATCCTAAATATCAATTCTGTAGTAGTATGAGAACCTAGGAAGCTGCCTGATACCAAGTCAAACCATTGGTCCATTTGGATCAAGGGTAGCCAATGTGATGCCCTCCAAATGTCTGTACTACATCATCTTTGACTACTGGCCATGCTGACTGAGGCTGATAGGAGTTGTAGTTCAAAACCTTTGGAGGACAGCATGACTCTTAACTGGCAACAGCTCTAAAGCAGGCATGGCCAAACTTGGCCCTCCAGCTGTTTTGGGACTACAACTCCATAATCCCTAACTAACAGGACCAGTGGTCAGGGATGATGGGAATTGTAGTCCCAAAACAGCTGGAGGGCCAAGTTTGGCCATGCCTGCTCTAAAGGATTTCAGATGGGGGTCTTTCCCACCCATACCTGGAATTACTAGGGACAGAATCTGAGACGAAAACATAAATTACCATTGAACTAAAAGCTCATTTAAATTAGCAATGCAGCTGAAGTTTGGAACAGGATTGTTTGGGATATTAACTTACTTTATTCTGAGGTCACTACAAGCCAAACCATAACTTCTCCTAAGTTTGGACTTAGCTAGTTTATCGCAACTCCAGTAGATTATCAGAAGCACAGACCAGCTAAGCTCACTGAACCTCTTTCATCACTAATTTAAATTAATTGAGGAAGCCACCTGCTCTTTCCACAAACACATTTTAACTGCAGATATTACCTGCTCAGTAATCCTCATGTGGAAGTCGTGGAAGTCACTGTAGCGACGATATGTTTTCCATACTTCGTCACCATTTGGGGTTCGACGACGAACACTGATAGCATATAGCGCGTATGTCTTGCCGTGGTCATTGCAAACTCCTGCCACAGTATATGGGTCATAATCAGCATAAACTAGCAATTTAAAACAAAAAACGAAGGAAGAAGAAAGGAACACAAAAGAGGAAGGCGAAAGGGCAGAAGAGACATGAAATGAAGAGATGTTGGAAATGACAAGGAAGTGGAGACAAAATGGGCATGCAAACTGAGGAAGAAAACAAACTGCCTTGCTCTGTGTATGAAATCATAGCATCCTATAATCAAGCGATACTTCAGCAAAATGTTCTTGTCTAGATCAGGGCAGTCCAACCGGAAACCTGGGGACTGCATGCAGCCTTCAAGGCCTTTTGGGGCAGCCCTTGACAACATTTGACACCCCTTTCAACCCTTGTGCTGCCTTCCCAAAGTTGGGTGAGCTAGGTGCTGAGCTATGGGAAGGAGGCATGGTGGCTCTGACAGGGTCCTAGAGTCCTCCATTCTCCTTCACAAAGTCTAATTAGCACCTTCCCAGCTTTGGGAAGGAGGTGGGAGGGCTCTATTTGTACAACCAAATGCTGTATACCAGACTGACAGTATATGATGCAGCTGCATACAAGTCTCAGGTCATTTGTGTCTTCTGACTCCTATGATGTACCTGGGCAGGTACTTGAAAAGGGGTACCAACAACAAGGGGTTGATTCCACTATTCCATTGTTGGTTTAGGTTGTATCTGTAGCTACTTAGGAACTGGATATGTCAAACTAACTGAAGCTGTATGTGGTAAATATATGAGATTTGAAAGCTAGGGAGCAACAACTGTCATATATAGAAAATAAACTTTTTTGGGGCGAGGGGAACACACACCAAATGAAGAATTCCTGACTCCCAGGATCACAGAAGTTGGTTGTCTCTGTAAAGCTGTCATATTCAGTGGTTATTACCAATAACAGAATATGAAGTGTAGTGATAGATGCTATCTTATTTTTAAAAGACATCTGAAGGCAGCCCTGTTTAGGGAAGTTTTTAATATTTAATGCTGTATTGTTTTTAACACTCAATTGGGAGCTGCCCAGAGTGGCTGGGGAAACTCAGCCAGATGGGCGGGGTATAAATAAATTATTATTATTATTAAGCAACTATATGCATTTTCCCACCTGTGTATGACCAGCACGAATACCCCTGCTGACACACCCACTGTTTTCAGTGCCAAAAAGGGGGCAGAACAGGAGAACCCCCACTCTCAGCAGCCAGGAAGGGAACGCCCATGTAAGTGGTGATTCCCCTGTAATATCAGGCCATTTAACTTACAGGCATGTTTCAGTTTCAATTTTAGGCATATTTTCATTTCCAGCTCTTTTTATATTGGAATCCAACTTACTGCTAAGGCAATCGTTCCATCAATAATTTCTGCTTGTGAAATTTGTCCTTCCATGCACCCCTAAATCTGTTTGAGAGGTTCCTCCAAACTTCTGGAGCAGATCTGGGGATGGGGGGGCAGGAGTCCTACTGTGTAAGTGGACATCCTTGTTACTGGAATACCACCCATAGATTCAACACTTTAAAAAGAGTTTCAAATAACAACTGAAAAATTGGCTGCTAGTATTCATGCCTGGAATGAAAAAAGCTTTCCCCCCCATCAGATTGATCTGAAGAACTCTTTATTGTTGAAGAAAAGTATGCTATAATAATACAAATGTTTGCTTAATGTAAATAGGTGAATGTTAGATGTGAACAAATAAAATTATGGTGAAATACATACAATTTAATGATGACATTATTGTACATTAAATGAAAATGAAACAAACTCAGTCTTATATTGAATAGTCTAAGGCATTCATGGAATTTCAACACAACTAAATGACATTTTAATAATACAGGGGGAAAATCCAAAATTAGAATGGCTTAGGAGCCAAGGAACTCCAAATAATTCCATAACCCCCCAAGAAGCCTATAGGCTTGCCTGGAAAACTGCTTTGAAACTAAGGAAAGTTTCAAAAGGTTTGAATGAGTGGTGTGGCAGATGTTCAAGAAAAAATAAGCTTTTAAAATCTATGGGGCTGCATCAAGCCCCTTCATGAGCCTTAAGCAGTTCTTTGTTCTTGGGGTTTGTGAATACCAATAACCACACCAAGCAAGCAGAGATCATGAGGACAAAAAGGTTATGATGGAAAGTAGCTGGTTTAAAAGAGGTACATGACGGCAGAGTTAATCAAGTTTTATGAAGAAAAGGAACACAACAGCCATGATAGTATGACCAAATATTGAAAGAGAAAGCATCACTACTGAACTCACCGGTATCTGAAATATATGCATGTAATTGTATTGACTCATCGGCAGGCACATTTGAAAGATCATCCAATGACTAGAAGAAGAATAGCCAGAGTCACAATTTTAGCAAGAATGACAAACTGCTTTGACAGACCAGGAGCCAATATTGTGCAGCATTTTATTTCTGAAAGCCTACAGTGGATGCCTCTACAACTTTGCAAACAAAGATCAAAAATGGAAGTCAAACTCCTTGGCACCCAGTATTCAGATGTATATTTTCCCTGGATATGGAGGTTCCACTTAGGTATCACAGCTACAAGTAGCCAATATACCTATCCTTGAACAATTCCTTTTTAAGGTTGGTATCTAAATTGTATCTACACAATACTGAGAATGAGGTCTTCATTTGGAATGCTATCACTTGAGATTGTAGAGGGGAAACCTTATTTCTGGATGCTTTCTAAGTAAAAACAGAATGTCCTCTAGGCAGTAAACTAGCTTGCCTGAAAGAAAGGTTACCATATCCCTCTCCTTGATATGTTAATAAACTAGCTTCAAAATAGATCACTAGAAATAAAAATTAAAAAACCCCACCAATTAAGTCCCACCAGCATCAATTAAATTTGCTTCTCATTAATTAAATAAGTAAAGCTTTAGTTACGTAATCTCCCAATTAAACAATTACAGGTGTGCCCCACTTATACGGGGATTACATTCCAGGTCCCCGTGGGCATAGGTGCAATCACATAAAGTGGGGAGCACCCCACTTTAATAGGGAGGGTGAATGGGGATGAGAGCGAGAGGATGAGGGAGAGGGAGGCGGGAGAGAGGCAGATTCACCCGGGGCCACTGCCCAGCATGTCCTGAGCCTGCAAGCTTGCCTGCCTGCCTCTGTGTGAGCCAGTATGTGTGGTAGCAATGGACGGCCATGGAGGCTGAGGACTGAGAAGGGCGCCAAGCAGAACTGGAGCCAGGATGGGGGCACAGATGTGCAGCAGAGGTAGGGAGAAGGTGCCTCCTGCTCTGCTTCTGGTCGATCAATGGCAGCAGTCCTGAGCAAGAGAAGGCCTGTTTATTTACTTATTTATTTTGCATTGGCCTGCGTAAACATGGTCACGTATGTGTGGGATGTGGGAGCGTGTCTGTAGTTTGAAATGACAATAGAAAATGCTACCAAAAATGTTGCTATTTTTTCCTGCAACTATCCTTATCTTTGGCAGAAGCCAAATGTAAATTTAGGTGGGTGAAATTTTCCTGGCCAGGATAAAAGTTGTAGGAAAGCTTCAACTAATTTCTGTTAAGAGTCAGGAACAGGGTCAGAAAAGGAGATGCCATAGGATACAGTTGTCATAGCAATGATCTTTCTCTTATTGATATCCTCACTACTTTTTGTTACTGAATGACTGAAAGCACCTGTGTGTTTTCCCCTGTCAGATAAAGAGCTGCTGGTGATAGTTATTTGGAAGATAGCACAAGGAAAGAGTCCTGTTCCCCCTACCCTACCCCACCCTGCCACTGCCGCCAACATTACACACTTGAAAAAACACACTTACCAAATTAATGCTGCCAGTAGGAGAACCATTGAATGATTCTGTCAAAATAAGACACAGAACTGTACGTCAAAACATAAATGTTTAAGCAAGTTAACATGTGAAGTATTACATATCAGGATTTCTTTCCGAATAGAAAGTGTAAACGAAGATCTAATTACAAAACATTACTGATATCCACATAGTTTAACTTAATGATGAATTTTAGGCTAATTTGAAAGTTGCATGCATCACAATATTCCTAATTAGATTAGAACAAACATGGTAAACTATTAGCAGGCACGCAAGTGTGGCCCTAATGTTAAAACTTAAAGGTATTACTAATCTATACCACTAGGTGGCAGCGAAGCACACTTATTATTTGTATACTACTATCATATAATATTACCCTATTTGACACATTAATAAAATCAGGAGTGGTTATGGTAAAAATTTAATGACTTCCACGCAGGAGAAGTCTCAGGTTGCAGGTACACAACACATCAGAGGAAGGCATATAAACTGGAGGAGGGAAGGAGCCCCATAGCTATTGCAACTGTTCTGCAGGTTCTAGACCTATAGACAGCTGCCTAGAGGATATAAGCATGTGATCATCAGAGCACTGTGGAACCTGCTGGAAATGCTTCTCTTGCCAACAGAGTTAACTATCAGATGTGTGTCTTACTTATCTGGGATGGGCCACAACAATACAATACATGTTCATACAACAGAACTTAATATGACAAAGCATGGGGGGAAGAAATTGTAGAATGACACTTGAGTGCTCTTTTATTGAGCAAGCTATAGACTTGAAAAGTTTGCAAGAAAGTTTCATATTCAGTTTACTAAGGGGCTGCTTGTAACATGTCATAATTACCAGGATGAAAGAGATTGGATAGAGATCATAATTATATTTTGTGATGTTTATATATTTCTCTTCCATACCATAAAGTGTATAGTTTATCCAAAGGAAACTGTTCTCTATTCATGCACCATGCAAGCTCAATGCAGAATGACTGCACGTTTTTAAAGTCCTATGGGTATGGCGCACAATTAACCCAACAGTGAAATTTCCTTCTGCTAAGGCATATCAGTGCCTGTCATCTTAAACACACACACACATGCACACACACACAATGTGGGCTCCCTTTTGGAAACTGGAACTGAGTAATCAGGTTGGGATTTAATGTACTTTGGTCTCATTTTATTGGACTTGCATATATCTTGGTTCTTAAATTCTTACTGGGCATACAGGATGAGACGGGGCAAACATTTAAACAGATTTTAAAAACATCACACAGTAAATCTGATGCTGCAGTGATATCACAAATAAGCATAAAACATAACAATTAAAATCTGGAATAAACTTTATTTTTATTTTATTTATTAAATCTGTATATAGCCCTTCATCCAAAGATCACAGGGTGGATCACAACATAAGCTTACCCCCTTCACCATCATCCGATCCTCTGAAGCTAGGGTCCTTTAGCATATCTAGCTCCGCAAGCATTCGGACGTAGAGGACATGCAGTCTGAATGAAGGATAGAAGCGTTCATCCCGGAGCATCATATCATATACCTTATGGAATGGAAAGTTCAGTATTACTCGCAATTATGGAATCAAGCAGATTAGACTTTCAAAGGTCTCCTAAATTGTGGCACAGCACCCAAGGAAGAATGGCAGGCCTTACCAGGTTGAACAACACTGCTTTCCCAATTATAAACCTGAGTATCCCAATTCAGAACACAGCTCGTTTGTAGGTGCCTTCTGCTCACAAACTTCCCACCTCCCCTTCCCTTTCTCCTTCATAAGCACTGTAAAGCTTTTGCTTCCAATTTGTAGTGAATCCATTTCCCCTTTCGTCCACCAGGGGCAGGCAAGGTTTACCTTGCCAGGGCTGGTTCACTCCAGCAGAGGGCCGGATTGCACGCGTGCCCGAGATTTCCAGCATCTGTGTCTGTGCAGATGCGATTTTCGGCGTCTGCACATGTGTAGACACAATTTCTGGCACCGCAGAAGCGAGTTCCTGCGCTGCGCTGCACCGGTTTAGCACAGCACGCAGGGACACACTGAGCGGGCAGTTCAGTTCGGGAGTGGCTCGGGGGCTGGTTAAATGACCACGGTGGGCCACTTGTGGCCCATGGGCCTTAGGCTGCTTACCCCGGTCCAAACCATAGTTAATTAACTAATGAAGGTCTAAAGCAGTTAACTAATGAAGGTCTAAAGAAGAGCTTTCCAAACTTTTCATGTTGGTGACATACTTTTTAGACATGCATCATTTTGCGACACAGTAATTAAGGTTTACTAGCAAACCAGAGGTTAAACCAACCCCTTTCCAGCCCCGGGAGGAGCGTGGGGAGTGCTTGTGCAACACACCAATGTGTCATGACACAGTTTGGAAAGCTCTGGTCTAAAAACTGGGTCAATATTTAAATCAACCAACCAATTTCTCTGCCATGCTGTTAATAAAGCAGTGTTAGTCACGCAAAATTGCCCCCAGAACAATTTTGCTGAGCTGTTGATGAATTTGTTGCTGTGCATTTTGGAACTGAGAAGCTGGGCACGCCCCAATTAAAGCTTAGTCCAGTTATGATCAAACTCAAACTTCAGAGCAAACTCAACATGGCACCCTAGTTAACTCTGAAAAAAAGGAAGCGAGAGAGAATTCATATGTGGGAGCACTCCATTTTTAAGAAGTTTGGTACTTTTACATCTGCCACAAGCCACAGAAAGCAAGCTATGAGTTGCATGTAATGGAAATGCTGCAATATTTCTGGGATAACTTTGAATTTTCATTGAAAATCAACAAAATCAGTTATTAGCAACCAACTTCCACCAATACATATGAAAAGGAGAATTAGCATACTATACCTTTCTCTGAATCTCATCAAATATTTCAGGAGTTGGATCCTCATTATTCAGTTTCTCTGCCAGTTTTGCAACCAAGGTATCATCAATATTGACTCTTGGTGATGCCTGCCATAGAGAACTCAATAAATTTGTGCACCACTTGACCTTATTTTAATTTGTAAAAAAATAAAACTCAAATTATTATTGCAGAGAGAAAAAATAAAGGTAAAGATAGACACCTAACAAGTAAAGACTGCAACAATTATTTTCATCAAACCAAGATCACTAGTCAAGGGAGAAAGATATTTATAAATAGATTCTAGAAATGCTAGTCAGGACTTACCGTTTCCACCTCTGCTCATGGCAAGAGTGAAGCAAGGAAGAGTAGGGGATGGTGCCTATAGATGGCATTTAATGTAATGTGCTTCTTAAAATGTATCTGAAGAAAATATATTTCTTAAAATGTATCTAAAATGCATGTGTGTTAGTCTTGTAGAGACAAGAGAAATAAAAAAGGAACCAAACAACTAAAGACTTTGTCACATTCTGTCTGCATCCCCAAATTCAAATTGACTTGCTCAAAGCCAAACATAAAGAATAAAAATGAAGGACATTATTCTGTGTAAAAAGTAAAGGCGGATCCTCTGTAGTTCAATTTTATTAAGTTCATCAGAGCCTCTGCATCTTCAAATATTGGACTGAGGTTCAGCAGCTTGATCTTAAGGTGCCTATGCAACTTTTAGAATACAGCTATCATATAGATTAATTTCCCTTTAAAACCCATTTTTACCTTCTCTGACAAATATTGATCATAAATTCCAACTGCAGCTGACTTTAATAGGCCTTTGGTTTCTGTAGTCTGATGCCTTCCATCTTTCTGAAGACTCAATAGCACTTCCAGCTGCTGCTGTGCTGTAACCCTGTATCCTTCTACGGTCATCCAGAAAAAGAGATGTGCTTGGCCGCCCATCTGCTGCATGTAATCTACAAATAATAATTCAGTCACATCTATTAGGATACAAATATCCTACCCAAATAATTTGCCCTGAAGAACTACGGTAGATAAAAAAATTAAATTAGCAAAGTGATGCTGATTTTGGATGAGAATAATTATAATCAAAATTATATGCTCAGCATATTTACTAACAAATTGCTCTGAACTTTGGTGTTTACATGCTGCTCCCTAAGTCCTATCCACTGCTTTCTTGCTGCTCTGGAAGGAATCACGCTACTTTAAAAATGGCAGAGTTGACAATACATGGCAGCTCCTTAGCCTTGGAATTAAGTGAGCCATTCACATTAAAAAAAAAAAAAAAAGGTTCTGCTCATTTGTGTTAGATAGTATGGACAGCAAGGTTTGGTACTGAAGTGGATGTGGCCAAAAATTAATTTCTCCTCTCTTTATAATTCATTTGTGCCTACTGCAGGCTATGATGGTATTTCATAGTTTTAAAAACACACAACTACTGTTCTCTTACCCATAAAAAATTGTAGTGCAACATTGTTAATAAGAATGGTGTCCAGAGGGACTGTGCAAAGTTTTCCGAAGTTTGCAGCCAGTTTCACAGTATCTATTTCCTGGATAAAGACCACATCATGTTAATAGGTTCCTAGATTAAAATCAATATACAATCACAACGTAAAACCATTTTAGTAGCATCATGCATGTTTTCTTCCCAAGAAAAAACTCTCTCTTTTGCCATAGCAACATTTCCAGTAATATGGAAAGTCTGCTGCCCATGAGGTCCTTCAGCTAATCGGGGTGGGGAACTTGCAGCACTCCACATTTTGTTGCAATCCAACTTCCATTATCCCTGGTCACTGGCCATACTGCCTGGGGCTGATGGGAGCTGGAGTCAAACAACATTTTGAGGGCCATAGGTTTCCCTTCACCCAAGCTAAGTACAACTGGGAAACAATGCAGGGACTGTGCAACGTTCTACTATACACTTCAACATTCTATGCTTTGTCAAAGGCATTAGGAATAGATTCACTGGGCTGAGGAAGTCATTCAAACATGATGATGCCTATGAAACTGTCAGTAACAGTTCAGCAGTGCTTCCAATACCAAGCTGGTATATAATGGGCTTTGATACTAACTAGGCTTCGGGGGGGGGCTGGAAAGGACCACAGACGGCATCAGCAACCATCGCCTCTGCTCTCTTCCTCTGGCAAGAGCATCACATGAATGGAACTCCCACCATGTCAGTGTGGGGCAGAGGCAGGGGACCAGGAGAGGGGACCAGTGATGTTATAGATCACGGACATCCAACGTCCAAGAGATTGCAATCTACTTGCACACTTAAAATCTGGTAGTGATCTACCCCTTTTTTGGGGGGGGGGGTTCAGGTCAAAAATATGAAAAGAAGTGCTCATCGAGAGATCACTAATGAGACAGCCTTGATAAGAAAACTCTGTCTTCTGTTCTAGCAACCTAGAGGATGGGGCAAGGGGGCGGGGCCAGAGGAAGGAGCCAAAGATCGACCGCGACCTATGAAAACCTACCAGGGATCAACCAGTCGATCCCGATCAACCTGTTGGACATCCCTGTTATAGATTATACATATATACTTGGGTTGATTTTAACACATTCTAGCAGAGAAAACACACTTACTTTTCCTGACTGCAGCCTCAGTATTCTTGAATCACATACTTTCTTCACAAACAATAAGCTATTTATCTGATTTTTTATAGTGTTGATATCTGAAAACAAACACACTAAGAAGTAAGACTCAAAAAGATGGGAAGTATTTGGAGTATTACAATATAAGTATTGCTTAAAGCTGTCTGTACAGAAAAAAGATGACCAAGAGACAATGAAGCAGTGATTTCACAAACGGAGGAATATATTGATTATTATTTTTAAAGTCAAGGAAATTGTCATTGGTTTCACTAACTTAAATAAATACTAACAATGCAAAGTGAGAGATATAACATCAAGCCACTCTTGCCTTTGGATTCCGTTTGCCAGCTTTTAGAAATATTTTTAGAAAGTGATATCATAAACATTTTAAAACAAATGGCACAAAAATTAAATGAACATTAAAAACTCTTTGTTTGGTTTTTAAAATTAGGATACAAATGCAGGATTTAGGATATAAATGCAGTTCTGTAACTTTGTATGCACTTATATCTCGACTCAGGTACTCAGCCCCACAATCAAGGTTGCATGAATCATCTGATGCTGTGACAACCATGATTGCACAATATTTTCTACTGAGGTACAGAATTACTCCATCCTGGTTTTATTTTTACATATAGCGCTTACAGATGCAAATTTACACTTTCATCCTACAGTGTATGCCTTATGAAATCTCACAAGCCAGGTCTAGGATGAACAGGATTTCTAATTCATGGTTTGGGGGCTAGTCCCTTGCCTAGTCCCTTTCCCTGTCCAATGCTAAGTAGAAGTAGAATAAGCTGGCCAAAATAAGTAAATATACAGAATACACATTGCAGAAATATGTGACTGTTTTGGAAAACAAAGTATATGAGCCATTACCAGTAATGGCCACTATTATGAAATACTAAAAGTATATAGATGAGATTTGCAAATTTTCTGGATAAACTTTTAAGTCACTAAGAACTAAAAACCAATCTGCAATAATACCTTTTACACAAGAATGATAAACTTATTAAGTGCTTGAACCAGGCACAATCCAATTTAAACCAAAGGTCATTTGTATATTCATAATAGCCCCTTCTCAAGCCTCTTTCCTGAACTGCTTAAGTAACAAATTTTAAATGAGACAATCTGTCAGTCTCGCACTAGAAATGTAGCTCTACTGTGCAGAATTATTGGGAGCCACAAATGGCAAGAATGAATAGATATAGCTTCTAGATAGACAAAAGTTCCTGACTTGGAAAACCATTATTCTGAAATTCCATCCCATCCCTCCGATTAGGAAATCCACTATCTATCTTCTGTGGTCCATTTAAAAGTGGAGTCTTGGAACTGAGTAAGGTTCAAAAACCTGTTCATCTATGAACTTAATGCATAGCTTTCTGCAGATCACCAGCAACCTTAGTTACCCTATGGTAATACAAGTAGCCTACTGCATAGGTTGTTGCAGAGAAAACAAGGCAATGATTTTAGGTAAATAAATGCTACCAAAGTGTCCTCATCATTTCTAGCATGGTAAGAATTACACCAAACAAAAAAAGATGCTTTTGCATTCCTTGTCTGTGCCTTCTAATCCAGTACACCTCTTAAAAGAACAAATGTTATCAAAAGTCACCCTATTTAGCTCAGTGTTTGCCTAGCCATTCAAAAGGGGGGGGGGGAGATTACATTTTATGAAAACACACTCGCAAATATGGTTTTTCCTCCATGCTTCAGCTCTCAAACTAAGAATTCTCAGTCCTTTACATATTTAAACCAAGTAGTATGTTATTGATGCTTTAATTTGCAAATGTAATTTAAATACTAACCATCTCCAGCTGTATCTAAAGATCGAAGATACTGTAGTTCTTCTGCTGCTTTATCCCTTACTGCTTCCAACTCCCCTACTTTGTCACTTACTTTAATAATGTTCATAAAGGCCTCATAGTTGCAAATTGAATCACGAATCTAATGAACATGGAAAAAGATAATACATGTTAATCTACTGTTTCTCAAGCAGGCTAGACTGATATATCAAGACATAGTTCCTTTCAATGCATTACAGTCCAACCTTCCTTTTTAAGTTCCCCTCAACTGGGTGTTCGTTAAATCTTCATATTGGACCTTCTAAGCAATAACTTTCACAACCCAATCTTCACTCTCCTGTTATTAAAATCGAACAATTCTCCTAATTTCAAGCTATGTTCCACTCCTACTAATGCTGCTTCAAAAAATTAGGAAGTATTACCTTGAAAGAGATTAACAGCACTGGGTGTTCTTTTAAATGATTGCACTGTCAACTTCTACAATATATCTGTTGTTATTTAAGTATATTAAAAAGTGAGAACATAATGGCTTGGGTCTCATCTCAATTTTAACCAGTTATGCTTAACTATGTTTTACAGGTGAACACACAGTATGATGCTGTATTGAGCAAAGACTGCAGCTGCTACAACCCTGCTAATAGCTACATCATGGTTGAGATTAGCGTTACGTCCAAACCTAGGCACATGGTTTATCTTCCCCAGACAAACCATGTGAGGTAAACTAACAACAAACCCTAATTGTAAGTTGGGGAGTGGGGGTTGAGTGGGACAGACTACAAGCATTAAGCCCAACCATTGCTCAGCTCCTTGCAGTGTGCCAGGAATGGAGAAGCAAAGTGGGTGTATCATCATCAAGCTTTGCATGCAGCTTTAATTCCTAGTTTAGCTTAACTGTGCTTTGAAGTGACATGTAAACCAGCCCCATGTGCGTAGACAAACATTCTAAAGATACTGTTCAAGTGTAAAAAGCTTACCATCCATATGAAATACTGATTAATATAATCAGGATCACTGAGCTGATTTATTAATGGAAGAAGAATTCCTCGAGCAAGGATTTCCTGAAAAATAAGGAACAATAAATTGGCCAGACCTCAACTAAAACAAAAACTAACGCAAAACAAGCCGAATAAAAAGAAAGTTAAACAAGAAATAAAATTCTCTGTCAACTTTTTCTATTAAAAAAAATTTCCAGAAAGCCACTTTTTGAAGCCTTGTCAGCTTCAAAGAGGCAGATTCGTAAACCTATACTGTCATACCTTGGTTTTCAAGTTTAATCCATTCGAAAACCAAGGTGCGGCTTCCAATTGGTTGCAGGAGTGTCCTGTGGCCAATCGGAAGCTACGCCGGACGTTTGGCTTCCGGAAATCGTTTGAAAACTGGAAGAATCACTTCTGGTTTTCAATCGTTTGGGAGCCGAAACGTTCGAGTTCAAAGGTGTTTGGCTTCCAAGGTTCTACTGTATTTATATTCAAACTCAAACTGACATAAAAGCACCCAACTAGAGCAGGCTCATCTTCCTTGATTCAGAGAATGCCAGTAAGGCCAAGCTCCTTTTACTCCATGCAATCATAATAATGGGGGTGGAGGGCAAGGAGAGACAGAAAGACACACACACAGAGAGAGAGAGAGAACAGGGCTGTGTCAGTTCCATCCCGACTCCATCAACCCAGCAGCAACCCACCCACCCCTGCTCCACTATCCAAATATTAGTAAAGAAAGGTGAATCCTGCTGAAGGCATGCAGAAGCTCATCATGATCTGGAATGCTCAATGATCACATGGAGTGCCTACATGTGTTCAGCAGGCTTTTCTACTGCAGACATCTCAACACATAGATAGGGAAGGGAGAAGGGGAAGCATTGCTGATGGTAACGGGGCAACAGGCACAGCCTTGTTCTCTGCCTTATTGCAATCGCAAAAGGGCTCATGTTTAGCAATGTAATCTTACAAATGTCTTGTCAGGGGTAAGAAGCAGCTGAGCTGCTCAAACAGGAGATAAGGGTTTAATTGTCATAGCTGGCGACTCTGCAGGGCTGGAGAATCCTAGTCTTATTAGCAAGTTCTGCTTTGCACTTAATGGGATGCAATAGAAGATGCAACCTCCCTCTATAGCACGGGGAGAAAGGTTCTCAAATAAACCAATATTTGCAGAGCCTTCTGACTGATTCTCCAGTGCAACCTACCAACCAATATAAATTCCTTCCTCCCCCAATTTATGATGTGACTGACAAGCAAGAACTCTAGGGCTTAGGCATCTTGAAAGGCTTGCCACCACAATTCCAGCTCCATCTTCAAGTCAAAACATAATTAAATATGTAAGTTAAAGATGGAATTCCTTTCTGATCTGTATTCAAACACGAGGGAGCGGGAAAAGAATAAAGAGGCAAGGTTGAAAATAGTACTGAAAAGTGTAAGAAACTCTAATAAAATAATAAATTGCTGAATGCATTTCAGCAGCAACCTTCCTCAGGGGAAACGAAATGACAAACCATAATTCAAAGAATGCAAAGTTGTTCATAGTCATATTGTATGTTATATAAAATTACGTATTATAGTCAGACAGACCATTTTTAAAATTTCTAAAACCTATAAAACATAGAGTGTGTCTTAGTAAAGGTAGCCCTTCACCTGTACTAATCACAAAACAAATTAAGCTCAGCCATTTCTTATGCACTTGTTTTTCATTAAGACTATAGTTACCCAGTGCAAAGCCAATGTTATAATTGTAAATTGCTCTATATACGTAAATAAATTAAAATGGTGCAATTCTATACATGTCTATTCAGAAGTTAAGAAACATTAATTCAATGGAACTTATTTTGATCAAGGATTATAGTAATTTAAAAATATTACCATACAGCAGTTCTTATGTGGTTTGCTGAATGCACATGTAATTAATTTGCAGATTAATTTTATTAATTTGCTTACTTTTTAACATAGGTTTAATGACTAATGACTATGAATACCATATACATGTTGCATTGTTAAAAAACATTGTTTAAATTATGATGGTTCATTCAGTGCCCAAGGAAGGTTTTCACAGTCTACTGGGCCAATTAATATTCTGTTAAAGCTTTTCAGTACTATTTTCAGGCTTGCCTTTTCTTCTTCTTTTACTCTTCTATATTTAGAGTTAACTGACTGTTTGGAATTAGAAGTTATTTCTCTCTTAAAATATCCTCTTTCTTCTGCTCCTCTGAAAGGTACAATACTGTATGCACCCTTTGTATAACAGGCATGATCTAGCTCACCATGAGTGAAGCAGCTCCACCCATATGTCCAAATGCCCTTCCCATATGTATTAGAATACATATGGGAAGGCAACATAAGTAGTAATAACTTCATCTAGCTTCCTCTTGGACATGACAGGCTGGCCATCCCTTAACAGCAAACACACTGTCAGTGAACATGAGCATATACAAGTGGTGAGTATACATGTCTGGTGGTAGTGGTGGCAAGGAGGAAACTGGGCTTTAGTTGAGGGAACCTTTCTTGCTTGGGTACCCAGTGGTGGACTGAATCATGCCATTTCATTTTTAATGGTCTTTTTAATCACGCCATTTCATTTTTAGTTGTTTCACGCTCCACATTCATATTTCACAGAGCAACACTATATGGCCTACTCAGAAGTGAGTCTCAGAAATGATTTAAGTAGATACAGGATAGCAACCTAAGTAATTTATACCTTAAAAACAGATTGACTGAAATTAAACAGAGAATTGCAAAAGCTTTAATTACCAGACAGATCTAGATATAAAAATCTTATGGTGCCTGATTATATAAACATCATGCAGTTCCTAGGCTAAGGAGTATTGGACACTCCTGGAGTAGGGTAGGAAACTAAATTTACCCTGACAAAATATCTCATGATCTTGTTCTGGAAGTCTCCAGGAGGTAGCAATAAATACAGTAAAACTTCACACAGATCCCTTAGGAATCCTAAAGGTACAAGATATAAAAGAAAACAGTGGATAACAAAATCTAATATTGTGTTAAACATATTCCTTTCAAATATTTTAAGCAATAATAGAAATCATTATATACTACAATAAATGCCACCACCACATTTTCTATGGCAATAATCCAGAAAATCACTTCTTGGTAATAATTTTCTAGGAATACAATATTAGGTTGCACTATATAATGTACAGCCACAAGTCTCACTTCTAAACTAATAGAAAAGCATCTTATTTTTCTGTTACAAATATATTATTCCTACTACTAATTAATAACAAAATTCAATGTCAAAACTATGCAGCAGAAGTACACTTAATTGAATATGAGGGATTAACAATGATCCACTTAGAAATCTCAGTTTATTTCTAGGAGACTGGTTGCTGCTCTAATTTAGTCACAACGTAACTGAAGAAAGCAAGGGAAAAAACCTTCTTCATCTTTGGGAGATGTGCAGACGAGATCACGACAGACTCTCTTTTCCGTTTCAACTTCAACTTCAAAAAATGTATTTACAAGGTCTTCTGCCCCATCTAAATAGAATTGGAAAATTTGAGCACATCAGCTGCACTGAGATTCTTTTTCCAAATGAACCTCTATGAGAAACTTCTTAACTATTTAAATATAATTCTGCTTGGCAATTTAATTTTCTTTTCTCATGTGTGACAGGATATGTATTTCACAATGAGGAAAATCTTAAAGCTCAGTTCAGTGACTACATTGTGTGCACTTCCACTACAGTCAAAACAGAAGTCAAGAGTTCCAAGCCAGGAAATGGCCACAGCAGGGACTCTGGTCCTTGTGTTTGGTAGCATACAAAAAGAATAATCACAACTGCTTTCCTTGAAAATGGAAGTCTGTGTGACAGGAAGCAACTGCTCTGTCAACCATTAGAGTACAGGCTGTACTGTAATTTGTATTTCTGATACCATAAGTTTCCAGTTTAAGTACTTAGTTCTTTCAATTGGGAAAATCACCAGAAGACCAAATCAATCGCATCCAAAACCAGTGAATCACCTAATCTGCCTTTTCAAGCAGACTTATGTTAGCTACCAGTCAGAATACATTTATCTAGACAGAGAAAAGAAAGCTTCTACTGCGGAGGAGCATCTATCTTGCCCAATGACTTCTGTCAAGACAGAAGAGGGCTGGCATACAATACTGTGCCCCCACAAAGATAATTTCCTGTTCCCTTTGCCTCCCTGAAAAACCCTTCCTGGGGAGCAGGAGAATAGGAAATCAGGAGGAATATGAGTGGAGACAACTTGCACTCTTGTGTCAAACAACGGAACCCATAATGTTTAAACCTGATATTTATTTATCACTAGTAGATACGTATTTAATGTCAAACTAAGGCACTTATGGCAATTAAAACCACAGTAAAAGAAGATAATACACACACTAAACTCTTATCCGTAAGATAGCAACAGGTGAATGCATTGAGAAATAGCTGTAGGCTACCTTTTACACAACTCAATTAATTACAAATTTTAAAACAACATATGAAAGTTGTAGGCATTACCCTTAATCTGATCCTCTTTCTCTGTTATCCTTTGCTGAGCTTTTCTGAATACTCTTAGATGAGTGGTAAAGTCATCTACGAGCCGGGTGGTAAAATAAGGCTGCCAATCTACTTCTTTTGACCTTTCAAAATAAAGAAATACTACATAGACATAACGTTATAAAGCAGACAGACAATGCAATGCTAAACATGTTTTCTCAACAGTAAACTACATTGTTCTCAAAAGTGTCTTTACTTCCCTAGTAGCTTAAAGTTTGTTTGGAGAGGGGGTTTTGTCTGTTTTGTTTTGTTTTACAGTGAACTGTTTTAGGAGAGAGGAATTATGATTAGCATGTAATATTAGCATGTTGTTGGTTACAAAAAATGAATTCAAGTAATAACAATTCTTTCCAGTACTTAAGTTGCACATAGTAGAATACAACAGTAGGTGGCAACCTTACATAAAAATGCTGTTCAAGACCTCTCAAGCACATGGATGAGGGAGGAAGGAATCTAGAAAGCTGTGATCCTAAAGTAGACACCTTTGATCGAATTGGCCAGGAGGATCAATGCAGAGATCAGAGCACGGGCTTGCTCCAAAACTGTGCTTTGCTGAATTCCCATTCTCTTACAGATTTGTATGTAAAGTGGTTTGAACTTTGCCTATCTGTTTCTTTCATAAGTTATTTCAGCCACTACAAAGTGTGCTGGTCTCTAGCCATCACATGTAGAAATCAAAATAGCAAACGTCACCAGGTCTTGATGGTGTGATGTTACTCTCAAGGAAACCTTGCATACATTTCATGCATTTTATACTCAATTGCCCCTAAAACTAAGGTGATGTCCAATTACTCATAAATATGTAAAATGTACATTAAAATTCCTTTAAGGGCAACAGCATGTCATCCAGACCTATCACTCTCAGAAAGACTTGCTGCAATAATTTGAATGCATGTGATGGCAGAAATCTCACATATAATCAAGCAACTCATAAGCATCTGGAATTACTTTTTAAATACATTGAAATATGACAGAGATGCAGCCCTTGGACCACTTCGTGTTCTTTTCTAAATTTTTATTTCATAAACTTCTGTATTTTAAAGGAAACATATAGTTTTGTCTTTGAAAACCCATGCAGAAACAGCATGGAATGGAACTTTGTCCTATCCCATGACAAACTGGCCCAATTTTTTTTTCCTGGAACCATCCCTATTCCAGAGAGACAAAACAAAACAAAAACCAATCCCAAATGTATGACATAATGATCTGTAAGTATTAGTAACACCTGGTGAACAATCTAACCATTCAACAACAGAAGGTTATTATGTTAAAACTGTTTTGTGTAACACAATAAAATGTATACAGTTATGTGAAATAAAGTATCTGAAGATGTACTGGATCTAAATAAAAACTCCCACCTAAAGAAACTTGGATTTAATGCCTAAAGGGAGATCAAGGAAGTTTGATATTGGGTTAGGAGCAGATTAATCTAGTTACACTCCTACTGAAACCAAAAGGATTTAAATCATGACAAATGATTCACATTTATTTCAATGAGAACTAAGTACAACTAACCTACTGTGGCTCCAACCTATCTTTACATTTTTAATAAATGCTGAAAATATGAGCTGGAAAAAGATGTCCAGCTTCTTCCTGCTTGTGAGAACAAGCAGTGAAACCACTTATTATATTTCAGTGAGCAGAAGTGAGTAATGTTAACAACTTCCAGGATATGAAGGGTCATATTTCACAGTAAAAAGATGATAATATTTGGCTGAATTTCACAAGTTACACAGCACCTTATTGCCACTTAAATACTTTCTCATTATGAGATGAAAAAGTGGTTTCTTTGATCAGTAAACTGAAACAACAAAGTAAGTTTCTCCTACCATTTGATATAGGCAAGTTTCCAAAGGTTGTTGATCATCATATGAAATGTCAATTACTTGTATGCATCCAGGGATAGCTCAGTTGGTAGAGCATGAAACTCTCAGGGTTTTGAGTTCAAGCCCCATGTTGGGTAAAATATTCCTGCACTGCAGAGGGTGAGACTAGACAACCTTTGTGCTCCCCTCCTATTCCTCAATTCTATGATTCTAGGTCGGAACCTATGAAATATTCCCCTCTTTAAAAAAGCCAAGTTGTCCTTGTAAGCAAGCAGCTGTAACACAAACTCACAAAACATGATATATGTGTGGAATCTTTTGTGATACCATCTGTTTTTATTGCATGCAACTTACTAATATATTGCAAGGAAGAATTATGAACCATTTTTAATCTACTTTTGTAAGCTACTGGGATAATTTTAGGGAAAGCTTTTGTGATTTGTTTGAAAAACAAAAGGAATTCTTACCTAGAAGAAAACTGAATTAGTGCATTTTGGAGAGCTTGCCTGATTTCAAGAAGAAAAGATTCATCGTCACTTAGTGTGTAATACCAATACTGGACATAGTCACGCAAGGAAAACTGGATAACCTAAAATTGTATAAAATTAGATAAACAAAGTATTAAAACATTCATGTGTGTAATTGTTTCTACATTATCTGAAAATTGTGCTAAACAAATAATGCTTATAAGGGCTAAAGTTGTGATGCTGGCCTGGTTCACACAACACAGTAAACCAAAGTTCACGCAACTTTGTGGTGTGTTTCCCTCCTTCCTGCTAGCATTTGGAGAAAAAGAACTATGATCCTTGGCTTAGCATTATATCTGAATGGTTTGCTTTGCTCCTAGCAAACCTCAATCTGTAGCCAAGGTTTGTTTTTGGGTTGCTGACCATAGAGGGTTAGGAGCAAAACAACCCTCGATGAACAAGCAGTTAGAACCAAAAGCCCCATCTTAGGTGTCATTACAATAACTTATCAACTGTGGTTCATCATAACATGCAAATGAAACCATAATTGTGCGACACAATTGTCATTCAGAATGTGAGAAATTCGGAACACTAACATGAATCGCAATTCTGGGTGTGCTCATGATCACAAGCACACTGCAAAGCTCTCCTGCTGCTGGTCACTGAACACATTGGCTCAAGAGTACTTTACCTTTCGTGTTCTGGATCATAGCCACTTGCTTAAATAAAGGCTCAGACCTTAATTAGGCTTATCAGAGTGAGGGTTTTTTTGCCCTTATCTTGATTTACTTAAAATCAGGTTGGTTACAGTTGCATTTATACAGCGACTCTTGGTAGAGTACATCAAGGGAGAAGGAATGTTTGTGCAGGAGAGAGAAGGAACATGTGTTGCATGATTTCACAAGTCCACTCCCTAAATGTCTAGTTTATTCTACATCTCTGTTACATGAGAATACTGAAAAACTTTTTCTGACTAAAGTAGCAGTCAGTGGATTTTTAATCATGGCAAACTTCACAATTCCTTTCCTCAAACCTACAGTGAACTGTGGCCACAGGTACCTATGATGTAAAACTGCCATCAATAGTGTTTTCCAAATCTTACAAATAGCACCACAAGGCTTACTTTGCTTTTGATTTTAATTCCACAAATCTTAGAATTAAGCACTTACATAAAGGGGTTATGTTCTCATTAACAACAACAATATATGAAAGCTTGCTGTTGTTAATGAGAGCTTAAACGCCTTATGTATTTTGCAACAGTAGAGAATAATACGGGGGGGGGGGATCAAAGCTTGAAATGTTAAGACAAAACAGCAAACAGTAAATTACGCTTTAAATCTCCAGATATCCAAACTAATCTCAGTATTTGTCTAGGAATGATGTCAAGGACTCAAAGACACCAGGTCATGAAATCCACCCAGTGCTAAGGGAAATTTACCACCCCCCTACAAAAACATACAAACTACCCCCCCACACACTATACAGAAGTTTCCCCTTAGCTAATGAGTACAAAAAGTACAAAAGTATTTTTCCCTCAGTAATCATGCTGCTTGCAAGCTTTGAAAGGCTTTGGAAAAACCAGCAAAACTATTTTGCATTTTGAGTATGACCCAGGGCAAGCCTTGCATACATGTCCTCTTTCCTTCTCTTACTTAAAGTGGAAATAAATGAGATTAGAAATCTCCATATCTGTTTGCAGCAAATTATAGTTTACAGCTTGGTCTGGGATCTTAGTTTTCTTTAACCATAGTTTGTTGAGTTTGGATTAAAGAGCAAACTGTGGTTTGCTGCAAAAAAAAAAAAAGTAATGGAAGCTTCTAATCCCCTCCCCTCATAAATGGAGAAGGGATAAGCAGAGTAGGGAGTGTGCAAATTAAAAATCCATGCCTGTTCCTATCACTGCATTTTATAATTGATTGGAATGGTTAACATATATTTTAGCCCTGATAAAGAGTTCTGCTCAAAATTCATAGAGCATTTGACTCTTTTTGGAGGGGGTGGGGAACCATTTATTAAATATTTATGTCCTCCTTTACATCCACAAGTGCATTTCTTCAAGGGTGCAGCACATGTCCTTTCAAAGTATGAATTTACATTAAATATAATGTAAATATAATACAGTGTCAGAAAGACTTTAATTTTTCAAGTTCTAAAAACCAGGGAGCAAGCAAGAGTAGTGATATACATTCCTTAATTGAGGAAACCACAATTCAATTCTAGATCTTGCTTGATGCTTCTGCAGTTCTGCGCTAGTTCTGTGCTATCTGTTTCTGGTTACATACATTAACCATGTCTGGGGCAAAGACCATAAGTAAACAGTAATCATCATCCGCCCCTTCCCCCTACCCTCCACTTCAACCAGAACAACCAAAGTCTAGCTGGTGATAATTCAGAGCATAATCTAAGCATGTAGAATGACTGACTATAAACCATACATATTTTATAGTTGGCTTGTTTAGCAAATAACAACTGCTTCAGACCATAGTTTAGCATTACATGTAAACCAGCTCTTTTAGTAAGACCTTTTGAAGTGGACCCACAACAAGGAATGCAAAAACAATCCGGACAAGGTATTATTTAGCCAGTTTATTCTCTTACATTTTAAACCCAGTTTTCTTCCATCTTGCATGCCACCTTGGGCTCCATGTGGTATCTGGCAGACACCGATTCAGGGGCTGGCCAGAAACAGACCTCCTTAGCTACAGGAAGATGATAGCTTTAGGCACCTTCAGGTTATACTCATGTACTTATGGGGGAAACGTGTTGTATTGGCTATCTACAACTTCAACACATATGTCAATAAATATATGAGACAGAAGTGATCCAATGAAAACACTAATAAGTCCTTCCGTTCCTTGGGATAACAGCCAGAAAGTCCAAGCCGCTTCAAAAGGCGCTAACCACATTTAGGACATGATTTCTACCTGATCTATCACCAGAAATAATGTGAAGTCTAAAATGGTCAGAGACATACCATATTCAAATAAATGTGATACAGCCCAGTATGCTCATTATTTCAGCCCCAAGGAGACAAGGAATAAGAACATATGTGTACTCAATATATACTAGCTTGAAAGTTCTCCTATTTCAGCATCCCACAAAAAAATCTTACTATAGCAAATGTCACAGAATATCATGGCTACAGTCTGATTTACAATTAAATTATTTTTCAAAACTTACTTGTTGCAAAGGTTCATCAATTATATAGGCTCCAGTCAACCTCCTATCAATCTTAATAGGCTTGCTTTCCTGTTTCATTTCTTCTATGCACTTTGGGAGAGAATGGACACTTAAGTCAATTCATAACAAAATTAAATTCTGCCACATGCTTATGGTTTACAATGCAAAAAGGATTCAGCAAAGGACACACCTACTGGATTTTGTACTTCTGCTTTGTCTATCAGCAACCCTTTGTGTGAGGATACCATATATAAAAACCACATGGAAGTGCTGTTAAGAATAGCCATGATCAAAATCCACTGAGATTACAGAGCTTGTAGCAGCTCCAGTGTTAAACAGTGCATTAATGTAGTATAGTTTTCACCAATACATTCAGACAGAAACAAAAACAGATATATATCTAAGCAGATTTTAATTAAACTGCAGGAGGACCCGACATTCAAGATTAAGTTTTAGGCAACAGCTTCTAGTTAAGCCACTAAAGACAGCTTCGTTGTTCATACCTTGTCTATCTTAGCAACTTAGAATCTAAACCAAAGGCGGCAAGCTTCCCGCATGTGCTACAAGCACAAGCTTTACTTCGCTTTTCAGTCTAAGACTATGAAAGTCCAATTAAGTCAGCTGAAGAAGCAGATGTATCAACTTAAAAAAAACCACTTTAGGGCTAATTTGCAGAAAATATACATAAAATACAATATTAGAAAAAGAGAGAAAGCTAAACTAAGTGATATGCAAGATGTAATCCTGCATTTAATGTATCTGGGTTTGTTCGTTGCTTTAAAAATAGCAGCTGTACTGCTCTCCAATCTGGATTAGACCAGATTGAAATAAAGCACTAAACTCCTCTCTACATGCCCCACAGTCCCAAACCTGATCTACCCTGACAGAAATGCTATCACACATTTCATGCATCATCTTGTTGACGTTTCAGAGAGAAATCACATGAGAGAAAAGGTCATTTGGGAGTTCACACACATCATCATGTTATTCTGTTTATAAAGTACTTCATGATTCTTACTTTATTTATGACTTCCTTTTCAGTATAACCAAAATTGATATATCAACCATCAGCAGAAGTTGTTTAATAACAAAGGTTGGGGGGTGTTCTTTAAATTGCCTATAATACCTTTTCTTTGGTTGCTAACTTGAAAAGGAAATGTGGCAGATAGCATGAGCACAATAAAGTTTGACTTGCGGAGAATAAATTGAGAAAAATAATGCCAGTATATTTTGCTTACCTTAGTAATACCAAACGATGTTGGAGGAAGATAGGAGTGTTCACACCGTTCAAGGTACGTCTCTGAGTTGTTTTTCCCAAACAAGAGTGTTACCACAAAGCCCCTAGAAGAATGAAACTATATTGTAAGTTTCAAACAGTGAGATAATCTACTAACTTTCTAAATAAAAAAATAGCCAAAACTTGTTCCCCAAGCCTCCACCTACTCAGTGCTAAATGAATGTTGTTTAAATACTGCAAAAATATTTGTATTAAACAAACTTATTTTTTGGAACACAAATCCTGCTTAACATCTTTGAATTAACTTCATTCTTGTGAATTTACCAATTCATCCATAGCAAAAGTTAATACAATATGGTATTAACTTATGATAAGTTTTTCACATTTACGTTTTGCTCCTCTCTTTCCAGGCACACCTCTGTGCTTAAAAGCTCTAAAGCAGCCCCCCCCCCCCCGGCCTGGAGTTTTCCCTGTGAAAACCTGCTCTTTAGAGCTCAATTGGAGCAAACATCAATTTGGGTTTTCTGCAGATTGACATTTGCTCCGACTGAATTTAAAAAATGGATTTTGCAGACAAAGCCCTGGAGCAGCAGCAACAACAAAAAGGGCGCTTGGATACAGAGCTTTTAAGTGAAGACTGTGCCTGGAAGGAATGGAAGTGTGGATAAGCCCTAAGTTGAGTTGCAGCATTCACAGAAAGAAATGGGTTTATAGGAACAGATGAAAATAAAACAGAGAAATTATTTATGCATTTAAAGTGATTTCACTTTAACCTGTCTTGAAGTAAGCCTTGGGTGAATATGGGTTGTACATTTTCATAATAGTTAATTTGTCCTTGACTGAACTCTTCAATTGAGGCCTCCATACAGTCAAGGTCTGGTTGAATTTTATCTCATAATGGGTATAACAATGTGCTATCAAAAAACGTGCAGGTACAGTGAAGTAATTTACTTAAATATGCTTGATTATCTTGAAAAGAAGCAGAAAGGATGAATAATACTGCCAAACAGATGAATAATAATAACAAGGTTCTTTATCAATGTTCCATCTTTGCAGACATCATGAAGCTGGGGACCTATTTAAGTAACTTGTCTTGCTGACTATAATCTCTTTTTGTTTGATCCTTCTTAAAGGGAACATATTTATCAAAATAGTTCTAATTACACTACATCGTTCTTAAGTACAATGCTTTCTTTACATATATCAAACACACACAAAATAGCATACTTACCCACCCACGAAGCAGAGAATATAAAATGCAAAGTAAAATATAGCGAATGGTCCAAATGTTATTAGAAAAAGCACGACGCCAAGGCTTCCCCATCCCCATATGGAAAGACTGGTCTGGAATACAATAAGACACAAAACAAGCAATGTTTACATTTTGTATCGGAAACAGTAATAGCCAAATCTCTCCTTACACTTTTGCTACTTAACAAAACAATGTTTCCTTTCTACTGAAATAAATAGATTACAGATAGAGGAAGCCAATTTAGAATAGCTAGGCTTACTTTAACAAGGTCTAGCAGCAGTTATACATAGCTAGTACTGAGAATGAGGGGGTAAGGGGAAGGGTGCATGTTACAGTAGCTTCCAAACCCTAAACTCCCATTTTTTTAGGGGTGAGTTGAGTCAGACACACATGGAACAGAGAGGCATGTTGGCCCTAGACTTCTTCTAATGCACATTTTAAGCACACACACCCCTCAGACAAACATGTGGCTTTACACAGAAATAAATTCTCTTGAAATTATTGAGACTTCAGTTCCAAGTTATGTTTCAGGAGCAAGGTAGAACACATTCATATGAACGGAATGTATTTTTATTTTAATAACTACAATATGGTTTGCTTTTACGATGAAGAACTGATGATCACTGAGATTCACTGAGAAACAATTAACTCAGATACATTAATGCTGAATAAGGTAATCCACAAATGGATATGCAGCCCCTAAGCCTGCCATAGGAGGTGGTCTGAAAAAAAGCTGACCGAATCGCCACAGAACAACCAATCACATAGTTGTGATATTTGTCAACAGCTTTCAGCCAGGGGGGTACCATGGGCACAATTATGTTGCTTCTTAAAGGGAAACAAAATTTATTGTGGCCACAACTTACTTTTAAACTATTCTTAACACCCAAAATTTGCAACCATGGTTAGAACTCAGTTATGGTTTGCAAAAAAAAACAAAATCAAAACCCAAACCCCAGCACTGGTGACCTAAACAATAAATATTGCTAGCTTCCAAACTGAAAGTGAAAAAGAAATGCCTTTGTAAGAAAGAAAGATGAAGAAAGGAAAAAGGAAGAGAACATGCCTGTGAAGATTATCAGAGATCGCAAAGAAAGGAATATATGACAACAACAAGAAGATGAAGAAAGTAAAAAAGAGACTATCTGGATAGCACTGGATAGAACTGTTTAATTAAAGCAGTAATAGAAATGATGTTTGGATTCTCGTCCGGAGCTTGATGTATGGGTACCCCCAACAAAATTGAAAAATTTGGCTGTATAATTTGGAATTAATGTGATTTGAAATAATGTGATATGATTGGCCTGTTAATAAAAATTATGTTTTTAAAAAAAAGAAAGGAAAAAGGAAGAGAGAGAGAGAGAGAGCGCACGTGCCAGGCAGGCAGATGGCCAGACGGGGGGACAATACAAGTCCATGAGATGCTCCTGTGATCTTCCCTAAAGGGGTAGGCCTTATTTTTCTTTTTATTATTTATATTGTACCGTCTATATACACAGAGCTTTATAAAGACAGGTTTGACTGGTCTCTACCTTAGAAGAAAGACAGAAGGGAAACATCAGAGGAACCAGGGGAAAAGAGAGGGAATGGTAAATGGGAAGAATGTGTGATTACTTCAGTTACACATGCTTTAGCTTAGGGCCAAACCAGATGTGACATTAACTGTGTGAAAGGAATCAATGTGCACACTTTGTATTAGGTACTTGGCAGCAGTGGCTTAAACACTCTCTCCTCACTCTCCAAGTCTCCACAATCCCAAACCAGCCCAGGCTCCGCTCAGCAAGTGCTGTTTACACTACACAGCATATGCACTTTGGCTGTAATATCACATCAAGTTTGACCCTCATTTAGAGCAAGGTACTTGGACCAGGAGAAGGTTCAAAAAGATTAAATATACTAGGGAAGGGGGCTAAATTGTTCATTCTTGAGGAATCAGGAACTAGCCAGAGATATAACATTACTGGTGCAAAAAACCTAGTTCTAGAATATAGTTGACCAGTTGTGCACACAGGATAGTGCTTGTTAAACCTTTTTCAGCCCAAGGGGCCATTCCTTCATGGACAACCTTCTGGGGGCCACATGCCAGTGAAGGGTGTGGCCACAGACAATGGATGTGACTTTTACCTGTATATAAGAATCCCAAGGGCCAGAAGGCCTGGATACTCTCATTTGGTCCCCTGGCCAGATGTTCCCTACTCTGTGCTAAAGGTTGAACTTGGTCAGGTCAGTTGAACTTGGTTAGAGTATCATTAAATGCTAGTTAATTCTTCCACCAATATCACTGAGCTCAAAGACCTTTAATTTGGCACCATTATTTCATTAGTGTGTGAGAAAATGCTGCAATATAAAACATAGTTATGACTGCTATACAGAATTCTATACAGACTTCTCTTCCCTTCTCCTTCCCTCTTTTCAAATGCAATCCCTGAGGGGAAGTGGGTGGGGTGAAAGTAAAACTGCAAGTCTTTTGATGCATCAGAGGTTTATCTAGGTTAGTTATGTCACTTAAGAGTTAGGATGCCAGCAGCAGCACAGCCTTTACTGTAAGAGATGTTTATGCTGCCAGTGTGCTTACTTAGCCTTAATATCATTTTGCAAGGATTTGTAAGATATACATCTTACAATATCCCAAAGCAAACATATTCCTCAGAACTGTGGTATGCATGAAAACCATATCTCTCTCTTTTTTTCTTTTTCTTTTTTAAGAAAATGGGAGTATGAGCACCTAGGGACTTCAGTACACTTTACAGCTTACTAATTAAAATAATTACGTTCACTGGTAAATGTCAACACTACCTTCTCTACACAAGGTGCTTGTGGGCAATATGGTTGTTTTTCTTACTTTTTTTAAAAAATAGTCCTTTTAACAGCAAGAGAGAACCCGGCTCTGCATTAAACAGAATCATAGAATCAAAGAGTTTGAAGGGACCCTAGGACTAATCTAGTCTAACCCACTGCAATGTGCGCACACAGCAAAATTCCAAGATTAGAGGCAATGCAGAAAGGATCCAGGATAATCTCATAATGTTTGAGAATAAGGAAAGAGAAACAAACTTCTGCTGGAACTTCTGGGCAAATTTCACCATGCTATTTCACTGAATAGTGCCTGGCTTCCCCAGTAGCAAAAGTAGGATCAAGTTGCTCCTAGAAAGAAAGCTAGAGCAATCAGTCTTTTTTTCTGCAAGACAGATAACTGAACTGTGAGTGATAGAGCTTATTTAGATGGAGCCAGCTCACTAAAAATAGAGCACATGAATCTATAAATAATTTCATGCAAAGCACAACAGAAACCATTAATTGTGCTACTGTAGGATGTGAAACTTGCCACATATGAAAATGAAGAGGAAAGATGTTCTATATAGTTTTAGTAACACATAAATGGGGGTGGGAGATATCTACAGCAGAATTGTCTTCATCATAATTGACTTTATTCCAATACTGCTGCTTTTCATTTTTCCAGGGACACTGTCAACTCGTGGAACTCACTACCCCTTGCCTAAATTGCTTCATTATGTAAGAAAGACAGCATTGCTTATCAAAGGGTGATGATCCCAACCTCATAGCATAGCCTAGGCCCTAGCCTCTTTCCCTCAAATATAGAGCCTCAATGTCTGGATTCAGTTATTTCAGGCTACAGTAGGCAAATGCATTTTCTCTGCACACAGAATATAAAGGAGAAGATATATTCCGACTATGATTTTGTTCCCCATGCTCAGGAGATATATATGAGAAAGAAACAGTCAAACACTAAATCTCCCCTCTTGGCTGAAATAGTACAGTGAAACAAAAGCAACATAGCACGATATATACTTCTGCTCCCAATATACACATATTAGCTTCAGGCACTGAGTCAATCCTGAAGGTCTGGTCACTAGACTGAATGCACAACATAAACACAGCAGCATCTGTTGTCCCTGCTATACCAGATCTTACCACATAACCATAAACCAAATTGGACCACAGAAAAAGCAAAGAGAAAAGGTTAGTGCATACATACTCTTGTGTAGACCACAACAGAGAACATTTGAACTTAGACTAATCCTTTTCATTTCCAAGCCAAGAGATAAAGATCACTCAGGTGCAGTATATTGGTTAAGTAGATTATTTCTATTTTGAGTTTTACTAGTGTCACAGTACTAAAAGTGGGGTTTCAAAACGCACGTCACAATGCTACCAAAGTTAAGTACCTTATATCTACACTGAAAAACATGTTGAACTCTCCTGTTGAAATCACTGGAGCTTACAAATGGTTCATTCATAGATATAGATATATAGCTATAATATCACCATTCAGCTATAATCCCAGGACAGTTTATAAAACCCCCTGAAAGTTAAAATCAGCTAAAAGCCATAACATTATAAAAGCAACATCATTAAAAGTGCTGCTTAAAAGCTCAGGAAAATGAAAATTACTTTTCCTGGTGCTAAAAGAATAATAAAGTGAGAGTCAGTGCATTCAGTATAGCAAAGCATAATGCAATCATAATCCCCAGTCCCCGTTAATAATGTGACAGCTTTTTTTATGAACAAACTGTAGTTTCCAAACAGAATTCAAAAGTAGCCCCAGGTTTAGAACATTATATTGGTCTAACCTGCAAGTGATCAGAGCATGGATAACTGAGGCCAGGCAATCTCTGATCACATAGGCTGGTCCCTTACCTTTCCCGCCCCAACCTGGCCACAGTGATCCATGCAACAGTCACCTCCAGGCTTGATTACTGTAATTCGCTCTACGCGGGGCTGCCCTTGAAGCTGTCCCAGAAACTCCAGCGGGTGCAGAATGCTGCAGCGAGGCTCCCCATCTGCCATGGGAGCATATTCACCCAGTGCTTTTCCAGCTGCACTGACTCCCGGTGGAGTATAGGGTCAGATTTAAGGTGCTGGTTTTGACCTTTAAAGTCCTTCATGGCCTAGGACCCTCGTACCTACGGGACCGCCTCTCCCGGTATGCCCCACGGAGAGCCTCAAGGTCCATAAATAGCAACACCCTAGTGGTCCCGGGCCCTAAGGAAGTTAGATTAGCTTCAACCAGAGCCAGGGCCTTTTCAACACTGGCTCCGGCCTGGTGGAACGCTCTGCCTCATGAGACCAGGGCCCTGCAGGATCTGATTTCTTTCCGCAGGGCCTGTAAGACAGAGTTGTTCCGCCTGGCCTTTGGTTTGGAGCCAATTTGATTCCCTTCCCCTCTTTCTTTTTTCTTTTCCTTTCTCCTCCTGCGATGAGGCTACATTTTAATATTTTACTGTTTTAATATTTTAATGTTGTATTTTAATTTTGTTTTTAAGTTGTATTCATTCAACTTATTTTTATTATTGCTTGTTAGCCGCCCTGAGCCCGGCCTTGGCTCGGGAGGGTGGGGTATAAATAAAAATTATTATTATTGTTGTTGTTGTTGTTGTTAATCTAGCTGCGGCCCTAAACTGGTAAAAGTCAGGCCTTGCTCTTTAAAAGCAGAGCAGGAGGGGCATGTCAAGTGTTGGGACAATGCCTTTGCTTAGAACTTTGCTTAAGAACTGTTGCACTGTATATCCTGTACTTGGTGGTGATACTGTTTGCTGATGTTATCAATAAAGCTTTTGGGATTTGCTCAGCCAAGCATCTTTCGTCTGAAGGTGGGAGCCTGGACATTAACAATCCTGTTTGTTAAATTCATTTGTATTGACTCTAGAAGCAATTTGTTCTAAATCTTGCAAGCTTTTCTTCATTCTGGTAGAGAAGACTACTGTAGGAGCAATAATTACCAATAGCCTACTGTAGAGATCAGAGCTAATCTAGGCCCATGACCACTAGCTGACCCCTCATAATTCTAGACTAGAAGCAGAAGAAATGGGTGGTCATAACAATGGCACTTTCTGCAGACCACTTGGGAGAGTGGGGTATCTTTCATTCTTTACTAAAACACATAATCAAGTAAAATCAGTTGCTAAACCGCTAACTTCTTCAAGTTTATACATAATGGGATAATGGGAACTTAACTGTGGCAATCAATCAGTTCCTCTTAATATTATAACAATATTTGCTATCATTACCTCTTAGTCTGCTGGGGACAGGGAGCAAGAGAACACTTCCTCCCTTTGACCAAAGATCCTGGAATAACATCTGGAGACAAAATGCACCTCATTTCCACAGTCCAAACTACAATATACACTTTATAAGTGCTCAACTTTCTCCATCTAGATTGCAAGCAACTCCAAAAACATATTTTAAAACCCCATGTTTCATAATCATTCATATAGTAATTTGGAAACAGTACTAAAACAAAAAATCTTAATGAGGAACTAGCCTATTCAATTTTAAGATCTTATTCTTTGTTATAGGTTATCTTTGTTATCTTCCCTTTATTCAAAAAGAAAAGGCAACAAGTGAAGGAGTACTTTGGAATCCATGTATGGTTTACCATTTAAATTGATTATTCCCAGAGGGAAGTAAAATCTGTTTATCAACAATAAACGGGAGATAGTACACTATAGGGAACTAAGGGATGTCTTGGGGAAATGCTAACACATTTTGTCCAAGGCTGGAAATGACAGATGGATCTTGAACAAGCTGGGACTCCAGCAAGAGTAAAATACTCAGAAAACAGGACATTTTACAATGTTGGTCTAGAATTGAACATAAAAAGAATAGCCCTGTTGGATCTGGCCAATGGCTCTTCCTAGTCCAGCATCCCTGTTCTCACAGTGGCCAACCAGATGCCCATAGGAGGCCTGCAAGCAGAACTTGAGCACAAAGGCACTCTCCCCGCCTGCCGTTTCCAAAAACTGGCATTAAAAGTGATGTATGCCTCTCAGTAACATGTCACTTTGTTTTATGCCCTGCAGCTGCAGAAAAATAATTTTGTTTCCTGGTAGATTCTTCTCACCTTCCCACAGAGTATACTATGCAGGTATGACGTGGGCCCAAATAGATTGCTTTTTACTAGCTGGCTGAAGAAGGAACCAGTGTTTTCTTAAACTTGTAGGCACAGAACACAAACATCTTATTCCCAAAACTATGGTAACAATGTTGACCATTGACTTTTGCACATAACCTGCATTCCAATTAAACTTTTTATCAGAAAAAGTTTCTATCTCATTCTCCTTCCATCTCAAGAATTATTGAAGTGCTTGTAAGTCACCGAGTCAAACACATCCAGATTAATGGTTTAAGGTGGCTTCTTACAATGTAGCATTCTTCAACACAGGAATGCTTCTAGAAAATTCCCACAGAAGCAATTCATTTGGAAAAAAAACCTTTTGTTAGAATTGGACATCTCCATAGATCCACCTCCTCCCCAAAAGATTGAGAGATCCAGAATACTAATCTTGCATTCTATTTTTAAATCTGTCTTTCACAGAAAACAGCATGGCTGATTAATTTTAACAACTTGCATGTTGGGTTGTACTCCTTCCTGCTGACATGGGGACAGTATCAGGAGATATTTAAAACATCTGAAGGTGCAAATATATATGACAAAACTGGTTGTGACATGTACAATGAGTTATATTTCTCAAAAGATGTGCTAAAAGTATGAACAACTTTTGAACTTATAATAAACACAGACACTAAGGCACATGCCTGCATATTTCAAGGATCACCAGTACTGCACAAATGTATTTGACTCTTAAATAAAGCCCTGTAATAGAACTTTAATCCCTAGAGAATTCCCAAATAAGGCCAGTAGAGCTAGAGATAAATATTCATCTTTCTCTTTTCCTCCTCCTGTCTGTAGCCAAGATAAGGAAAGACATTAAAAACCAAGGGCATGATTCAAACAAAAGGAAAGCACTTTTAATTCCCATTGATTTCAACATACTATTAATTGGCTTAAAATCTCCCACTGAATTACGGGAATTCAAATGTGCTTAATTTTTGGTTGCATTGAGTCCTATCTGTCAAGTTCACTGCATTTCTTCTATTAGACTGCTAACATACCGTTTTTATAACAACCTTAAAAAGAAATTCCACAATATTGCCATTTTCCTAGCATTAAACAGGTGCATCATTAAAAAGTACTTCATTATTCAGCTGTCTTCATAATCTCTCACTTCTCTAACTAAGAACTGGTGATTATGGGCTGGCAGGCAACAAGTTCATTGTTTATTATTACAATTGGAATTGCCTTGTTCTGTTCCTGTAAGAAACTCATTGTTACAATGTAAACAGTTCAGGTCAAGGACTATTATGATCTATTAAAATAAGAGGAAGAAATAATAGTGGCTTTGAAATCTTTCACCTTCAAGGAACACTGAACACTGACTGCCAAATAAGCCATGAATGTCAGACACAGATGCATTGCACGTGGCAGAGGATCCTATAGCATAATCAGCTTATTTAGAGTAGTGGCCATGCTTTCTCTGTAGCTTCACATGAATGTATTTTATTGCATACCCAGCACTCCTTCTGCAACTGTACTTCAGAAAAGCTTGTCTGTCATTATTATTCTCCCACTGAGGGACACCTGAAAAGCCTTTAAGGAATCTTAAAACATAGATTGATTGATTGATTGAATGAATGAATGTGCGTGTGTGCACACGTAGGGGTAAATATATCACCACAGCAAACAGTTCATGTCATGCTGCTTCCAATACTGTATCATCCAAAGTGGCATCCACAAACAATCTCACTCACCAAGGGGGAAAGCCCCTGGTCTTCTTGCAAAGTCCTTCAGCAGTTCCCAAGTACAGTTTGAAGAACAGAATGAACAGCAGGATTTTCCACCTCTGTACACTTACCAGAGGGACTGAGAAAGGAAGAGTTTCCTCTCAATACATGCAGCAGTTTGGAGAAGATAAGAAACATCAGGGAGAAAAAAGAAAGGGCAGTAGCCAAATGGTGTTTGAAGGTGGGGAAGAGGACTATGCTGGACTGCATTAAGGTGCCTCTTCTCATTCTATGAACAAGTAAACAAAACTATCTGGATCCAATAGAAATCCATGAATGGAAATTTGTTAGTACAATCCTACTTGTGAATTCCCCTCCACAGTACATTCTGAGATATTTTAACTCAAAATCCTAATCAAAGTTTTACAGAATAAGTCCTGCTGAACACAATGGATTTTCAAGAACTGTGTTTAGAACCAGGATGGAAAACAGCACATCAGATTACAGTAGTATGATATAGTTCAGAGCAATGGGCATGGACGAGGAAGACCCCATAGCTGTTTTTAAAAAGGATGGTAATGTATTTCATTGCTGAGTTGCTGAAAAAAATTACCATATACCAAGGACCAGCCTGTGAAATAGCGATGATTTATTCATTACTTATTATCATCTATTTTTACAACCATGTCTTGCTTTTAATTACTGGTTAACTTCATATGCTGTAATTATATAAAGGTCTTGTTTTATTTCTTTGCATTCAAACTTCCTTAACATAGTAATTACTTGATTTTAAAATTCTATGAAATTCTGATTAAGCATAGTGTTCAAATAAAAGCTGAATTTTTAGTTATTTGCTCAAATTATTTTTCTTTCAGGCTGAATTGCAGTATTGAATTTTCTGTTTGACATTTACATTAAAACAAAGATAAATAATTAAAAGAAAAATATTTTCAATTTTGGTGTGATGATTAGGGGTTCCACCAATTCTGCTCTTTGTGAAATAACAAGAGGACAATAGCATTTAGACTGACAACCTAGTCTGATGTATATTAATTAGGCTGCAATCACTGTATAAACACTTGAACTCAATAGGACTTACTTCTAGTAAACATGTGTTACATTACTGGAAACAATACATGAAGGTGGTAGCCTGGGTTAGGTTTTGCAAAAGTATGAGATATTCTATAAAAATAATGGCTTCATGAAGCCTAACATCTTCACTTCATGTTAACTTTGTTTAAAAACGTTTCTTTGAATGCATAAATAATGTGTTTTAACTGTCTTGTTCATTGCTGACCAAGATGAGAACAGAAGAACTCCAACAGTATCAGTGAGTCAGCGACAAGAGAAAAAAAACAACACTGCCATAACATGCAGCCCACCTGCTTTTTCCACCAACTGCTGCTGTTTCATCAGCAAACTGACATGAAGTGCAGCCAGACTGGGTCTGATTAGAAGCTAAAACCAAACACCTTCCAGGTGGAGCTCACTAAAACTGATCTGGCTGTGGGAGGCAACTTGTGGGCTGATCCTGTTGAGGAAACAGCAAAGGGAGTTAACCCTTTACGGAATCATCATGGGGACAGGGCACACACCCCCATTCTCCACAAGCTGGTGGATGGTTTACTAGAGTAGCTCATAGTGGAACTCGGCGAACTATATAGTGCTTCATTCAATGACAGTGCAAGTGAACATACTTCAGTTCTTTCTGGTGAGTGGCAGGGTTGAACTTATGTGAGACATAAATTAGGAACCCAAATATTTTGTGAATATCTTGAGTTTTAAGGTGAATTATAAACTGCAGTTGTGTACTACAGGCAGTGCTTTTTTCTGGGGCGATGCAGACCCCTAAACATTTTGTGAATCTAAGTTTGGCCTCATTGAGGGACAGTATTTCAACATGAGTAGGAAAATGAGAGTACCCATAAACACTTTTTTTTAGAAAAAAAAAGCACTGACTATAAGTATAGTACACTTTTGAAGGTTTAAATGTTTTTACTAGCTTAAAAGTTTATTACACTATTTAAAAGTTTATTACACTATTTATTATTTTGGTTATTAAATCTGTTTTCTGCAACTATTACTATTGCTTTGCATATACAGTTGTACCTCTGCTTACGTTTGGATACGTAAACTTTGGGTTGCGAATGTGGCAAACTCGGAAGTGTATACTTCCGGGTTTCACTGCGCACATGCACAGAAGCCTTCTGCACATGTGTGCAGAAGCGCTGAATTGCGCTGCACGTGTGCGCAGAAGGGTGCCTGCAGTTACGAAGTTTTCGGGATGCAGCCGGGCCTCCGGAACAGATTCCGTTCATAACCAGACGTACCACTGTATTGATGCTGAGCACTTTAAGTACCTTGCTCATATGACACAATTTAATAATTCTATTTGCATTTTTTATATGTACCAATGTGATTCACTGCATTATAGCTGTTTTTGTTAATTGCATATTTAGTATTATGTGCCTGCATGAGCTGAAAATGAGACTAAGGTGCCTTTACTGGTAGTGAATAGGAGGTATGTCACAGTATGGCATTGGGAAACTCTGGACAAATTAAGAAAAGGGATGGCAGAAGTAGCATCTGCTTCCGTGGCCAGGCTGCTCCCCCCCATCATCTTTGTTTTGCATGTTTAGATGCCAGTTGAATATATTTTTGTTTATGCAGACTTTTACAAACTGAGGTTAGTTTAATACAGCTGAAGATAGTGGTATATTGTGTTTAATGGTTCTGAGTTTTGCTGATGTTACAGTATATTGGTTATTGCTAGGTTTTATTTAGAATACTTATTCCCCACCCCCTATTTTATTGTGCATTGCCCTGGGCTCCCTTGGGAGGAAGGGCAATCTAGAAATGTAACAAATACCGGTAATTCATCCCAATACAGTTGATGACGATTTCAGGTGGGGGTTCCATTCCCAGCCCCTGCGTGCCTCGCCCCTGTCCTAGTCACTGTCTGTATACATTATTTTGCATCTTACACTGAATTTTATCGGCCACTAAGCTGCTTGTTTGCCCACTGGGCTCTTTGGAGCTGTTCAATCAGGTTGAGATATTACTGCACTGGGTGATTTTGTCAACCAGGTTTATTGATACCTGAACCCAAATGTCTTTTGAACATCTCCAGGTAGGACTATGAAAGTCACTGCTTCGCAGGGTAGACAACATTAAGCTAGATGGACCATTAGTGAGACTTAGCATAAAGTAGCTTCCTATGTTCCTATGATTGCAGACTGACCTGGCATAAATTACTGAAACCTAAATTGATGAACTGCCCTACTGTGACCCAGCTGTATCTATCTGGCTATCTGGTATAGCACCAATCTAGACCAGAAGGGCGAGGAGAGGATCAATAAGAGTTGTTGGGGGAAAAACCCTCGTGGTCCCTTCCAACTCTATGATTCGATTCAATTTGATTCTTTCTCTCTAATATGATGAATTCCTCTCGGGGTGAATTCTTCTCCCGATAGAGATTAAGCATGCTCAGTGTTGACAGAATGCAGAATCTGTCCTGGGCTGCTCTGAGGAATTCCCCATCCCTGAAGGCAGCCTTCCCAAGCTGCTTCCCTGACTGTTGTGCCTGCTAGCTGGAACTGATAGGAGTTGAAGTCCAACAACATCTGGAGGACACCAGCTTGAGGAAGGCTGCTTCCTTTGGGTTTTTTCCTACAGATTTTACAGAATCACTGTGTTTTAATTGAGGGTGCTAGCTGTGGTGCTGCCACAATACTACCTTTTCTCTTCCATAAGAAAACAAGAGTGAGAGTAGGACGCAGTCGATAATCTGCAATATGCTTGTATTAGCAAATTAGGAATTAGGGTGGATATTTATAGGTGGCTAAGATTTTCTGCACATTGTCAGGAAGAAAGCAATTTAAATCATATGCGTACACAGTAAAGTACATATTAAAGCTCAATTCATAAATTCCACTTCCTGTGATCTGACCAAGGGGAGACAATGAATTATGACACATGCAACATACCTCAAATTCAAAAACAGGGATTCAGCCAACTTTATCCCATAGTTACTTCCAAATCAAGGGTCATGGAAATTCTACATTCCAACTCCAAAATACATCAAGCAAAGAGATTCAAGTTCCAAAACTAAATGTGTGCTTAAGATTCTAGGCTTAGACTTCAAACCTGTGCATAGGTCCTACTTATTTGGCAGTACCACTGAACTCACCAACATCTACTTCTGAAAGCACTTACTGAGAACTGCACTTTTAGCATGTCAGCTGAGCTCACCCTTGATGTCTGGGACAAAGGAGAGCTGAAGATTACAAAACCTTATATTGTTTCTATGTAGCTGCTTTTCAGTTATGATGTAATTCCACCTATGCCCACAACATAGAATTAATTAAATTTCAAACCTGTTGTCTTCCAAATAAAGACATCTGAGTCAACTAAATTTAAGCAATTAACATAAAGACATAAGTGAACAGTGCTATGTATAACAAAGCATTATATTGCTCCAAATGATACTGACCTTCATCTAAACACTACATAACCATTTATGTTGTCTATTATGGCATTTACCTTGTGACATCAACCTTCTATTATTTTAATGCTATACCATTAGATGAAATGGTGCTGTTGCTATCATGGACAAGTGAAACAGCAACATAAAGCTAATGTCGAAACAACTACTAGGCAAGTAAGAAATACAGGACCTCAAACTGGTAACTAGGTATTACACCCATGGGTGATTAGTGTTATCACGATGCTCTATTATTTAGAAATAATTTCAGCAATATAAGTTACTATCTCTCATGATGTACCTGCAGTAATATACAAACAGGTTCAATATACAGTGGTACCTCAGGATGTGAACGGGATCCGTTCCGGAGCCCCATTTGCATCCTGAATAGAACGTAAGATGCCACAGCGCGTCTGCGGGTCACGTTTTGCCATTTCCACGCATGTGTGTGATGTCATTTTGACCATCTGCGCATACGGCGAAACCCGGAAGTAACGTGCTCCGTTACTTCCGGGTCACCGCGAAGCGCAACCCGAAAATACTTATCCTGAAGCATATTTATCCCGAGGTATGACTGTATAAAGGTTTTCCCCCATTACAACTACAAGCAAAGTTCATTAAGAAAGAGACAAGCAAAGGCAGATTGATCTCTGGATTATTTGCATTGCAGAGGCATGTTTTCTGGTTCCCAATTATTTAACAACTACAACACACACACAAACCCCTCAAAGTAATTGTCAATGAGACTGTTAGAATTTCCTGATCTGTGGTAACTCAGGTGTATATTTGTACTTATATATGCAAGTTCCTCTAGTTCACAGTTCATTGGGTTTAGTACATAACTGGCCCCATCATCCAGCTGGGTCCCATTGGTGAACCTCAGTATTCCTGCAAAAAACAAAATAGATCTCACCACCCTGAAGTCTGCCCATATCTGCATTAAACAAAAATAGAAGCTTGTGAAGATGAGACTTGTGCCTCATTATTTCAAGTTGACATAATATTTTAAACTACAAAAATAGAATCAGTCTATTAAAAGTTCTAGAATTACACTGAAAAGAGATTTAAAACTTAACAATTTACTATTATTATTAACAAGAACAATGACTTTAGAATATGGAAAGCATGTTGAGATGACTACCTACCAAAGTTGGGTGAGAAAAGCAACTAGAGCATTTGAATTAATAATGATGGAAGGAACAGGGAAGATGTACTGATAATCATATTGCTTTGTCCATCTCCTTTTAGTTTTTCACTGTTCTAAGATCCCCATTTAGCACTCTTCACCAGCACTTGCTCCTGAAACAAAACTAGATAGATACTAAAGGCAACATATTTCGAGCCATCTGAATCACTAACGAACATTTTATAAGGGTCAACCTTCCCATCTTAAAGTGCTTTGTTAAAAGCCAAACATTGATGTAAGCATTACAACAGACACATATAGAAGCACTAGCCTAGCAGCCATAGGAAGCCAGGAATTCCATGGAAGGCAAGTGTACAGAATTACCTGGTCATCTTGTGATCAGCTGTTTAAAAGTTCACTTGACCTGATAGCATTTAATAATGTATTGTGACTATTGAGGAAATACTGTTTTGAGAAGTTCTTTTCTCAGGATTAATGTACATTTTTGGTACATGTCAGACAGTGAGAAGGTTTCATGGAAGGACCCCATCCCTCCTCCAGCAGCCCACTTTGTCTCTGTACCACCTGAAGAATGGAAGTCTACTCTTTTACAATCCGAAGCAGACTCGCAGATCACTCGTTCCTCCTCTGCTAGTCCACTTGTTATAAGGCTTTTTTATTTGCCTACTAAGAGGTTTAACCTCCTTAAGGGCCAGCATGGAAAAGCAGGCTGCTAATTTCTTAGCAAACTAGTAAGAAAAGGGACTGCAGTCTAGTAATTATTCCGAGCTTATTTACAAGGCTGCAGTATAAGTACCTTTCAACAATGCACATGACATTACACATGATGATACTTTAAGACTATTAACAATGCACGTGACAATACTTCAAATCCAGTGGCAGCCTACACGAGAATAGTAAAATTATAAGTGGCTTATAACTAGCAACTAAGATTGATATCAAGAAGTTTTTACCACTTAATGCCCTAATTCTAAGTATCTGCATATTTGCCTGCAATACTGCATGTTTTGCAATTATATGCTTACTTGGTCATAGCAGCAGCTACACACAATCCTAACGACTTATTTCTCACCACTCAAGTTCCTGTGTCAAGCCATCAGTTTTACAAAGAAGGGCCAATGCCCCTGTGCTCAAAAGCCCAAGAGTAACCCGTGCATTCTAAAATTAGATATTTTCAGCCAAGCATTTGCAGCAGCAGAAGTGTGAAGTCAGGAACTTTTTCTTCCTGGGTGTGGTAGTCATGGGTTATGCTGCTAGTGAGCAACTGCTACCAGAGTACAGGCAGCACCAGTGGCATAGTGTGCATGGAATTCTGTGTGCAACTGCAACCAGCCATGACCAATGCAAGTTGGTGTCCACTGGGGTAGGTTGAACAGTGGGAAGGGCAGTTAACAGCAGGCAGAGCCAGGGCTAACAATAGGCACGGCTGGTGGTAGGCAAAGCACTGCAAATTTGCACTTGTACATGTACTCCAATGACTGCAAGTCTAAATGAACACAATGGAGTTTCTTTTGAGTAAAATGCATATGTTTGTGTTAGAAATCACATTATAATAAATAATTACATATAGTGCTACCATATCATTCATATAGAGAAGTCAGAAAATATTACCTTCAGAAACGAATTTGTTTTACCACATCAAGTCCAATCCAATGTATGTTTACTTGTGCCATCCAATAATGCTGATGGTTCCCATGCCACTACTCTCTCCACCATCTGCCCCCAAAAGTGGGTATCTGCAACTGGTTGATAGTTTTTCCAGTCCAAGGTGTCCAGGACTAGTTTCTTTAAGAGCGATTGCATCATTACAGGAACCACTGCCTTATGCAATGAAACATTCACCACGCTCTGAACCCAACCAGTCAACACCCGCTCCCCGCTAGATTTAATATGCCTTGAAGGCACATGGTCAGATGTGATAGCCGCCAGCCCCTGAGCCACATCAGCTGACCGCATGAACTGAAAATAATCCCACAACATGCGGGATAGACTTTGGTGTTTGTCTTTTTTTCCCTGGAGGGTTATGGGGGTATATATACCCAGGCAGTAGTGATGCAGACTCCAAGGAGGTAGACATAACATGGGGGGAAAGGTTAAAGAAGAGTGCCTCTGGCTCTGGGTTGCAAGAGTGGCAGAGTACTGTCCTCTTTGCCCTTATAGGCCAACCACTCAGTGGGCACTTGGAAAGGGATTGCTAAATACAAAATGGCAAGGTTTTCTGTGTGCATGATCACATATTATCTCATATTGTATCCTCTGCTTGACGTAACAAACAGGATGACAATGTGGTCCTAATGCAAAGGCCTGGAGAGCAAATAACAAGGTGTCACCCAGCTTGTTTTCACAGTCAGCTCTTAAAATCTATAATAGATGTATGACTCATTTATGGTGTTTCACAATTGTGCTTGTCTATGCAGTTATAAATCACATAATGAGAAAGGCCTATAGTGTTTGAACTTTTCGCTTATACTTTATAAATATACCAGAATTTTCTTTAGTCTGCAAGATTGTACGGTAATTGTTTTATTTAAAGTCAGTGTTAGACAAAATTGTCTATCTCTGTGGATATATAAACATCAGAACTACTACTTAGATAAGTTCCTCAACATAGGAAAAAATATGCTCTTCAAAATATATTTGCACTAGGTAGAATAAAATAAAATTTTGTGACAACAAGCTACACCTGATGGTGCAAAAATACTGAGAAACTACCATATTCTGCATTAGGAAAAATGTGTTATTTAAATACATTGTGCCAGTTCAAATTTGCACAAGTTTAGATGGTAAGCATAAATTAATGCTTGGATGGCTGGGAAATCAAGCATGGATGGCTGGGAAATCAATAACCATAAGCATAGAGCCAAGGCAGTGGTGGACCTCAGCATCTCAAATTTCAGCGGCGCCCTGTGAGATGCCAAAAGCCAGCCCTGCCCCCGCCCTCCTGTCTATCACCTTTCATTGGAGTAAAAGTGGTGCTGACTATTCCAGCACCCCAGAACAGAAGCTCCATGCCTGATGCAATCGCACCAGTCATGCTCCCCTACAGCTGCCTCTGGGCGAGGTATACACTTGGAAGTAAGGAGGAAATTGTATGTATCACCTGGAAACTATACAGTACCCTTTCTTTGACTATTACACACCCTGTCCAGAGCACTTCTAGCATCCAAGCATCTATCCAAAAAACCGGATCCTGGTGTTGTGAAACCTAGTACATAGCAGTGCTTAAAGTTCTGATCAGTTGACTGTGGGGTCTGCTAAGCACTGTGACCATGTTTTGTAAACTCCAACTATCAGCAAATTGTCAGGGCTTGCAAAACTCCAAGCATGGGCCTTCACGTATCCTCACTGTGCCTTTATCTACATATTTTGATTTCAGTGTCATTGTGGCATCAGTTGATTGCAGAAATAGTGAGGGAGGTAACAACACAGCCTGCTGGCAAAATCCAATTTCCTACCCATTATAGTGGGTGATACTTAGTAAGTCAGTAGACATACTGAAGTCAACAGACTAACGTCAATGGAGCCATTGAGAGTATGACTAATGTTGAATATAACCCAATAGCTTTAGTTATTTAAAACTAGCCATTTCTGACTTTTGTACTTTTTTACCAACTTAATTTTATGACTGATATAGGCAGGACTGTGAGCATGTAATTGCTTTGATTTATTCATCATAGTTTGTCCTACCCCAAGCAAGACTGCAAAGATGCAGTTTGCATATATAAATTCTAGTAGAGATAAAACAATCATTGTTATTGGTACCCATATCTATTAATATGGTGTGAATGATAGCAATAGAATGATAGAACTATTCAGCTTTATCTAATAATTTATAGCTTATTTTCAAAAGTAGAGTCTGGCTCTCTTCAAGAAATGTAGACAGTCAGCAATTCTCCTATTCCCAGAAATAATATGTCCTAATTTTAGTTCTATTATGTCATTAATCTGAACATCAAAAATGTTTAGGCTGTGGACCATGTGATAAGCAGACTGATGTTTCTAAATGACTTGTGCTTTTGCTTCTTTCAACTTTTAAGCTCGGAAAATCTAGAAGAAGAAGAAGAAGAAGAAGAAGAAGAAGAGTAGTTTGGATTTGATATCCTGCTTTATCACTACCCTAAGGAGTCTCAAAGCGGCTAACATTCTCCTTTCCCTTCCACCCCCCACAACAAACACTCTGTGAGGTGAGTGGGGCTGAGAGACTTCAAAGAAGTGTGACTAGCCCAAGGTCACCCAGCAGCTGCATGCGGAGGAGCAGAGACGCGAACCCGGTTCACCAGATTACGAGACTACCGCTCTTAACCGCTACACCACACTGGCTCTCCAATCTAGACCAAATCATTATGCAGTTTGACAGTGATCTCTTCTGATGATGGTTTAGTCCCAGCCCATGCTGCTATATTAGCAATAATCTGGTGGACCTGGAAAACTAGAGGACCAAAGTTATAATAACATGATTAATGGCCAGCCCATCAGCCTTAGAAAAGACTGGGTCATCAAACGTTGTATTTCTTATAATACAGATGTGAATGCCCATATCTCATAACCTTTTGATTCAAAAGAGCAAACTACAACAAGAGAGCAGTGAGCTCCAAGATCCTTATTGTTGTTGTTCAGTTGTTTAGTAATGTCCAACTCTTCATGACCCCATGGACCAGAGCACACCAGGCACTCCTGTCTTCCACTGCCTCCCGCAGTTTGGTCAAACTCATGTTAGTAGCTTCGAGAACACTGTCCAACCAACTTGTCCTCTGTCGTCTCCTTCTCCTTGTGCCCTCAATCTTTCCTCACACACCACATAAGGATCCCACAGCTATACAAATTCTGGAGCTGACAATCAATGGGAACAAGTTTTTTGGTGGTGGGAGGAGAAAACCAGAGCGGGTGAAAGATGTCCACCCTCTCCTGCCCCGGCTGCAGTGAGCTGCCAAAGGCATAGGAAACGGTTCTAACTCCACCATGGAATATTCACGAACACATGCATTGCTTTGCAATCCTCCCCTCCCACTATAGACCCTGCTACAAATATTAGCAAAACAAATGTCTAGTAGACAAATATCAATCTTATATTTGAGAATGATGAATATTTGTGTTTCATTAATCAAAACTGACTAGAAGTTGTGAACTTTGCCAATGTGGATAGCATATCACTTGTAAGTTAGAGTGGTGAGTTCAGGGGGGAAAACTTTGTAACTATAAGAAATGCTGGTACTGGTGATCCCCTTTTCCTGGAAATTTGCTGAGTGTGTTTATTTGTTTAATTTTAAGTTGCACAGGCTTCCATTGCAGGCATTTCAGGTACATGATATTCCATTCAAGGTAGAACTAGGTAATCTATTTGGTTCTCTCCAGTGTTATGAACTTTTTAAAAAATGGCAGGGAGGGGGAAATTTCTATAAAAAAGCATGGGGGGGATTAGTACTAAAATATCAGCAAGGAAACCTGGGACTGATTGAATAAGTTCAGTCAAACATGCACAACTACTATCCAATGAAAGCACCAGTAAAACTGTGTTACAATACTTATTAAACAAGTATTGATACTCAGAAGCTATTTTAGGACTGTAGTCCTACACATTAGGGACTAAGCCTCAATGAACAGAGCAGGACACACTTTCAAACAAACATGTATAGGGCAGTGCTGTAAGCAATTTAAAGATGACATATGTGTAATACTTCATGCTCACACTTTTCTGATTACCCCCAAGCTAGATCTTTTAATCAAAATGAGTTGCAAGGCTGATACAGAGGTTGGGTGCCAGTGCTGCTTTTAAGTTCCTTTCATTTTACATAGATAGCAGTATTAGTCAAGTGCTCACTGTGCAAGGCATCTCCGTCTCCAGCTCTTATGCTGATAGAAATCCACTAGCACCACCCTGCACCTTTCATTCTGGAATGTACATATCTGAACAAAATGAAAGCGACAGATCAAAATAGAAAGTTCCTGTCCGACACGTACCAAAAATGTACATAAATCCTGAGAAAATAACTTCTCAAAACAGTATTTCTTCAATAGTCACAATACATTATTAAATGCTATCAGTTCAAGTGAACTTTTAAACAGCTGATCACAGGATGAACAGGAAATGTAAATAAAAAACGTATTTTACTGCATAGTTAACAAGTATGCATCTGCCTCACAATGATTTGGTGCAGCCTTAGGCGAATCATTATATATTAGTCTCAGCCAATATGCAATGTGGAAATAATAAGAGTGAATTTCCATACAGGGCTATTGTAAGCATTATCAAGGCATATATGTGAAGCACTTTAGAGCGCTCAAAGCACTACATAAATACTATCTGTTACTATCCGCTAATAATTTTTTTCTACACCACTTCAGAGAATAATATGTTTGCATCTATCTCCACTGTCAGAGGCATTATGCCTCTGAATACCAGTTGCTGGGAACTGCAATGACTACTGTTGCTCTCATGTCCTGTTTGCTGGCTTCTCGCAGGCATCTGGCTGCAAATGTGAGAACAGGATGCAGGACAAGATGGGCCACTGACCTGATTCAGCAGTTTCTTCTTATGTCATCATTTCTGTTGGTGAAAAAGCATGCAAGCTTCCAAATTACATGGAAATGTCTAGTGCCAGCAGCAGTAACCATGTTATTTGGTTGTCACGTATAGTTACCGAATTCATATACAGTGGTACCTCGGGTTAAGTACTTAATTCGTTCCAGAGGTCCATACTTAACCTGAAACTGTTCTTAACCTGAAACACCACTTTAGTTAATGGGGCCTCCTGCTGCTGCCGCACTGCGGGAGCACGATTTCTGTTCTCATCCTGAAGCAAAGTTCTTAACCTGAAGCACTATTTCTGGGTTAGCGGAGTCTGTAACCTGAAGTGTATGTAACCTTAAGCGTATGTAACCCGAGGTACCACTGTACTGTACATAATCCTCAGATTCATACATTACAGTTTGAAATGACATGAAAGCAGCAGCAAGGTATCTTATTAATCATTTCTTTTGCAGAATTTAATGACAAGAGTACATCAATTGCTTTGCAACCAGGAACCCCAGTTGCACTTATCAATTAAAAGAATTTAGGGGAGCAGGGTTGAGAAAACCCACTGCCCTGGACTCCATGAAGCTGGTCCCACTTAGGAATAGGCAATACTAATGATCTCAGAGTATGAAGGAGCTTCATATGTTCAGTATGGTCCAAGCCAATACCTTTAGGGTCATGGCACTGGTGAGCGACTTGAGTTATCACAAGGTATTCAATGTATTATTCAACAATATCTTTGACCCATTAACCACCAGCAGCTGGACCACTTAAGTATCCAGAAAAATACAACAGCAAAGAATTAGCAGCCTCGCGCAACTTCTGTGTAACTTAAAAGCTTGCTGACACTTTTGCGGAAAACATAACAAGGTGGCAATCCTATGCACACCTACCTGGGAATAGTCCCACTGAACACAATGGGGCTTACTTCTGAGTCACTATACGGTACATAGGTGTGCACTAAAAGAGTGTTTGCTCCTTAACCTGGAAGAACACAGCTAGCACACTTTATACCAAAAGCATAACACTAGCATTCAATGAAGTTGCTGCTGCTATTATTTACTTAGTACAGGAAGTCATTTTTATTCCTCCCCCCCAATAAAAAGTCTCAAAGCAGCTTGACAAAAATAAAAACAAATAAAAACCAGACAACAGAGAGGACAAAACACATGAAATGCTTTTCCGGCAACACATTTGTAAGGGCCCCAAGTCCTACCCACTCCACCAAAAGATGAGCAGCAACACAGGAGGCAACACTCACAAACCACAATTCTAATTACAGTACCCTAAAAAGTTTAAGCCATTGAGGCTGGCTGAGTCTAAGCAGCAGGCAGTCCTGAGAAAACAAGACTTGAGTTCCTGTCCCATCACACACCCCAAACCACCCTAAAAAAATAATAATTCGGGGTTGCTTCTTTTACACTGAGAAAGTTCCGTAACATTACCACCGCCAAGAACAATACTATCAACAACTCGCTTCGCTTTCCCTTTACGAGATATGCTGCAGGGTCACATGAGTGAAACTGAGGGAGATAAGGAAAGTGCCGAGCTGGTGGCCGCCTCTCTCTCGGCTCGGGGTAATAAAGCTGCCCCGGTGCTCGCCAGTTAACCCTGGGGGGAGGGGAGACCCCGAGAAGGGATGGAGAAGGAAATCCAGGTGCGGACCTGCATCCGGAGGCCAACGCCTCCCGAAGGAGGCCTACTGGGAGCAGCCGGGCATTCAGCTTCATCACACCGACGTCCTTATGAAACGACCCAAAGCCACCCTCGGCCGGCTTGCTGAGGGGCGGCAGCAGCACCCACAAGGGCCCGCGGGGGTAAAAAAAAACAACTATCCAGAGACCCAACGGCCCTCGCCGCCGTGGAAACGGGGCCCGAGGAGTCTCTCGCGGGCGGCTGGCCGCTGTCACGAAGGCAGGACCTCTCGGAGCGCCGCGCAGGGCGAGCGGCCTGCAGCCTCCGGGCCCCTTTTTCTTCTCCTCCGCCGCTGCCCGGTCCGTCTCGCCTGCGGCTCTCTTACCTCAGCTAACATCCTTGCTCGCGGTGGGAGCCTCCGGCTCTAGCCCCGCCGCATGGTGTTGCAGCTCGCAACGTCTGCCCGGGGCCACCGCCGCCCGCCGCCGCCGCAGGGGGAACGGCGCCAGCCGGCTGCCACCCTCCTCAGCGGTGCCTCCGTAGCGCCAAGCCCACAGCAGCCGACGCCGCCTCCGCAGGTCGCTCAGGAGAGGCGGCCATCTTGAGGAGGCTGCGCGAGACGCCGCCGACGCTGCTGCCGCTGCTACTCTCGCCGGCGCGGCCGCCCATTGGGGCGGCGAGACACTGCTGGGCAGGCCTCTCTCTGGCCAGGCCGCCTTGCCGCCTCCCTCCTCCGCCCACAACCGCTTCCCCTCACGCAGGCACGGGCTGAGGGCGGGCTCGCTGCCTCTCTCTCGACTCGCCCCTCAAGCGACGCGGGTCTGGAGCGGCGGAACGTGAGGATAGGGCGGTGGAGTGGGACAGGCGAGTCAGTATGTGGCGCGCTGTGAGAGACTTGAGGAGAGCTGGGCTCACGTTCACAAAAGCTTGCCGAGGTCGTTGTGAGGAGTTCCTTGCAATTTGGACTGGTGGCAAAAAGTCAGTCATGATTGGAGGCGGGAGAGAGAAATGGCTCTGGGACAAGTTGGAGGCACAAACCTCCTCTGGACGCGCTTTCTATGGAGTATGGCCCACTGTGTGAATGCAAGTGGGGTCCAGCTTCTGCTTAGGAATGTGCTGCCCGTCCGAATTCCAAAGGAATCTGTTCCTTTCTTAATAATAATACTAATAATAATTTTTAATAATAATAATTTTTATTTATACCCCACCCTCCCCGGCCAAAACTGGGCTCAGAGCAGCTAAAATCAAATGTATAACGTATTAACATAAAATCAGACAATCAATTAAAATACATATGATCACGCCTCCCCCAGACAGGGCCTTTTTCTCACACCCCTTTCAGCACTTGCTTATGGGTGTCGTCTTCTTTGGTGATCACTCGTAGCCTAGTAAGATTGTCTTCCATGAACACGGTTTCAACAGTGAGTCCTTAAGTGACTGTGGAGGCCAATTCTGGATCCACACGTCCTTCCATAGTGGGGACATAGGTTTCCGGGCAGGAGTTGATCATGGTGAGGGTTTGCCAAGTGTGCCTTCCTCTTAGCACGTTTCTCCCTTTCATCCTGAGTTTGAGCGTCTTCGAAGCCCACAACACCTTTGGTAAAGGCTGTTCTCCAATTGGAGCACTCACAGGCCAGTGTTTCCCAGTTGTCGGTGTTTATACTACATTTTTTTACATTTGCCTTGAGAGAATCTTTGAACCTCTCTTGTTGACCACCAGCATTACGCTTTCCATTCTTAAGTTGGGAATAGAGTAGTTGCTTAGGAAGACGATAATCTGGCATCTGCACAACATGACCAGTCCAGTGAAGTTGATGTTGAAAAATCATTCCCTCGACATTGGTGATATTTGCTTCTTCCAGTACACTGGGTGTCATCTAGTGTTGGTTATAAAACACGCCCCAGACTTTGTATGGAAAGGGAATGAATGAACACCTGACTGTAGTCTTGTTGATTTGGTTGGGGTAGGGATGTCAGAGTAGAGTATGAGAGCTTTTGGACCGGAATATCAAGCAAGATTCATGATGAGTCCAGAAGCCATCGGCTAGGCAGCGTTAAGATATGATAACGCACAAGGCCAGAGTAGCAGGCAAATAGTGACTGCTGTTCATTGCTGCTCACTTGCTTTTGCTTTGTTTTGTACGGCATTTTGGTAAAAAGAGTTGAGGGGAGCGGAGTAGAGAGAGAAGCAGGCCGGAGCACTCTAGGTTAGGGAAATGATGATAAATGGTCCAATTAGCAGTGGAAGCAAGAAGCTAACGTAGATAACAAAAGCAATGATCAGACAAAGCAGTGGACACATCTGGAATAACTTGGAAACAAGACGAATGAACAGGCAAATAATAGGATGACGGTGTTTAGAGAGGACTTTCAGTGATTGTGCATTGAATGATGAAGTGTGAGATGGCTTGACCGCAGCTGGAGTAAAGATGCAACATTTCCAAATATGTTGAAGTTGTCAGGAAAATATGTCTCTCCCACACCACTTATTGTGATGGGGTGAGAGTTTATGAGAAAATTGAGATATATTCAACAAGTACTATCTGTGACAAAGTGCTGCAGTGTGGCGTGTCCCATTCAGGGCTCCCTATCAGCTAGCCATGCCCTTTCCAGGGTACTCCATTCCATCTCACTACCCCAAAGTTCACCACCCTCCTTTCCCCCTGAAATGTGCTCAGTTATCATGTAGCTGTTTTGGGTTTAAGACCTTTTGCACACGAAGCTGGTGCTTTTTCACTGAGCTAGCCCCCCTTTAAGTGTACATAAGTCTGATTACTTGCATAAAATAACACACGGATTTGTAGATGGTGTGACATATAGGCATGTATGCACTTGCCTCTTTGCAGAAATCATGCAGTTCTGATGTGGTGCTATTAAAATAGTACTTAAAATAGTTACAAAACTAGAGTGGGTAAATCACAGTATTCAAGATTCTTCATTTCAGATATTGCATTACAATCTGACTTCCATCTTCCAACTGCCACCACAAATTAATATGGCAACTGAAAGTATATTCTAACTTCAGAGAAATATGGAGGGGGGAAATCATTCCAATATCTCAATTTTCAAGGGATGTATTACATTGTGATGAGGGAAAAGAAGATCAAATATGAATGTGATGTCCTGAAGATGAATGCCAACTTTCATTCCAGTATTTGAAAGGTTGCATTATGATACCTGTCAGAACAGAAATCTAAGGTGACTGAAAAAGGTGAGAAGTAGAACTGATATTCAGAGTTGAAATGCTGAACCTTACAAAATCTCATTCTGGTATATCAGTTTTCAAGAGAGTTATTGAACTACAAACAAGCAGAATACCAAACAGACAAGTTAAAGGCTTTGTATTGTTTGTGCAACAAAGTTTCTGAATTAAAGCAAAACAGGATTGTGAACATCAATGGTGGTCATGTTTAACAACAAATCCTTTGAGTGATACATATGTTCTGTGCAACATGTTCTGTGGAAGAATCAAGAAAAGAGTGTGAGAAATCCTTTGCCTTATCAACAGGGTGACCACTTATTAGGGATGGGGAAGAAATTCGATTTAATTTACATTTTAATGTGAACCCAACCTAAACCATACTTCTCAAAAAAAGTATACAAACTGAAATATAGCCATCCTTCAGAAATTGTTCTTCTCATAATTTTCTGTGCAATTCTCCAACCATAAAATACATATAAAAGGTGTATTTGTGTAATGTGTTCATAAAAGAAGCATGCATTAGTAAAAATAGCACCGAACAATGCATTTTGTTAGGTAAAATCCTTGGGAAAACTTTATTTATTTGGCACAGTTGCAAACAAATATATATAAATCATGAGCTGCATTTTAGATTGGAAAGGTAAGAAACTGAAATTGATTTGTCCATCTCCACCATGTGTGCTGTGCTAAAGAAAAGAGAGGAAATGCATGACTAAAAAGAGAGAACATAGATTACCATAAAATTTGCATGTGCTGATATGTATAGCTGCAAACGTATAAGTAATTACTAAAATTTAAAATGCAAATACCATTGTAGGGAATGCTGCTGTCCAAGAGCTAAACCACTGGCGGGCAATTTCAAGGCCCTTGCTCTCCCTTCCTATGGTTCTTTATTTTTAATCAGGACTTGGATAGGACAGCTGGTCTCTGTGAAGTGGAATACATGGCCACCATATTCCTCAGTTGCCATGTTTGTACTTGGTGGTAGCCACTTGGGCTCTTATTTCTAACCTTGCACTTACATTGCTAAGAAAGCTCCCTGGCTGAGTAGTCCATTAATCCACCCGGTGCACCAGGTGGAGGAAGCAGTGTTCTTATGAAACTGTGAAGTCTAGCAAAATGTCCTCAAGGATAAATAGTGTTGTACATCGTTTCTGAAACAGCACCTGCCGTTTCTGATGCATCAGCATTTGCCTAATCCACAGACCTTGGTATTTTTGTTCTCTTCCATTCTTTCCTTCTCTTACTTTCTGCTCACCTTCCTCCCTCCCCACCCTGTATTATATGTGTCGCCACTTTGCAGCTTAAAATGTATGCCTTCATCATCAGCTTCTTTCTGTGATCTCTTGAGAGTTTCAGAATTGCCATGGTTGTGGCTGTTTGTTTCTGCTGTTTTGTTCTCTTCATTCACACCTGGGTTAAAGTATTAGATGTTAAACCAAAACAGTTACCCAAGAAACAAGAAGCTCCTTTAAGACGTTAGCACTGAATTTTTTATTTTTTATTAGAGAATGTAAGGCCACACAAGCAAGCAATGAAGCGATGTTTTATGGGCAGCATTCTTTCCACCAAATTGAGCATGAATATCTGCATTCCTACACATCCAAAGTGACACTTGTTTGTCTTGGTGAAATTACGTTTACCCTGCTTGTCTGTCACAAGCTCAGAGCAGACATCCAAGGTGTCTTCAGTTTTCGGATAAAGCCAAGGTTTTACTGCCACCAGAGGAGACACAGAACAGGATTTCTGACAGTTTACATGGGAGTTTGAATAGACAATTATGGAAGGGGAGTCCTTGAAGTTGGGGGGGGACTGCAGCCCTCTTGATGTTGCTGAACACCAACTCCCATCAGACCCAGCCAGTGGCCAATTGTCAGCGCAGTGGGAGTTGTAGTCCAGCAACATCTGGAGGTCCACAGGTCTCCCAACCCTTTTTTAAAGCATCCTGTCCCCAGACCACTTAGGGCTTTAAAAGCTACCCCCCCAACAAATTGGTAACCAGTGACATTGAAACAAAACTGGAGCTGACGTATTTGATTCAAAACATTCCATAATGTGTTTTCATTATCACTAATTGTCTTCTGCCCATTATTCTCAGCCATTCACACTATTAGTGGAATGGAAGCAACATCAAAGGAGCATTACTAAACTATGTTGACACGCCATTCTGAACCAAGAGAGATTAGAGGAAGAGCCACATACTTTAGGTTGGGCAGAAACTATATTCAAAATACCTCATGCCCACACTGTAATGGTTTTAGGGATAGGGAGCAGGTGTCAGGGTTGAGTTTTTATTTCTGTCTTCTGGTTAATGGGAATATTGATTTGTTTGTTGTTACCATCCTGCCAAAGTTTTCTATTACTGTTATGGGGGTGGGCTGTGTTATATGATCCCCCTTTTTTCTGTTGTGTGTGTGTGTGCGTGTTCAGTCTATTTCACTTGGGAACTTTTTGAGTTACAAGCAACTAATAAGTTTAATAAATAATAATAATAATAATGCAATAGCTACAGTTCATTTTCTAAATACCAGCCTAGGACAAGCCTGTTAATGGAAAGAAAGCAATAAAGAACAGAAGCAGAATAAGTGAATTTGAAGTGATTTCCCAGTGACAGTAGCTGCAACCTAGAACTGAAAGAGGAAGTGTTGAGCAGTGCTGCAAATAGCACTGTTAGGGGAACTTCTGGGGCTGATTTTTGGCAGGAAAATGATGTCTGAGAGGATGGGTTAAGGCTAAAAACTTTTCTGCTGGGGCAACACAGCTGCATTTTGCTCAAGAAGAGGTGTGTCTGGTCCTAAGCATTTAATTTGAATATGCTGCTAACTATTACCAACATATTTCTTTTTTCCTACACCATCTCTCCATCTCTCCAAATCTAGGGTGACTAATGTGTAGATTGACCCTTAACTGCAACATTGGGTAAACACTATCCGAAAGATTAGGGCCAGGGGGCACATGCCAGTTGTGGCTGTGGCCAGAGAGAAAAGCAGGCAAAGCATCTAATGTGACTTTTAGCTTTGTACAGTAGACTGCATTCCAGACATATTTGGAAGTTTCTTAAACACTCAAATACACCTCTCTCCATCCTCAATCCAGGCAAGCAAGAGGAATGATCACAGTTGAAGGACACATTCCAGCCAGGCAAAACATTTGAGGAACATGTGGAACAGGGCCAGGGAGGGGAGTTTTCTGGGGAGAGTCTCAAGGGACAGACAGAGGTGTATCGAGACCCACAGACGGGACCCAGGCCTGCGGTTTCCCAATCCTGGATGAGATAGATGAGTTTCTTCCATGCATTGTCTTGTTTCATAAAAAGAGAAAACTGAAACTTGGTTTGTACTTTTCTGACAAGCAGACTGGACAATGGATAATGGTATCTCACTTTGAATGGATTTGGAGTAACTATGTTAAGCACAGTGGTGCCATGGTCCAGGGTTGCAGGGGGTTGAAGACCCATTACCAGTCCTTTTTTTTCCTAAAAAAATGTTTAGCGGTACTCTCATTTTCCTACTCATATTGAAATACTGCCCCTCAATGAGGCCAAACTTAGATTCACAAAATGTTTAGGGGTATGCGTACCCCCAGAAAAAGCATTGCCCGTTACTATTTATACAGCAGAGTCCCTCCAGTGTCCTAAAACCGCCCAGTCAACATGAAGGGGGAGCTTTTTGCCCACTGGATGCTCCAAAGGTAAACATTTAGGAACACTGAAAACACAAGAGTTTCAAGAGAACAGTGTGCAAATTCTGCTACACTGGAACTTAACAGAAAACATAATTTAAGTCAGGCTGAAAGAAGACATTGCAGCACTCCAAATAATTTCCCAAGTATGTGCACAGGAAATAGTAGATCAAGCTGAAAGGCAACACATGGAGATCTGCATTGGTTACTGCAACACATCCCATAATTGTTATGACGCTATAATTATAAGATTATTGTATAAACTTAGACGCTTGTGAAGGGGTGTGATTGTGACTATCATGGTTATGCACTGTACAATGGCAATTCCATTCCCTGCACTGAACATGCTTCTACCACATCTGCAACCGAAATCCTATGTGCAATTACTTGGCAGCAAGTCAGCTCCACTTAATCCAATAGGGCTTACTCCAAATCTGTACATAGCTTGTATCATTAGAAATCGAATGATCAGCCATGTTTGGCTTCTAGCAGAAATCCAGCATGCTGTCACGGCAGGCTGGGGATCACCTGCAAAACTTCAGCTCCACAGTCACTGGGAATAGATTGATTAACCAAATTGCTTGGAGTGGCAATTACAGATTGGAGGTGGAAGTGGGGAGGAAAGAGAAATAGGTATGGGGAGCAAAGTAAGGAGCAAAGAGGCTGTCAACTTCCTTCTGGGAGCCCAAACGTATGTACGGTTGTAGGAAGCAGTAGTTTGGCTTACCATGACATGTGAACGAGACCAAAGTGTTATGCCTTAACTATAGCTATCCTGTTGCAGTTCAACCAACTAGAAACTACATTTTGCCCATGTTGAAGTCACTTTTGTTTCAACAAGGTTGAATAAATATAGGACACTCCTTTGGGCAGGGGTGCCAACTTGAATAAGATATTGGGGGACCCAGGTAAGCCTCACCCTGCATAATTTATCACATGATAGAGTGTGCACACAGTATTTGAATGGCAATGCCCATCAACTTTGGGGGGGCCCAGACCCCTCAAATATTTTATCAGGGGTGAAGATCCCTCACCCCCTAGGAGCTGGCTCCTATGTCCTTGGGTGTTAATTTGCTATCATTTTAAAACCTATTTTTAGTTCCTGTTGTAAGGTTATAAATGGCCTTCAGACATTTGTGAAAAGTGACTCATAAACTAATAATAATAATTCTATTATTTCCATTCCTGCAACTGTATAAAGCAGAATCACCATAGGTCATTTTCTCCTATACAAGACAATATTTCTACTTAAGTTCCTGATATAGTTCCTTTTTTGCTTTTTCTAGGTTTCTAGTACCAGCTGTTGTTTCAGTTTCCTTCTTCACTTCTCTCTTTGCAACTTGTACAATAATCTGTCTGAATTTCCCTTCTTACACACATTGTCTCTCGTCTTTCTGTGTAAGCCCTGTGTAAGCCCCTGGTTTATTATTTCCTCTGGAGCTGAACCTACTTTCAGTCTTTAGTTTGAGAAGTGACTACAGGTTTTTTTTTCCTTTAAAAAAAAACCCCTATACAACTAAATAAGGAAGCTGGTGGTAGGGTAATGAATTTCTAAAATTATTTCAAGGTAGTCAACCCACACCAAATGAAGTTACCATCTCTCATACAGACAACAATAAGTAAATAACACAATTACTATGTACATTTTAGGCTGAGTATGTTCAGTCATTGTTTTCCCTACTTTGAATGTAAATTTCCTTGGCAAAAACAAGAGACTGAATATTGCTGCATTGGTTCAATTCACACATAAACACCAAAACAATCTGGCACATGGGATCATTTATGTAGGCTCACATATTATCTGTTTTCTCACTCATTGTAGTTTGCCATGAGATCCCAATTTGGAAAATATGGTTAGTTCTAACTTCATAATAATGGTTTGCAAACTATGAATTCAAATTAGGCTTTGGAGCAGTATTTTCAGTTAAGACATCACACAAAACTGCTGTGGTCTAGCAAACAAACAGGAAATGAGATAGTTAATGAATAAATACTGATGGAGTGAAGAGAGTCTTCAGGGGCACAGGCAGGCATAACATATGAATTAAATAATTAGGTAAAATAGAATAATCCCCTATATTTATAATAAATATTATTATTATTTATAGGTCATCTTTTTGGGGCATAGCCCATCCAAAGTCAGCTTGCATTTCATTGAAACATCCAAGAACTAACCATTTTAAGGCAATTAGAAAATGTGAAAAGGAAACTATATGCTGACCTTTATGTTCACTACAGTGGTACCTTGGTTCTCTAATGCCTTGGTTCTCAAACACTCTGGTTCTTAAACTCCAAAAACCCGGAAGTAAGTGTTCCAGTTTTTGAACATTTTTCGGAAGCCGAACATCCAATGTGGCTGTCGGCTATTGTACATGTTCACCATGCTTCTTGACAACCACACAATTAGCATCAATGTGAAAAGGACCTATGTGTGTACAGTTCCTCCATGCATACATGAAGGCCAGCCAATCAGGGTTGCTGTTTGCATATCAGACCCTATCACTGCCACCATCTTCAGGGACCCGGGCACCCACCAGACTTTTGCTGTGGGTGCCTAGCCTCCACCCCCACTGCCACCTCCACGCACTCCCCCCCCCCCCATGGCACCACCTCTCCAAATGTTGGGAACTTTTCCCATAGGGGAGTTTCTCCATTGTCTTTTTTTATCTGGGTTTCCATTTTCGGAACCATACAAACCACCTGATTCAATCTTCTCCTTCCTCCTCATCATTCACAGCCTGCCAACTCCAGCCTGAGCCCAACGGCATCTCAAGGCTCATGACAGATATTCAGTCCCAAAACATTGTGTTGTATGACAAACTTGCTGCCACAAGTATCAACCTAATCTAGACCTTAGAAGGTGCTACCAGATTAGCACCCAAAAAACTATGGGTTAAAAGCACAGGATGGGGTCTTTAGCCGTGGCGTAGCAGCTAATGAGGCTTCTCTCAATAATAGCACCATCCCAAAACACATCTGCCAGAGGACATTGATTGCCACTACAAAACAGGAGCCTCCAAGGCCACATTCTCCCCAGAAGTCTGCAGGGCCCCTTCCCGGATAGGGGCCATGTGTATGATACCAGTGGTGTGTGCTTTTCAGAGAATTTCTCCTTGCATTGGCTGATACCAAGAAGAGGGACATTATATACCATGTGGCACTAACCTTTTGTGCCTAGCAGTTCCCCCCAGTCTGTTTTCTGTGCTATTTTGAGACCCATCTCAATTATTTGTGGAGAGATGGAAGAACAGATTATGAATTTTTAGAGATCAGCCCTTTGCAGCCGATCACATTTCTGAATGCATGAGCTCATCCCAATGGGCTTCTTCTCTTACAAGGGTTATATCAACTAGCAGAGAAATGGATAGCTGTTCAGCTCTTGTAACCCATATTAAATTGTCAGTAGCATTATTTAAGAATACCTGAAGAATGGAGTAGGAATTTTGTTGGGGGTTTTTAGTGCTGTACTGAAACCTATGGGACAGAAGAGCTGCAGAAAAGAAAGAGAGCAGGAGAATTGCTCCACATCCAAGCCCATTGCTTTGCAAGCCATTGATTTGATCAATGGCATCTTCAGACAGAAACTGTCAGGTAGCAAGTGAGCAGCTTGTTTTGCTCCAGGTGGGCGTAATGTGATTTGTTATATTGCCCCCTAGTTTCTGCATGTAGAACTGCTTTGATTTTTCCGTTGTTGGTCTGGTAGCATCTGATCAAGTCTTAGAATCTATTATCATGCCATGCTTGGTTTTCCTGTGTCATCTATCTAACCATGCTCAGACCTCAGAAGGGGGGGGGGGCCCTCCCTCTTGCATTGTTCTCTGCAGCCTGGCCTCGCCGTTATATTTCCACATCATCCATAACCATTTCATGTAGCGTACACCATACATTAGTATACATAATATACATGTTATATTATACATTATAAGGGACGTGGGTGGCGCTGTGGGTTAAACACGGTTCGAATCCTTGTGACAGGGTGAGCTCCTGTTGCTCGGTCCCTGCTCCTGCCAACCTAGCAGTTTGAAAGCATGTCAAAGTGCAAGTAGATAAATAGGTACCGCTCTGGCGGGAAGGTAAATGGTGTTTCCGTGCGCTGCTCTGGTTTGCCAGAAGCGGCTTAGTCATGCTGGCCACATGACCTGGAAGCTGTACACCGGCTCCCTCGGCCAATAAAGCGAGATGAGCGCCGCAACCCCAGAGTCGGCCACGACTAGACCTAATGGTCAGGGGTCCCTTTACCTTTACCTTTACCTTATTATACATTATATAACACTATACTTTTAAAGCACCCCCCCTCAAAAAAGAGCTCTGGGAACCGTAGTTTGTTAAAGGTAGATTTGTTAAAGATAAACTGCAGTTCCTAGGATTCTTTGGGGGGGGGGTTAATTTATGGTGTGTATGCAGCCATGATTAGATTCACCCATTATTAATTGTTGTTTTTTTTTTACACCTTCATTCAGAAGTTTACCATTCAAGTTGTGCCCAAGTAGTGATCAACAAAGTTGAAAGTGTGGATTTGGGTGTGAGTTTAGCTGACCAGATAGATGCACAGCCTAACCTGCATCGAGGCCAGGTTGCTTCTGCCACCAGTAGAGTAAACGATACTTGTTTGCAGTAGTCTGACTTTGATATAAGGCAGCTTCTGACTTGATATCTAGACAGCTACTTGAGTAGGAAGCTTTTTTTTTTTTTTTAAAGGCAGTGGCATGGAGATTGATGACCCCTATAAAACCTAAAAAGGTCACCCAGATAAATTATTATTTATTGTTATTAGGGAAGTTTTTAATGTTTGATGTTTTATTGTGTTTTTAATATTCTGTTGGGAGCCGCCCAGAGTGGCTGGGGAAACCCAGCCAGATCGGTGAGGTATAAAAAAATAAATTATTATTATTATTATTATTACTATTACTATTATTTAAATTTATTTAAATTGGGATCAGGCACCATAAACTGGGACATTCTGTCATTATTTAATAAACGTACCACTCCACCTTTCTTAACGTATAGGTAAGCTAAAAAATAATTTTTGACAGATAAAACCCCATTAGTATAAAAACATAAAAAGACCATGTTGAAAAAGGCCAGCTATCACCAGGATATCCGCATGAAACAGCCTTTGAAAGTCAGGAGGTGTTGGCCTCCTTACAAAAAGTCTGCAATATCAGAGTGGTAAGGCTTCCTTAGCAGGTAAACCTATGGGGGGGGTATATGACATAAAAGATCCATAGGTTGGACCAGGGTCTCACACAATGCTCTAGAGCAGGGGTCAGCAACCTTTTTCAGCCGTGGGCCGGTCCACCGACCCTCAGACCATGTGGTGGGCCGGACTATATTTTTTGGGGGGGAAATGAACGAATTCCTATGCCCCACAAATAACCCAGAGATGCATTTTAAATAAAAGCACACATTCTACTCATGTAAAAACACGCTGATTCCCAGACCGTCCGCGGGCCGGATTGAGAAGGCGATTGGGCTGCATCCTGCCCCCGGGGCCTTAGGTTGCCTACCACTGCTCTAGAGGGCGCTGGGCCCACATGCACATCTTCTATTTAAAGTGCTATGTTACCACTTTAAACAGACATGGCTTCCCCAAAGCATCCTGGGAAGTGTAGTTTGTTAAGGGTGGTGAGCGTTGCTAGAAGACCCTTATTCCCCTTACAGAGCTACAATTCCCAGAGTTCCCTGTAAAGTGGAATTGATTGTGAAAACTCTCTGGAAAATGTAGTTCTGGAATGGGAATAGAGGCCTCCTAAAAACTGTCACCACCTTTAACAAACTACTGCTCCCATAATTCTTTAGGGGGAGCCATGACTGTTTAAAGTGCTATTATATGGTTAAATAGAACAGAGCATTCAAAGCTTATTCAGTTCTTGAGCTTCAATAGAACTATAAATCCCTCTGCTGGTCAGTTTATCGCATTGCATGTGTTAATCCCATGCAAGCAGCAAGTTTTAAAAAGTTAAATGAACGAAAATGCTTTCATTCAAAAAGGTACCGGTATGTTGCTTGCATACGCAAAAACCCATTGGGAATTGTAGGCTGAACAGGGCTGGTGGAGTTGGTGAAAAAACTGGATATTTCAGCAAGGCAACATTTTGAACAATATTCTGGATACTCAAAAACTGCATTTGGCTAGCATTCTGCTATATTATTATTTTATTTATTGAATTTATATACCGCCCTATACCCAGGGGTTTCAGGACGGTTCACAAAATAAAATCATGCTAATAATAGCAGCAGCATTAACAATATAACTTAGGTGGAAACACAGCATGTAGAAATTTTTGAAACCTGAAAAGGTATATAAATGATTTTAAGTAAGTCCAGCAACAATTCAATGCAGCCAAAGTAAGTGACATTTCTAGTTGCCAGAGACTTTGTGAGGTGGCACATATTGCTCAACAATTGCTGCTGAGGCAATAGTGTAAAGGAGAAACATACTTTTAATGGTACAAAATGAGGAGTATTTTTCAATTTCCCAGTAAATAGATGTATGTCAAAGGTGCCTGTACAGACATGTTGAATTTCATTTTCGATTTACAGCTTTGTAAACTCAAGCTCATATCATGTTAAAAACTGTGCTGGTATTCTCTTTTTTTAAAATGTAACGTAGAGAGCATCCCAGAATTCCATACACTTCACTAGAAAGTACTTATTCACATAATACATAATGAATTCATGGAATTTGTTGCCACACACTGCTGGCTGCTAGTTTAGGTGGTTTCCAAAAAGCTTAGACAAATTCCCAGCTATTCATTTTGATGGCCATTTGCAACATCTGATTTCAGAGGCAGTGTATCTTTGACGAGCAACAGTGGGAGAGATCTTTTTCTTCATTCCCAGCTTGTAGGTTTCCCAGAAGTGTCTGGTTGACCACTGGGGAAAACAGGATGTTGGACTTGATGGACTTTTGGTCTGACCCAGAAGATGAAGAACTTATAGCTAGGGATTGGTGAATAAGTTACTTTCACTTTCTGTCCATTTTTCATTTTTCCAATCTTGAATTCAGCTCTCTACGTTTCAATATTACCTTGAGAATTTTTTTAAAAGGTCCTCTTAAAAATTCATCAGCATTTTAATGCAAAAGTTTTAGAAAGATTTATCTTGGATTGTACCACTTCAGGTTCTAAATGTGTGTGTACATTTTAATGTCCCCTTTGAAGGCAAAAATCCATATAGAAATGTAGCACATTTAGGCTGAGTCCTTTTCAAAGACATGCTAGTTTTGTAGGTCATAGAATCATAGAACCATAGGATTTTAGCATTGGAAGGGACTCCAAGGGTCATCTAGTCCAACTCCCTGCAATGCAGGAATCTCAACAAAGCATCCATGAAAGATGTCCATCCTGCTTTTAAAGCTCCAAGGAAGGAGAGTCCACAACCTCTCGATGGAGTCTGTTTCACTGTCAAATAGCTTTTACAGGCAGAAAGCTCTTCCTGATGTTTAGTCGGAATCTCCTTTCTTGTAATTCAAATCTATTGGTTCGGGTCCTACCCTCCAGGGCAGGAGAAAACAAGCTTGCTCCATATTCCATGTGACAGCCCTTTAGATATTTGAAGATGGCGATCATATTTCCTCTCACTCTCCTCTTTTCCAGGCTAAACATACCCAGCTCCCTCAACCGTTCCTCATAAGGCTTCGCTCCCACACCCTTTCTCATCTTGGTCGCCCTTCTCTGCATATGTTGCAGCTTGTCAATATCCTTCTTAAATTGTGGTGCCCTGAGAAGTCAGAGATGTGATCTGCCCCTTATATCCTAAAGCAGTACGACCAACACAACGAATTACTCACCTAGTCCTGATGAACAGCTCCTGTGTTGCAGAAATATTGAAAGCTACCATTGTTATTGCGTCTGTTGCAGTGATGCGGAATATATAAATCTCACCATACAGCAAAGATGCCATCCGTTAGGGTGACATGTCGTCAGTCTTGTTTGTAATTGGCATCTGCGTCGTACCCCCCTCGAGTTGTGCTTCAAAACAATGCTGTCTAACCACAAGTACTATCTCTGAGCAATAAGTAAAATATAGCCATAATATCAAGCTGGTTCTCAAACTCTAGGTGGCAGCTTATTCCATCATTTTTTCTCAGATGAAAGCATCAGTATGAAAGCAGTAGTATGCTATAGTTTATGCTTCTGACTGTTTATGAAAAAGTAAAACTATGGGAAATGGCATGGCAGTCTGAGTTACAAGCATCAGTTTAATTTGTACACATTGTGGGTGGCAAACACTACAAGTGCTACTTCAGGGTGGGTTAGAACAAGGCTTTTGGCACAATATATTTACTGTGAACCTAAGATTTTAGATCAGGTGTGAACAAGGTTGATGAGGATCTGTTGATAGTTCTTTGAGCAATTCCCCACCCCCTAGACCAGGCTTCCTCAAACTCAGCCCTCCATATGTTTTTGGCCTACAACTCCCATGATCCCTAACTAGCAGAACCAGTGGTCAGGGATGATGGAAACTGTAGTCTCAAAGCATCTGGAGGGCCAAGTTTGAGGAAGCCTGCACTAGACCTCCAAATCAGGTTGCTAAAATGGAGAAAGCTGGGGAGAAAATGAATACATTTGCAATGTAGAAAGATAGTGAACTGTGCTCAGGGAGGGGCCATATCTCAGTGGAAAAGCATCTGCCTTGCAGGTGGAAGGTCGCAGGTTCAATCCTTGGCATCTCTAGGTAGTGCTGGCATTGTCTGAAACCCTGGTGAGTCATGGCAGATAATATAGTGCAAGATGGACCAATGGACTGACTCAGTACAAGGCAGCTTTCTATATTTCAGATACTGAAAACAAATCCTGATCGGACCTTGCACTCAGGCACACCCTGTTCAGGAAAACTAACACAATATTCCCCACATCTGAACGTGCCCTATAGAGCCCATCACAATTCCTGTTTCAGCTTCCCTGCTATTTGATGAAATATATGGCGCTGTGGTCTAAACCACTGAGCCTCTTGGGCTTGCTGATCGGAAGGTTGGCAGTTCGAATCCCCACGATGGAGTGAGCTCCCATTGCTCTGTCCCAGCTCCTGCCAACCTAGCAGTTCAAAAGCACACCAGTGCAAGTAGATAAATAGGTACTGCTGTGGTGGGAAGGTAAACAGTGTTTCCATGCACTCTGGTTTCCATCACAGTTTTCCATTGTGCCAGAAACAGTTTAGTCATGCTGGCCACATGACCTAGAAAACTGTAGACAAACGCCGGCTCCCTCGGCCTGAAAGCAAAATGAGCGCTGCAACCCCATAGTCACTTTTAAATGGACTTCACTGTCCAGGAATCCTTTACCTTTTTACCTTTACCTCAGTAGCTATAGTGTTGAAAATACCTCACAGAGTACTTTGCAAAAAACCAAACTTTTCTTCTTTTCTGTTGCTTCATGAGCGGAGCGAGGCTCATAGCATTAGTTGCTACTGCTTATTCCCTATGTGAGGTCATAATCCTTGCTTTTCAAATATCTTAATCTTTTTTCCATTGCTACCAGCTGGAATGTCAAAAACAAAGGATTACATCTCCACTAATGGAAGGCTTGCTCCCTTTCTCACAGTATTCAACGGGAGCTGTGAATATTTGGTGCCACTGATATTACAGTGAAAGTTGCTCAGGAATATCTAGTAGGATTCAATGGCTAGGATCAGAATAGTCTAGCCTAACACATTGTGGATTGGGCTGGCTCCTGACAACTACACTTGCCTGAGACTTGATGAACTCAATAGGTTATATCCAGCATGAGTCTTACTCAGAGTAGATGCACTGGGATTAATGCATAGGACAAATTTTGTTCGAGTAATTCAAAGTGTACTCTGGGTGTACTCTGAGTTGGTTACAACCTAGAACGTGTGAGTGTGTGTGTTTAAAGATGTAAATATTTTCACTGACTTCTAACTTGAAGGTTCTCACTTTGACTTTTAGGCTTACAAGACTTAGGAGCAAGTGAAGGACTATCTACTCCCATATGAGCCTGTATCAGATGCCCTGTTCTAGGTACCACCTTCTGGGTCGTAAGGTAGGTTATGATCAGCAGTACAGCCTTTGCAGTGGTGGTGCCCTGGTTCTGGAATGTTATCCTCAGTAATATTCAGCAGGCATCAGTGCTGTTACCTTTCAAGCACTTAGTGAATACATTCTTATGTCCTAAGCTTTTAATGATTAATTTCATTCCTGTCATTTTCCTTTTTGTTGTTTTTATCAGTGTTTTTGTGCGTTTTTTGTGCTGCTTTCATCTCCTTCCTTTGTTGCAATTTTTGATTTTTATATGTTCCAGACTGCCTCATTTTCCTAATCATCTTCAGCTGAAAGTCCATCTAAAAAACTCTTAAATAAATAAAATAATTATATGAAGAAAACATTATGAAATAATACCAGCAATATTCAGTTTGCTTTCATCTGAAAGAAGCCAAATCTGGGTAGCAGAACCTAGAACATTTCATTGAGAAAAAAAGGGAGCATGCAACATTTTATCACTCAAGTACTATTATCAGTAGCCCCTTAGTCATGTTGTTCTGATTCAAAATAAGCCATTATGGCTTAATAAGCTTAAAATTTTGAAAACAAACGTAGAAAGGGTGTATAAACAGGATAAAGATCTCAAGGAAAAAGTGAGGCAAAGCTTGTAAGCATAACAGGAAGTGGATGTGACACACTGGAACTTAACACTAAGGCTGTTGCCTATAAAAAGCTACATTTATTTCATAATTCTCATGTCACTCAGCAAGTGTTTCCTCTTTACTCCAGAGTATTATGAAACTTTCTATGGATTTGGATGTGGCATTCATACAGCTCTTTCCCGAAACCACATGCAGCACACAATGTATTCTTTGAGACAAAAGATTGCTAATTCAGACTCAAATAAATGCCTGCTATAAAATCAGTAAGTTGGTCCAAGAACCCACTGAGACCACAATCATAGCACCTTGTTCCTTGTGCACAGTTCTGGTTGCTGTTTTTTTACCATGGTTTAAGCTTTAATTAATTCAGCTCAATTGTAAGAGCTGATAATGAGCAACAACTCTGAGACTTGACACTTTTTGAGAAACTCCAAGAGCAAGAACTGATTGGAAAGAAGCATGCATGCTTACTACTGTCCTGGCTCTCAGTGGCGTAGCGTGGGTTGTCAGCACCCGGGGCAAGGCAAGTAATTTGCGCCCCCTAACCCGTGGATTTGCGCCCCCTAACCCGTGGATTTGCGCCCCCTAACTCTAACCCCCAGAAGTTGCGCCCGGTGTGGCCACCCCCCCCTGCACCCCCCACGCTACGCCACTGCTGGCTCTCAATGGATGAAGAACTCAAACTTGGATTGTGGTTTCTGACAAAATCTTTAATGCTCAAATCAGAGCCGTACATAGGCAAGGCAAAGGTTAGAGGCCCAGCATAGCCCAGCTTTAGTGAGGCAAGGGAGAAGCATATTTGGACTGGGCAAGCAAACAGGCACTTCTTCCAGTGTGCTGGGCCTGAGCCATCTGCTCAGAGTGGCATCTCCATGTCTTAGGTGACAGGGGAGGGGACAACACAGGCTCAGAGCCAGACTTGTACCTCAGCATCTCCTATGCAGGTGGAGACTCGCTGTTAGGGAAAGGTGGTTGGGAGAGTTCCTGTGGAGCCAACTGATCATGGCTGATGCCTAACCCACCTTCTCCCAACAGCCCTCTGAGTCCCTCTCTGGGCTCTGATTCTGTGCCCCCATCTTCCTTCCCATACAACTCTGAAACCTCCTGAGGACCAGGCGAGGTCTGGCTCAACCTACTAAGTCTCTCCCCGGGTTCATCCAAGTCCAACTCCTCGAGCATCATCCTGATCTGACCAGCCTCTCCAGGACATTCTCATGAGGCTCATGACAACTACCCACTCTAGATTTTATCTTAGCATAATTTTAGTTAGGTCAGTAACCCTGAAAAAATTGACCATGGTATCTTGTTGTCTTAAAGTTCAGGCAAAAAACTGGAGACTAAAAATTCAATATTTTCTTTTGCAAGTGTTTTCTTACTACAAGGCTTTTCACTGTGTTTAAACTTGCTCAATGTCAAAACACAGTTTGTTCCACTTGTTCTCTTTGCTATAGAAACAAAGCAAACTAATAACTATTGTCTGTCCTTTAAATGGAATTATTTCACAGCCTTTGGGATCTTTCACATGATTTCTCTGTATAATCTATTACAGTGTGATAGTTACGCTTTTTAATTCATGTATCATTTTCCCTTGTTTCCTTGAGTCTTTAAAGTCCACTCCATGCACAGATGTTGCAATGCATTTTTAATTGGTAGGGATATGTGTCTTCGAATTCAAGGAGGACCAGCTTTTTAAATATTGAAGGCCACCCATGCTATGTACACACAGTAATTACTGGAAGCCATTGCAGTGATATTGCTGAAGGTAGACTAACTTAAACTGGTTTTGCAAGGACTTATAGTAATCTAAGCTGTATCCCACAGGAGCATTATCAACACTGCAGCAATGGATGCACAATTGCCAAAACAAATCCACAACCGATTGGATATTGCCCATAAAAAGCAACACCTACACACAGTGTTCCATGCACACTTTTAGGAACGTATTGCTTCTGGGTGAAAATGACTTGAGTGGAATCTGATAGTAAATTACAGTCTTGATTATCCATGGAGCAGTGTTAGATAAAATGTAGTAGGTAGTTACAGCAATAATATGTTATTATTTATATCCTGGTCTTCTGCAGTTGCACTTGGAAGGGCTTATAAGAAAATCTACATAGGCATACATAAAATCCAATTAAAAACAGTAATTTAAAAGCAGTTAGTCAAATACATTATGGCTGCAACATGCTTACCTGGGAGTACAGTGGTACCTTGGAAGTTAAACGGTATCCGTTCCGGAAGTCCATTCAATTTCCAAAACATTTGGAAACCAAGGCATGGCTTCCGATTGGCTGCAGGAAGCTTCTGCAGCCAATCAGAAGCCATGTCGGACGTTCGGGTTCCAAAGAATATTCGCAAACTGGAACACTCACTGGTTCAGGAGCCAAAACATTTAACTTGCAAGGCATTTGGGAGCCAAGGTACGACTGTAAATTGTTTAACATAGCTGCAACTGAGGCAACAGCCAATTTCATATGTCAAGTATTAAAAGTCTATCAAAACATTTTCAACTTCCGTGAAAAAGTGCTTAGAGAGTGCAACTGATGCAACTTAGCTGGAAGGACATGGTGCCACCACTGAAAAGGCCTCTTGCTCATGCACTGAGAGAAAGGCTTCATACGTAGGTCCATTTTGAAGCCCATCCAGCTCTGCATTGGGACCAAGTGTTCCTTAAGATAGTCCCAAGCCACTAAGGGCTGCCACGTTAAACCTAATACTTAGCACAGTTGTTGTTTAAGGCACATGCAATGGACCTGTAATAAACCATACTACATGTAAATATAGTAAGTGTACATATCTGCCTTGCTCCAGCAATCCTTTTTCCAGCCTGCAAGGCATCTTCCATTCAGTAGATGAAACAAATTTGTGCAGGGAGAATTATACCCAGTTACTCTCAGCCAAAAAAGGCTTGAAGAGTTAAATACTGTCTCATCTTCTCTCATATCCACCTGGCCAGTCTTTAGTCACGGAGGTGAAACCTAATCAGGACAGAGATCACGTAGCTTGTGGAAACTCAGCTTTAAATTACTAGGCAATGTTACTTGGTTTCTTTTTAGAGCTGAGCCAAAGGGAAGGTGAGATTCATCAGGTGTGAAAAGCCACTCTCCTTCTGGTGAATGTCTGGGCTGGGGAGAGAAGTCTTGTATAAGGGGATAAATTATTCTCCTAGAGCAAGAGTGGGCAACCTTTTAGCCTGCAAAAACTATATCCAATGGTGAGAGCTGCTCGGGGACTGTATGTCAGTGGCGTACATCTGCTCACAAACATTCACCTAAGTACACAGCTTGATGGGGAGGAGAAGGGCAGACCAATCTCAACCCCAGAGGGAGGGCAGAAGCCAGGCCAGTCCTTGCTGTCAAACGTGAGGAAGGGCAGACCTCTCTATTTGGAATGCAGGCATTGTGCTTACGATAGCTGAGAGCTTCCAAGAGGAAGCATTGCAGTCCTTATCCATGCCCCTCTTGAATAGGACACCTCAGGAACAGCCCATCCCATTTTACTGTCTGGGGTGAAGTCTGGAGTCTACCAGAGCCTCACTTACTGGGGTTGCACAGCAGTAGTGGCTTCCAGTGAGATCTCACAAGCTCTCATGCAAGCTCTGCAAGATCTCATGAGAGTTCTCGTTCTCCTGTGGGATTTCTCCACCCGAGGCAGCTGCTTCAGTCTGCCTCATAGGCAGCCCAGTCCTGAGAAACCCATTTACGGCAGGATACAGAGCCAAGGGTGGCAGAGGCAGCAGGGAGCAAAGAGCAGCAGCAGAATCCTCCGACAGCTAACAATCCTGCTCTGTTTATTTCTTTAATATTTGTGTGTTTCATATGGAAAAGGAAATGCATTTTCAGACCATTTTTATAAATAAAGCAAAAAATGAAAAGGCAGAAATATAACAGCAGTAGCATGGTAAGAAAAATACAGAGTCATTCTAGATCTTTTTTTTTTTTTTTAAATTACCTTTGATTTCGGCAAAGAAGTAAACATTCTAAAGCAGTGTCTCAGATCACTGATTTGTCTGCCTGACAAATGGGTTGGCAGACCTGGCCTGTTCTATATGGGTTTGTAGAGATGCAGAGTCTACAGTCCTTCAAATGTTACTAGACTCCCATACCTTGATTATTAATGTATATTGCATTCCCTTTCATGTGGAGATTTGCCTGGCTCCTTCCCTGCTGACAGAAATTGAAAACGTTTTCCTTGAAAAAGGCTTTTAAGATCCAGGTCTGCTGCTGTTTTTAATTATTTCAATTGCTGCTTTTTATGGCTGCGCTATTGCATCCATAATGCAAGGGTAGGGAACCTGTGGCTCTCTAGATGTTGCTGGACTCCAGCTTCCAGCATTCTTGGCCATTAGCCTTGATGGATGGGGTTCATGGACATTTGTTGTTGTTGTTTAGTCATTTAGTAATGTCCAACTCTTCATGACCCCATGGACCAGAGCACACCAGGCACTTCTGTCTTCCACTGCCTCCCGCAGTTTGGTCAAACGCATGTTCGTAGCTTCGAGAACACTGTCCAACCATCTCGTCCTCTGTCGTCCCCTTCTCTTGTGCCCTTCATCTTTCCCAACATCAGGGTCTTTTACAGGGAGTCTTCTCTTCTCATGAGGTGGCCAGAGTATCATGGACATTAAAGGTAAAGGGACCCCTGACCATCAGGTCCAGTTGTGACCGACTCTGGGGTTGCGGCACTCAACTTGCTTTATTGGCCAAGGGAGCTGTCATACAGCTTCCGGGTCATGTGGCTAGCATGACTAAGCCGCTTCTGACGAACCAGAGCAGTGCACGGAAACGCCGTTTACCTTCCCGCCGGAGTGGTACCTATTTATCTACTTGCACTTTGACGTGCTTTCAAACTGCTAGGTTGGCAGGAGCAGGGACCGAGCAATGGGAGCTCACCCCGTCGTGGGGATTCGAACCGCCGACCTTCTGATCGGCAAGTCCTAGGCTGAGTGGTTTAACCCACAGGACCACCCGCGTCCCATCATGGACATTAGCATCCAACAAAATCAGGAGGGCCCAAGTGAACCACCCCAGTCTTAAAGGAACAGATTCATAGTTTTAGGACACTCCTAGAACTAGGGGAGGTACAAGCAGCTTCTGTCATAGAATGCCTACCCCCAGCTAAAGCTGGTGTGCCACCTGCAATCGCTCTAGACAGAGACAGTCTAGCAATTCTTTTCCATAAACTTGCAGCCTTCAGATTAGAGTGCTCTAATGCTTTGAAGACAGTTCAGAGACTGCAAGAATAGCAAGGTCATGATCAGATGCTTCTCCTTCAGGTGTTTCTGCCATCTGAGGAGAGATGAGTAGTGCCCACTCTGGTTTTATTATATTTATTTATTAAAACATTTATATCCCACCCTTTATCCAGTTTGGATCTCAAGGCAGTGTGCAACATAAATTAATGCATTTTTAGAATTAGGCATTCAACAGTTTTTAAAGGGCACAACAACAACACAGGCCTTTTATCTATGTTGCTTCTATCTGCCTTTAAAAAGTCAGTCTTCTATTCTGACCATATATTTTGATGGGGTGTTGTTGTTCTTGGGTTGTTTGTTTGGAATAGGCCCTGAAAATATTTGCCTATTTGTGTTAAATGCACATAAATCACTCTTGCCTGTTTTATTGTATTTTAAACATGTTGTAAACCAACTTGGGAATTCCAGTTAGGAGGAGTGCAAATAATCCAAATGCATAAAATGATGCAAACCCCTTCACTCTTTCTCTTCTTTTTGGGAATACTTAGAGGAGAGCAAATGTTCTCTGTGTCACCACCAGTCTAGAAAGCAGTGACCTTATTCTGATTGGTTATGCTTGCCTACAGTGACACCAACAGACTCACTACATAGAATCATAGATCTAGTTCAACCCCCTGCAATGCAGGAATATTCACCTGTCTCATACGGGGATTGGACCTGCAACCTTGGAACTATCGGCAAGGTTGTACTAGCATGAGGAGAGAGAGAACATTGTGCATTTGTGTGTGCAGAATTGTACCAAAGCAACAACCTGTAGAATACTAACCGTGGACAGCTGGGTACAGTATTTTTTAAAAGGGTAGAAACAAGGGCTGATCTAAAAAGTCAGTACAGCCAAGATCAGGGATAAAGAACCTCTGGCCTTTTCAGATGTTGATGGATATCTTCCATCATCCCTGACCATAGGCTGTGCTGGTGGGGCCTTGCATATTATCAGTTCTCAACCAAGTCCATCAAAAACAGAAGCCTCGTGGGACATCTTTGTCTTCATACTTCCTTGTCTTTCTTGATAGTGTAAAAAAATAACAGTACTAATAAATAACAGTACTAATGGGTGGTAATGAATGTTGCCGATAACAGATCGTGGTAATGAGGGATTATGAAACAAGTTTGCAGGAAGATGTGGCTCAAGCCCCTTCTGCATTCTCCTACAACTTGAGGAACTCTGCAGGTTATCGTCTTGTGCACTAGTTCATTATGTTGTACCATTTGTTTTTAACCTTGGCTTGTCCCTAAGACATCTGCTCTGCTGTGATTAATAATGCTGATAGAAATAAATTGTTGAAGGGCAGTGCTGCATTGCATGACTAATTACCCTCCTAAATTATGTGTTCATAAATGGGCTTTTTTAATATTAAAAAACACATGCACCGTGATCCACACATACAGAGAGAGATAAATGAAACCTTGCTAAACTGCCCAAATTCAGAGCAGCAGCAGCACCCTTGCCGAGGTGACTTTACAAATGAGAGTCCTTCACTTTCCCCCACATACACTTTTTTTAACCATACACTGCCTTAACTGCCCTTCATTCAGCCTGAGTATTATTCCCTATCTTCCAAGGTGAAAAAGAGTACCTTCATAATCAGAATGAGAAAGAATAGGTGGAACGCAATTTTGTATTGTTTCACGTTCCTGCCAGGAAGTATTTTGTTGAGCAAAACAAGGCTACCAGTTTTAATGGATAGAAATTGGGGGACCCAAAGGAGTGTGTGTAAATAAATAATTGCTAAATTCTTCCATAAAGCATAAGACCTCTGAGTTCCAGGGTTAGAGGATTACATTCCTATGCTCCTAGCCTTGAATCTCAGCATGTCAGCGCTACCTTCCATTTGTCCTGTAGCAGAAGCCTTCAATGTTTCCAGACCCAGGACACACTTTTAGACATGCATTTGGTGCCCCCACAGGAGGCAGTGATGATCACCACAGCAAATGACTTTAGAAGAGGATTAGGCAAATCCATGGAGGACAGGACTACTGATGGCTACTGGCCACGAGGGCTATGCTCTGCCTCCACAGCTGGAAGCAACAATGCTTCTGAAAACTAGTTGCTGTAAACCACAGGAGGGGAAAGTGCTCTTGCGTTCAAATCCTGCTTGCATTTGGTTGGCCACTGTGATAACAGGCTGCTGGATTAGATGGGCCACTGGCCTGAGCCAGGCTCTTCTTTTGTTGAAGTTGTGCCACAGAAGTTACCAACGAGTGGTGCTGTGGTCTAAACTACTGAGCCTCTTGGGCTTGCTGATCAGAAGGTTGGTGGTTCGAATCCTTGTGACAGGGTGAGCTTCCGTTGCTCTGTCCTAGCACCTGCCAACCTAGCAGTTCGAAAGCACACCAGTGCAAGTAGATAAATAGGTACCGCTGTGGCGGGAAGGTAAATGAATGTTCTGTGCGCTCTGGTTTCCGTCACAGTGTTCCATTGCACCAGAAGCGGTTTAGTCATGTTGGCCACATGACCTGGAAAGCTGTATGTGGACAAACGCTGGCTCCCTCTGCCTGAAAGCGAGATGATTCTGCAACCCCATAGTCACCTTTGACTGGACTTAATCATCCAGGGGTCCTTTACCTTTTACCTTACCAACAAAACACTCCCAGTAAAATTTGTCATCTGACTAGTGGGCCACTAAAAATTGTTTTGCAGGCCTCATCTAGCTCATGGGGCATGGTTTAGCCCTCTCCTTTTTAGAGGTATAAACTTTGCAAAATGTGAAAACCTGGAATTTAAAACTTAGAATGAACAGTGTAATCGCCAGATATATTGGTAGTTCTTTGTTCCTTTTAAAGAGTTTTAGATATAGCATCACAAGTCAACAACAGATTGGGTAGTGCACTTATTCAAAGACAGAGGGCAACTTGGCCATTATAAAATGTGTTTCATTTTCCGAGAAATAATTCAAAGATTCAGTGCCACTTCAAAGTACCACTCTGGCAATGAACTGCCAAATTGGAAACAACTTATTGCATGGAATCTTGAGGTTACCAAGGCATAAAGAGAAATACTCGAGGATCTGTGTCAGACAGAAGATAAACATTTCTGAAACACAACTCAACTATAGTGGGCTAAGAAAAGGCAAGGAATTTAGAAGGCGATTCAGAATACCAAAGGAAAACCAGTGTATGTTGGCAGTGCTGCTGTCATGACCGACATTAGAAAAGGCTGCAACCCAGTTGTGGATCCTGGACTGTCCGCTGAAGTCCAGTGCCCCATCGCACTAAGTGGAAACAGATCACACACAAAAAAGAGGACGGAGGAGGTTTGCATAAAATTGGCATATGCTAATTCATAGGCTATAGATGAAAATTGTGAAATCATTGTCCTAATTTACAAAGAAATGCAACATATCTCACCATAGTGGGGGGAACTTAGACCAGGTGACCCATATGCTTGCTGAGTCTTCTGCACAGAGGCTAACTATCAGTGAATCAACTTCAAGATCACTGATCTCCTTTGTCTTTAAACTGTACTTGGACTGGTAGCCTTTTCAGCAGAGGACTGCCCGCCATAAAGTAGGCCACCTGACTGCTGAGGCTTGGGGTTAGGTGAGTGTTAAGCCCAAGATCTGAATGTATGGGATATATATTTTGAGTGGGTTTGGGAATAGAGTCAGAGACCCCTCATAAACAGAAGGCTGAATATGAACAAAGAAGAAACAACACTCCAAACTAAGCAGTAACGCTCAGTGGGTGTCAGTCTATTTGGGTGAATGGGGCCCTGCCAGTCTGCCAGCAGCCTGCCCCACCTGCCTGCCTTCTGACTTATGACAGCCTGTCAGCTTCCTCCTTCTTAGCCTCAGACGATGTAGTCGGTGGCAGCTTGAAATGCAGAGGCCGTTTCCCCTGCTGTTCTGTTTTTCTATACAACATTGTTTTTGTATCAGCAATTCTTGTTATTATTTTCATTGTTGATTTTATATATATATATATAGTTAAGTTTCTTCAAGATATCTTACTGGAAGCAGTTCATAAATGGAAATAAATAAATAGAATCCCATTTGGCCCCACCCAACTTTTGCCTCAGAATCCACCCACCCCCTGGAATATGGCCGCTGGAATCCAGTTGCCCATAAAAGAATGCAAGCCTTTGGGTGGAAAAATGTTTCCCTCAGCCCGATTCTACTCTGTCAACTGTTTTTATTTTCTTGGGAACAGACTGCCCTGCGGTCAGCATTTCAAAAACAGGACAGGCTATTTGTGCAACAATCTGTTTTCTACAGATCACAGTAAGCATCACCGCCATGTGGCCTGGCAGATTGTGCGCTCCATGGGGCATGTTGGGTTCTTCACATTCATGCATGTGCATTTCCTTGTTTGTGCATTAGAGATGAAACGCAATTGCCTCGCGCAGGCTGTGTACACCCTGTAGCTTCAAAGCATATTCGAAACATATTCTTTTCCTCAAAGAATTCTGGGCACTGAACGTTACCCTTCACAAAGTTACAGTTCCTAGCGACCCTTAAGAAACCACAGCCCCAGAATTCTTTGGGGTGGGGGAATGTGCTTTAAAGTGTGTACACAGCCTCAAAAACTTAATTTCCAGAGATGCTGGAGAGGGAATGGAACTTTGAGGAATGGCCATTCTAGCCAATGATCGCTAATAGCATTGGGACAAGCATCCTCAAAGTGGAAAAATTGAGTTGCTGACGGGAGATGGCCCCTGAAAAGTGGGAGGGCCAAGTAGTGGAAATGTTCAGTTTGGCATCCTTGCTGATTCCAAGAAGCAGAATATGTGAACTGCAGACCTGCATTGTTTAAAAGGAGGTGAGTGTCCAAGTGGACAATCCACCCTGCTTTGTCTTCTAGCCCCAAATATTCTTGCTTAAGCGAATTGAAAGAGAAGAACAGGAGCTTGTAACCGCAAGCACTGGCGGAGGAAGAGGAGGGCAGGGAGAGCGCACCGCCCCCAGCAACGCGATCCTGGTGAGGTGCCATTGTGGCTGCCCCCCCCCCCCGTGCTGAGTGCCACGCTCCTGTGGGCAGCACACCACGCCCCCGGGACGCGCGCCAGCCCTGCCCCCACCTGCTCTCCACCCCCTGGTGCCGGAGCATGAAGCTCCACCACTGACCCCAAGCCAGGCTGTCAAAAAACAACTTGGATTTCTCTTCCCAGCGAACTGCTGTACATATTCAATCAACAGCCTTCAACCTTTTCAGTCTTTGGGCCCACGTTTAATCCCAACCTGCCACACGATACCCATTTCTAACTGTGTAAAAAATCTTCCCCTGTCTGCATCTCCTGTTTGCTGCCCTCTCTCTTTAGCCATATGCAGTTGTTTTTAATTCTTATGCATGTGAGGGGCGTGGCAGCACTTATGCCCCTCTATCCCCCAGTCTTCCCACATTGAACAGGAAGGTCTGGATGCTGCCTTTCTCCAGGAAGGAGCTGCAAAAGTGTTTTCAGCCATAAACTGATTGGCCAGGACAATGCTGGCATCTGCTGTTCCTACTGTAGTTGCTGCTGGTTTTCTCCTACCTGGAGAGTCCACCTCTCTTAGCCCTTCTGGTCCTTGTGGCTGTGCTGATGGGAGTGCAATGGGCCAGCCCCACCTTGGTAGGCTGGTGTGCCTCTGTGGGATAAGGGGTTGGTTGGATTGTAGATGGAAAGAAGACGAGGAAGAAAAAGGGAATCCCTATAGGCATTTGTTATTAGTAGCGCTGTATTTCATTGCGGGCTGGGGAAATTTTAGCTGAGCACTGTAGCTGTTGACAATTGCTGCTTTGCTACTTTTTGTGCTCTCGTAGTAGGAGACTCCTGAAAACCCATCTAGCTTTTATTGATCTGCTGCTTTTCATCTCCGGGTAACTTGTTTCTTGAAGTCTGTAATGCTGACACAGATAGATGATTCTACTATAATTAGAACTACTGAATGAGATACTCCTTCTCCACCCACATCCCCACTTTGGCACTAAGTCCAAGAGAGAGGAAACTCCTGCTAGCCCCTCCACCTCATTTAAACTAGATGGGGTGATTGTAAGAAATCCAGCCTTTCTTTAAATCGCTGAGATTTGATTACTCCGAGGACGAGAACCAAAATTCAGATCTTTCAACATACATTGGAAAGCTCTGCTGTTAGGCTTTTATCTGTGGGAGATCGGAGCTTTGGGGCCAAGTGGATTAAGAAAAATGGCAGGCTGAAAGGAAAAGAGGGAGAATGACAATGACATCCCTCCGTATCCTAATCCCAAACTGAGAAATTGCTTTCCTGGAATTCAAACATTCCATTAAAATTTAATATTAAGATAGACACCTGGTTGGGGGGCGCTTTTTGCACCATTGGAGCGCTCAGTATTTTTTCTAAAAAAAGACACATTTTAAAATTATTTATTATTTATTTGCTTTTGGTTTTTTCAATGGCCACATTTTATGGGGGAGGTATTAGGGGGTCACAAGACATCATAGTATCACAGTGGGGGACTTAAGGGAACAGTCAGTCTGTATATTTGAATGACACCGTTGTGCTCAAATTCATTAGTAACTCAGAAACCGTGGAACTATGCCTCAGTTGTCAATGGGAGTGGTTATTTAATATTTCATTTATAAGCCCAGCTTTCGTCCCAGAAACTCAGGGAAGTGTGCATAGTTCCCCGCTCCTCATTTGATCCTCACAACATCCCTGAGTGAGGGTTTGAACCTAGGATTCCTGAATCCTAGCCTGATATTCTGATCACTGCAGCCCTTCTGTCGCTCTTTCAGATCTGCGTACTAGACGCAAGTCTTCTGGACTCATCTCCTCCTTCTTAGGAGAAAAGTGACCAATGGTGAACAGTGGTTCTTCCAGTTCATTGTCAGACGCATCAGATGGTCTGACTGAGGCCTTTGCGCTCTTGTAGTCTGCTGTGTCATCACTGTCACTGACACCAGCAGCAGCGCCGCCCACTGAACTGGAATCCGAACTCTGCTCATCATCATCCTCAGCTTCCTCAGCTTCCCCAACATCATCTGCTTTTTTCACATCACCTTCATCCTCCTCTGGGTAACCCTGGAAAATTCCCACATTTTCCCCCCACTTAGGATTGTACTCAACACTTTGTGAACTTAATGGATTTAGAGTCAGTCATCCACACCCTGTATGCACCTTTTTCGTACCCTATGAACAAACCATGTGCCCCACGCTTCCCAAGCTTGTTGCTCTGTTGGGTGTGTACCCACATGTCAGAACCAAAGATTCTCATGTGCTTGATGCAAGGTTTCTTACCAAACATCTTCTCATAGGGAGTACAACCAATAGGTGATGACAATCTGCGATTATAAGTGTAAACAAACGAGTTCAGAGACTCCCCCCAAAACTTCTCAGGGAGATTGGCATCATGCAACAAGGTTTTCAGTCCTTGCAGCAACGTTTGATTTGCTCGCTCCGCAAGTCCATTCATCCATGGCGATCTAGGCATTGACAAGTCATGCTGGATTCCCTCTCAGTCAGGAAAGCTTCAAACTGCTGAGAAGTGAACTCCCCGCCTCGATCAGTAAACAGACAGCCAATACGTTTACCGTGAACATTCTCCAACCAAGCACAGAATGCCTTGAACTGGAAACGCTATGCATTTCTGCTCGAGCATAAACACATGAATGTACCTGGAAAAAGAGTCAATTAGAACCATGAAGTACCTTGCTCCACCTAAAGAGGGCGCAAGTGGACCAAGCAGGTCTGCGTGCACTAGCTGGTAGGGTTTGGAAGCCTGCCTGCTAGACTCCTTGCCTTTTGGAGCAACCTTCACCTTGTTCTCTGCACAAGATACACATTTCATGTGAAACTTACAGGGTTTGATGTTCAAACCCTCAACCATCTCTGGCATCTTGGCCAGTGCCTTCCAAGAGAGGTGACAAAACCTTCTGTGTGCATCGTGAATGCATCCTGCATGAAGAACTTTGTTAGTTTGTGCAACACAACAAGAATCAGCATTAGACACAACAGCACCATTGTCATTATAAGTTATACAGAACAAGCCATCCATAAACTTTGCATGCAAAATGTCCTCTTTGCCTTTTCTGATGACACAGACGCACCTCTTGAAAGAAATCTCAAAACCACGCCCAGTCAGCTGTGGGACACTGAGCAAATTGTCTGCAGCGCCTGGAACATACAGTACATCTTTGATGGTCGTGTGCAGACTTGCCAGTCTCACAGTCCCTTCTCCTGCGATTCGCAACGTCTTTCCGTCAGCCAGGTGGATCTCACCTTCTTGAGGTGTGAAGGAGATAAAGAGATGGCGGTCCTTTGAGACATGGCGGGTACACCCCGAATCAATAACAAACCTGGCCTTGGCCTTTGGAGCAGTCTTTCTGGCAAGCATAACCTTGTTTTCCACCGGCGTGGGCTTTTGCTGCTTGCCCCCCTGCTCCTGGCCATCAGACTTGCCTTTAGCCTTTGGTGAAGCTGTGCCAGCAAACAACGCCTTGTTTTTCTCTGGCGTGGGCTCTTCACCCCCCTTCTGCTTTGGGCCATCTGCAGGCATCTGCCTCTGTTTACTTCTGGCCTTCCGGTATCTGTGAGGATGACCTTGGCTCCCATGAGAAACAGAGCTCTCAGCTGCCGACTCCTTGGCTCCCCCTGGAGGCTGGAATGCTGCCTGGGATGATGTGACAGTCAGCTCCCCCTGCAGCTTGCAACCGATGCCCTCGGCATCCCTGCATTCACTCGCATTCTGGGAAACAGCCAGGACCTCCGACGCAGTCAAACTCTGGGCTGGGATGACTGGCAAATGGGCTATCTTCAAAGCATTCCACATCTTACGTGCAGTCACGTTGCCAGCTAACGTTTTAATTTCCTCCAGAGAGACGGACAAGACTATTACGTCTATGGCCCTCGAATTCTGGGCTCTCCATCTATCTGTCAGAGGAACTGGAGGGGCTTCAGACACAGTACGCCACACTCCAAACTGACGCAGCAAACTCTCACACCACACAGCCCAGGTCTGATAATTGTGCCGATTTAACTTTGGGCACTCAGCAGCCTCAGAAGCTTTGAAAAACTCCATTCCAGCTTTTTACTTGAGCCGTGAGCCTTTATGCCTTCAAAAACTTCTTATCTCAGCAGCCCATAAATCACGAAGCTTGCTTGGCGCAGCCCCCAGACCAATTAGGCCAGCCGGACATCTGAAGCCCTTGCCGCGGCAAACAGAAAAGCCTCACTTTCACTTTTCCCACATACCTCAACGCAGTCTGTCGCAGTCTTACTCTCCTGTAAGTGCCGTGAATCTGGGCCCGAAACCTGTTGTTGGGATACTGCCAGGGAGATAAAGTCCATCATGGCCCCCAAGCCGGCTGCCGGACAATCCATCGACCTCCCGTAGTCACGCAGTATCAGCAATTAGCGACATAAGCTCCAGAACATTCTAGAGCCGATGCACACTCTTTATTGGCAGATAATGCACAGCAGAAGTCGCACTCAGGAGAGCATTATTTACAAGTTTTATTCAGCGTTGATCAGAACAAAGAAAACCATGACTGCCTGCATCGATGTCTCCAGACACACAGAGAGAAATGAAAGCAACAGAAAAACATAAACATCCTGTGAACAGGAAATACGCAGACTCTGTGACTCACAGCCTGTTCCCTTTTAAGGTGGAACGGAAATATCCTAACACTGCACCATGCAGAAAACACACTACTGAAAATAATTGTCTTTATTTAAGTGCTCATTTACATCTTGCTATGCCTTTTGCATATTCGGGATTGAAGCGGGGAAGACTATTTTCTGGGTTATTTCCTAGATTCTCACATGTTCTCCTACAATAGCATAGCAAAAATTACTAGACACTATCCAGAGGTCATTTCTTACCACCCTGATAATGAGAAGTGTCTGCAGTAATCAAAACATTCATAAACATCCTGGTCGTATTGCAACTGAATTAATATTGGCTTCCCTTATGTGTTCCTGGCTTACACTGAAAGGTCCCTATGTCTCCGACGGGCAAAATGTTACTAAGGAGGTGAAAAAATGAGTTGCAAATGCTAATGAGCAAATAAAAGTTCTGTCAACTCTTTCAGGAAGGAAACAAAATTAAACCTTTCCCTAAACACGATCGCAGTTGATAAAATGCTGGATGTTTAGGTGCCAATTATAGCTCTTTCAGAAACTCTCAACTCTTGTCATAACACATGCCATAAACAAGGACAGATTTAGAGGTTCTTCATGACAGTTATGTGTAGGATGTTGACAGTTGACTGTTAAATTTCAAGTGCAGGGGAAAATTTCCCTCCCTATAGATCTTCGCTTGTTTATTATGAGGGTGTTTTCTTTGCGAGTTCAATCATACATTCGCTGCCTCACGTTCTCAGCGCTTGACATTTCCATTTAACTCCCCCCCCCCCCATGACAATCACTGAAGTGTAGATGGAGGTAAATGCAACCTCCAGTACACTCAAGAGGTGTGAGAATTTCAAAACTTCAGGGCGTTTTCTTCACTTTTCCTTTTGAATATTTAGATTTGTTATTCTCCTTCCCTTTTTATATTAAAAAATACCCAATTATATATGGGTGGTTACATCAGAAGAAAGCAAATATATGTGTTTGACATCATAATGAAAGAAGGGAAGAAGCTTTGTGAGGAATCTGAAGCTGGGATAAAGACTAGTTCTTTGAGGGTGCTTTAAGACCTCCAACTATACTTACCATCATCATTTTAATAATTATTATTAACAACTAATGAACCATTAGTAACTTCAACAGATAATGCCTTTAGAGATGAACAGGGAGTATTTTTCCCTCCTGCACAAAATGTTCACAATGTGTGTGTGTGTGTGTGTGTGTGTGTGTGTGTGTAAGGCTTATTACGGAGGCATAAGGACCAACAAATTACTCCTTCTTGGTTCATCCCTGAAAGTCTTGCTTCATTCCCTGGATCTTCCTGTATACCACATTGCCTTTTCTGTGGAGATTTGTCTGGCACTCTCCTGACAGAAATAGAAAGCATTTTTATTTTTAAAAGGCATTTAATGTCCAGCTCTCCTACTGTTTTTAATTATTTTACTATCTGCTTTTTTAAGGTCGGCTGGGTTTTTTTAGGTTTTTTTACAGTATTGTATATTTATTTCCTGAATGCAGGAATGGTAATGCAACACTTCTCCAGATGTTGTTGGACTACAATTGCCTACCAACCAGCCTGGGGCTGATGGGAGTTGAAGTTCAATACAGTTGAGAGCAGGGATGAGGAACATGTCACCCTCCAGATGTTGTTGGACTCCAATTCCTATTAGCCCTAACCAGCATGGCCAGTGGTCAGAGATGATGGGAGTTGTAGTCTTAATGACATCTAGAAATCCTCAGGTTCACCATCCCTGATTGAGAGGTCCTCAGGTTCCACATCCCTACCTAATCATATAATTGCATTTAAATCCTTTTTTGTAAGATGCTAAGGGTACTTATCGATAGAAGAGCAGTGTTCATAAGTGTGGGTATGCAACAACAATAATTAGAAATACCTCCATTAATGCCTTCAGATCTGTCTTCATAATAGATAGTACGATCCAAATACACATACACTTGGTGCTCCTGAGAAGAACAAACGTGTGTGTGTGTGTGTGTGTGTGTGTGTGTAAATCAACAAGAGAAGTGGGGGACACACACCAAATAAAGGTGAATAATTTCTCATAGGCTTTCTAACCAGCAGGGAACAGGTGGACAAAGCAATCTTCAAGGAGGTATCAAGGACATCTAAAGCTCATAAACACAGGACCCTGGGATATAACTACACAGATGTTTGTTGAGCTAAGAACATAGCTAAATATAGAATATACATAAAGTTACTGACCTGTATAGAGGACATTTAGCACACAAAAACTAGGGAAGTGACTGGTATGTGTTTTAGTAATCTTTACTCAAAATGTTTTGAGACTGGGCAGGATAAGAGATGATATACATTAGGGATGTGTTTTGGCCCCAAGGGGGTGAATTAGGGTGATTTGGGGTATTATTTCATGTTACTTAGATTGCACTGTTAACAAGGCATGTCAAGGAGAGTCACAGAGTGCCCAAACTTCTTAATAGCTCTGTTGACTCAGTTTTTCGCATAAGTGAAGCACAAGATCACTGCCTTTTTGCTTTTTATTTTCTGAGAAATGAAACCAAGCTGAGTGTGGAAAGTCTGCCCTTATGGGAGAACCACCGAGCCTGTGTTTCTAAAATGTGAGTCTTCCCAATCAGGCTCAAAATACTTGGCATTTGGGAAAGTAAAACACATGAATTGGAACTGCATGGCACAGTGCACACATTTTTTTGTTACTTTCTAATTGAGTGGCCCAGAACACATTATATAACAAGCAAAAGGGATGCACTTCCCCTGAGCATAAAAGATCATGAAATATTCAGTAATATTTATGAAGTTCTGGTTCAATTCTGTCAAGTCCCTGAATTTTGAATGGAGCAGTTAGCATTTTTGGTTATGTTTTAACCAGTTCACAATGGCACAGAGCAGCTTCCTTTCTTATATTAACAACCCTGTACTTAGGGATATTAACTCACCAAGAAACTTGCCTGGCTCTTTCAGCAATGGAATCCTTGCGGGATCCAGGAATTAGAAGGGACTCAGGCATACAGCCCAACCCTCCATCCCCAACAAACAATGCTATGCATGCAAACTCTTTGCTCTAACCATGCCAGCCACCCCTCTCTCTCCCCCTCCCACAAATCCTCCTGCAAGCAGCCTGCATGGAGAAATGACCATATGCTTTACTTTACTTTCTTTGTAGGGCTGTCAGGTGTCTGGTCCAAGTCCAGTTGAAAGATAAAGAACCCTAAGCAAGCAGAAGCCTAGAATTTGTCCACCAACAGTTAAGCGGCTGGAGAGCAGACTGACCAGGGGCACGCTGGTCACCGTCTTCTGCACTATGGTGAGATGCACTGTATTTCTATTTCGATCATGGTTAGGCAAACTAAGGCCCAGGGGCCGGATCCAGCCTAATCGCCTTCTAAATTTAGCCCTCTGTCCAGGAAACAGTGTGTTTTTACATGAGTAGAATGTGTCCTTTTATTTAAAATGCATCTCTGGGTTATTTGTGGCGCCTGCCTGGTGTTTTTACGAGTAGAATGCGTGCTTTTATTTGAAATGCATCTCAGGGTTATTTGTGGGGCATAGGAATTCGTTCATGTCCCTCCCCCCTTCAAAATCTAGTCCGGCCCCCCACAAGGTCTGAGGCACAGTGGACCGGCCCCCTGCTGAAAAAGTTTGCTGACCCCTGATTTAGATGATAGCAATTGTTTCTAAGTGTTATTTATCTAGACAGTGTCATTTCTCTAGAGAGATAAATGAGAGTATGCAAATTGATAACATTTTTTCCTTTTTGCGATGTGCAAAGGGCCACTTTTCACGCAGGTTCTCAGCAGTTACTTCTCCTATTGCCCCAAATTGATAGTGTGTGCAAACTTCCTAGGCCAAATTGGCTTGCAGCAGCAGTGGACCCATCTCATCTGCAAGCCGCCTTTGTGAAGGCAACGTGGTGTTCCCCTTCCAGTGCACTGCAATTCTGGATCACCCCTCAACATTGGCCACACTGGCTGTGGATGATGGGAGCTAGAGTCCAATAACGTCTGGAAGGCACAAGATTGGATATCCCAATCTTGGGACTGAGTTGGTCACTCTGTGAACTTCATCTGTGAAATGACTCACAGACAGAACCTCTGGATGCTGCCTGTTAGCTTTTGGGGGAATGGATACAATGAATAAATCTAGCTTCCCTCCCCCACCTTTGCCCAGGCATTTCTGTTTCTCGTATACACACAGTCATCTCAGATGCCGGGTGAATTGTGTGCCAGGATCTTAGACTAACCTCTTCAGATAGACACCCTAGACATCTGCAAAGATGGTTGAGTTGTCTGTAAGTGTATAGATTAGAGAAGAAATATAGTTGAAAGCTCATATGGCGACAAGGTTTGCGCTAAGGTGAAAAGGAGGAGGAATCTCCTCCACAAACTTATATAATGGGAAAATATTATCATAGCGCTGGAAACAAAAAGCTGCTTTTAGCACAGGTTTCTGAATTGGCTGAAGAAGAGAGATACAGTTCTTGAAAATCTTGAGAATCCAATTGCATTTCACATCCCATTTAGTCCAGAATAGGCAATGGGCTCACAGCTAACAGTGAAAATAGTCACCTAGAAAGAGCTTTATGTTTTCATATATTTTTACTATTGCTTTTGAGTGGAATGGAAGGAGTTTAAAGTTTTCAAGGTTCAAAAATCACCAGTCTGTATTCCCTCCCGCTTCATCTAACACAGAAATAGCTTTCGTTTTCTTTTTCTAGGTTTGGTTGTTGATGAAGTTGCATTACAGCCAAGTGATGCAACACACAGCTGTATAAAATGGCATCAAGATATGTTCTTAACCTGCAGGGTGTAGCATAACATTTGAACCTTGCTTTAGCACTAGCAATGAGATAATTTTACTGCCTATAACACCAGCAATCAAATGGTAGTTTTTGATCCAGTTTAACAGAACCTACATGTTATCTGCAGCATTCAAGGCATCTCATGAAAATCTCACAGAAACGGGAGGCGTTCAGCCCATCTAACATATGCAGCATCTGTGTATCAGTGTTAATTTTATTGTAGAAGAAGATGCTACCTATTGATTAAAGCTGAATGGGAGCTCTGTGACCTGGAACATTCAATGAATTGGAAAAATGGCCTCAGGTGGAAGATATAATTTATTATGGGTGAGCCATAAAGGCCACCTCGCTTGTTACTCCCAGGGAGGAATGAAATAAAAAAGACTTAAGTAACTGCTCACCCAGCACAATAGATACTGGCAGCTCTGCAGTAATTTAGACTTCCTACTTTGCTATTCATCAGGATAATTGCTGGGAGCTGTCAAGGCTGGAACTGAGGACCCATGGGCTCTATATGCATGGCCATGTGCTGAGCCAACAGGGCTACAAGTTGGAGCATCTTGCTAGGCAGTGGAGATTGCAACACTTGGGGCTTCATAGCTTAGGGAAACAGCTGATGGAGGAGGCAACAGAAGTATGTAAGATTATGCATGGCAATGATGTCATAGAGCTGTTATGGAGGAGGTGGGAGGATCTCAAAGGAGTGGATTCAGAGATAAGGCCTTGGAGGTAGACGACCTGAGAGAGATGAGAGTTGTGGGATGAGAAATGTGGCACTGGTGCCTCAAGAAGGGTTGGAGCTAGTAGAGGGGGCTGGTGAACAGGAGGGTCAGGAGCTGGATTCAGGGAAGGTTCAAACGGGTTGTCAGAGAGCTGCTTTGCCCCTGTGATCTCAGACACTTCTAAAGGGCTGCTGGTGCTGCCACTGGACTGTCCTGTCACTCCTGCCAATAAGGCCCTCAGAAGACATCTCAGAGCAGATGCTAAGAGGATAAATGATTGTGGGCAAGGATACAATACTGGGATATGAGGCAAGGCATGGAGAAATTTTAAGGTTAGGACAAGAAAATTGTTCTGGATATCAGAGGAGGCAAGGAGCCGGCACAGGGGATTCAGAGCGGGCTGATGAGTATATAATAAGGCCAGTTGCTTATTTCCTGATCCTTCTATGAAGGGAGCTGCAGTACCTCCTCAGGTCATCCACAAGTGGTGGCACTGCAGAGTAGCAGAGGTTTTCTGGGTTTTCTGTTCCTACAAACTGTTTGATATATGCTGCTCACTTACCGTAAATATCAGAAAACACCAACCCCTTGACTTTGTCAAGCATGCGGCTTGATCCTATGCATGCTTATGCAATGGAACTTATTTTCAAGTAAGAATGTGAACAGGATTGCTGCCACAGACTATGTCATTGAATACAGTGCAGCCATCTGAATTCAGTGCATGTTATATGTGTAAATAACTTTCTCTATCTCTCAGTTTACAGGTTAACAGGAGTTTTTCTTGGCTGATCAATTTTTGACCATTAAAAGTTAATGCCACCAAGAGAACTCTGAAGGAGTAGCAGAAGCTTTGAAAGCAATTGTACAAGCTTGTGATGGGATGATGAGCTGCTTGTGCGTAAAATCGTATCCCCTCAGAGTTTGTTCAAGTCCACAAACCTCTGTCTGTGACGGAGCCCCTCAGACATGTCTCCTCTAGTCACTAGCAGATTCCGACAGTGGTTGCTTTCGTAATCGCTTCCAACATAAAAGCTCCTTAACGGAAACACGTCTTCTGGACTCCCTGCGTGACAGTTTCCGGCGAGGAGTGGGTGTTCTTACAGGAGTCCCTGAAACCTCCCCACTGTTTTCGCTGGAAGTGTCTCTGAGCCATCCCTCCAGCTCAGCTCCTCTCCCCTGCTGGTTCCCTCTTCAGCTGCTGCGTCCTCTCCCAACCTGTGTGAGCCCTTTCACCT